CCGTACGACGTCGGCCGCCATCTGGGTCTTGTCCCGTACGACGTCGGCCGCGACATGGGCCTTGTCCCGTACGACGTCGGCCGCGACATGGGCCTTGTCCCGTACGACATCCGTTACCACATGGGCCTTGTCCCGTACGACATCCACAATGTGCTCAGCGGCGTGCCGTACGCGGGAAGCCAGACCGCCACTGCCGCCTCCTCCGGCACCGCCAGCGGCAGCAGAGGTAGCCGGCTGCTGCTGGGTGGTTTCGGCGCTGCCTCCGCCGCCGCCGCCAATACCCATCGCCGCCGTGGCAGCGGTCAGGGCGTCTACGGCGCCACCACCCATCTTGTCCGCCTCCTCCTTCCCACCCGCCTGCCCGCCCTCTCCCTCCCCCTGCCCCTCCCCCTCGTCGCTGCTGCCTCGCTCCGCCAGCGGGTCATGCAGCGGGCGGGGGCCGATGTCGGGGTGCGGCTCCACTAGCTGGGGGGGGGGGGAGAGGAGGGAAGAGGAGGGGTCAGGAAACGCAAGAAACGCCGTCTTTGGACCAGGTCTCATGCGCTGCTGTGTCAACTCGTGGAGGGAGGTGCCCCGGTGAGAGCAGGGCTTGGGGTTCAGGATGCGGTCAGGAGTGGAGGGACCAAAGGTGGTGGTGGTGGTGACCGTGTGTCAGAGGTCGGACCCACCAGCCAGCAACGACCCACAATCGGCCGCACCGCACCGCACCACATCCTCCGTCACATTCCCTGTCTTCCCTTCCCGCTCCTCCCTTGTCGTGCCCTGGAACCTGCACATGAACCCGCACCCACCCACATGCACCCGCACCCACCCACATGAACCCGCACCCACCCCCTCACCCTCTCCCCCCACCTGCTCCAAAATGCGACCGGCCTGTGCGGCAGTGGTGCCGGGCCGTGTGGTGGTGCCGCCCCGGGTGCTGCCGGCGGTGGCCTCCTCGCCCTGGTTGTCCTCACTCAGTGGGGGCAGATCCACCTGCGTGAGCAGCAGGGGGCAGCAGGGAAGGGAGGGGGGCAGCACAGAGGGAAGTGAACCTGTGCTGAGACATTAACAAACCCCCACCCAAGCACCCCTCCCCTCCCCTCTCCCTCCCCTCCCCCCACCCCTCCCTCACCTGCTCCACTACGTCCACTTGTCCCGGGTTGGGGCCGGGGGCCACGATGAAGGTGTGGGTGGCGGGGTCGGCGGCGGGGGAGGCGGGCGTCAGAGGCACGCCGGGGGGCTGCGGGAGTGGGGGGGGAGTGCAACAACGGAGTCCCAGGGGGGGGGGAGGGAAGCAGGAGGGGGGAAGAGGGCAGGAGTGAGTGAGCACAGGACCTGCGCCAACATGGGGGGAGGGGGCAGCAGGAAACTGCGCACATGCAGTCTGCTGCATGCAGATACACACAGGCAGGCAGGCAGGCAGGCAGGCAGGCAGGCAGGCGGCGCGCTCGCCGGTACGGTTTACAGCATATGATGCAACATGCAACATAGGCAAACATATGCGGCCAATTTTCTTAACACACGGTCAGGCAGGTGCCTCCGACCCATGGGTCATCAGGGCATGCCGACCCCCCCTCACACTCCTCCCACCCCACCCCACCCCACCCAGCAGCCACCCCTTCCCAGTGCCTTTGCCCTACTGCCATGCTCGCATTCGGACCCCGGCCTCAGTCTTATCGACACCCAAGCCTCCTCCTCCTACTCCCCCATCAACCTCTCCACCCCTCTCCACCCAACCCCTTTTATACGACAGGCTTCCATGTTTTCCGGCGATCCCAGTTCCTCCCCACTCACGCCACGTAGCGCTCCCCTACTCACCCCCCTGCTCACCCCCCCCCCCACTCACCCCCCCCCCCACTCACCCCCCTGAACGCCTGCTCGTCACTGGTGTGCTCGGGCACCGGGTAGCGCAGGGTGGCCCCCGGCTGCGCAGCCGCCTCCGCCAGCGCGGCGGAGAAGTGGGAGACGGCGGGGGGCGGCGGGGCGCCGGGGGAGAGCGGTGCGGCGGAGGCGGGGGCGGAGGTGGGGGAGAGGCGCTGCTCCTCGTGGCGGGGGGAATGGGTGTTGGGGCGCCGGGAGTGGAGGTGGGGGGGCTGGGGGAGGGGAGGAGGGGGGAGGGAGGGGAGGAGGGGGGAGGGGGGTGGTTAGCAGGAGGTAGGGTATACGGCATTAGCGGGTTCGTACGGCCTACGACTCACCCCCTCACGCGCCTCCTGAGGTCCCGCCGGCTCGGGTGCGGTGCGGGTGGCTGAGGCTGGGTCGTGGTGACCCGTGGGTCGCTTGTAGGACAGGGTGGCGCCGGGCTCGTTGGATGCCTCCTGCAGGGTCGGGTGGTGAGGGAGGGTGAGAGAGCGAGGGGGCGGGACGTCATCAGGGCAAGGAACATGGTATATATTGGTTTTTGCACATACTTCGGGAGCAAGAAGATCAAGTGGAAAATGCATTCAATACGTAATCGTCGCAAGGAGCGAAGTATTGCGAAGGGATGGCGCATGACTGTTGGTTCAGGGAGCCTCGTGTTGTGGGCTGCATGTGACCCGTGGGTCGCGACGGTGCCCAGATCTGCAACTTATCATGCGGCAATGCCTTGCCATCGTTTTTGGTTAGCTACCCCACCACCACCACCACCACAGCAAAGTACCCCCGTGCCTATCTCCCCCCTTCCCCCCCTTCCCCCCGCCTCCACTCACCACCAGAGCGGCCTTGAGGTGCTCTACGGAGCCTGTGGGACGGGGGGGGGGAGAGAGAAGGGAGGCAGAGGGAGGTGCACAGAATGCCGCTCTTGGAGGGCCGCAGCTTTTGATCGCAACACAGGGACAGACGTCGTCCTTACAGGTTGTGGCTCAGAAACATATACCAGAAGAAGCACTGGTGGCAGACATTTGCGGATGAGTTTGGAGTTGCCACGGCGAAAGCGGCAACCGGCGGGACCCTCCAGGGACCCATGGGTCATTATCGCAACGGAAAAAGCAAATGTCCGCAAAGCCCCACGAGTGGTCCCGAATGCCTCCTTTTCCACACAATTAACTGCAAACGTTAACTAATGTGCCCAAAGCCCTCCCCGAATACGTTGTCCCGCTGCGCGCAGCGTTTCCGAAAGGTATTCCGGAAGGGGCACAGCGAGGAGCCCGACAGCTAAAAGCCCGACGACACCTCTTCCCCGAACCGCATCTCACCTTGAGTTGCTTCGCTGCTTTCCATCCTACCCAGCTACGTGGTAATGTGTTCGGGGGTGCTTTGACGGCTATGTAATATGCAGCTGATCAGTGGAGAGGATTCTATTTCGTCACCAAAGCGGAATGCGTTTAAGCGTGTAGATATTGTAAAAGAAAAAAGGAAGACTATTCCGAAAAGAGGATGAACGTGGGCAGGTGTTCCTTTTGTACTGCACAGATCAGATTGTCCTTCCAAAGTCTGCAGGACCAACGCACAGCGGTTGGGTCGACGGGTAACGGGACTACATGAGCTCATCACATCGCCCACGACGCGTCTTAGAATGCTGGGCAGCCGCGCGCATTACCTGCCTCCCTGTGTACTCCATTTCGCACGTCAGGTTGTCCTCTTCAATCTAAATTAATGCCAGAATGTGCCTTCCAGCTCTGAAGAGAGAAGAGGTGACACATCATCTGCTGGCGCCACCAGGGCACCGCCTCAGCAACGAGGCCGGCGGCCAGGAAACGTAGCAAACAGCAGCCGCTTTTGTACTTGCTTATTTCATGCGTGCTGGATATCGGTACGTAGGGCTAGCGGCAGAACTGCCATACGGGTACCATACCCTGCTTTCCGGTCAGGCACAACGTAGCATGCTACAGAAGCGTATGCACAGCTTGTGCACCGGTCTAACCCACACAGACCAGCGAAAACTGCGAAATCCGACAGCCTATGGTCGATGTGTTACGGTACAGTCCTTCCCACGGTTTGCAGGGCGGTTCGTACCGTTATTGCAACCGTACAGGTAAAAGCACCCCGCCAAAAGTGACACTCTCTTGTTAGCTTGTACGGTTGGCATGTCAGCAGCCCCGCTCGCTGGCGGCCCCTCCCAACAGCCACACAAACCTAGCTACGGTAGTCATCGCCCACGCCCTCTCACACCTCTCATTCCCCACCCCCATCCTTATCTAAACCCAGCCCCGCCCTGTCCAGCCCCGCCCAGCGCTGGCAGCCCTAGCGAGCCTACTTACAACGCAGCAGCGGCCGCCCCACAACAGCAGCAGCCGTCGTTGCCTGTCATCAGCCGGCCCCCCCCCCCCTCCGCGCCCCTCCCCACCGCCGCCCGGCATCATCAGCGCCTCCTCCACCGCTCATGGTCATGGTCCGGGTCAGGATCAGGGCCAGTGTTCCTGCGGCTCAGTTTATCTACCGGTATTCCCCGACCGCTACACTTCAACCGGCCCTGACACGGCACCCGCCACCGCCACCGCCACCACCGCCAACGCCGCCCACCCCACCTGCCCTCCTCCTCCCGCCGCTGCTGCAATGAACCCCGGCTGCATCGCCCTGGTTGACGCCGCTGCCCCTCACCACACCTCATGCTCCCGCAACTCGCCAGCTGCACCTGCTCCACTACCTCCTCCCCCATCCGCCGCTGCGGCCCTGTTACCGTCAGCACCCGCGGCAGCAGCAGCAGCCGCAGCAGCCGCAGCACCCGCAGCAGCAGCCGGGCTGGCCCCGCTCAGCTTCGTAAGCACCCCGTGCAGCAGCGCCAGGTCCTGCCTGCTCAGCCCCTCCACCCTCCCCAACAGGTTGCGCAGACTCAGCTCCGTGGCAGGGCGCTTGGGCGGACAGGCGGCGAAGAACCCCGCGTCCTGCAGGCAGCCAAGCAGCCGCCGCGTGAAGGCCTCCACCTCGCCGAGGGGCGCCAGCGGACCGGCGGCTGCATGAACCGCCCGCCGGACCGGTACTGCAGCCGCATGATGGCTGCCACTGCTGCTGCTGCTAGGGCTGCTGCTGCTAGGGCTGCTGCTGCTGCCACTGCTGCTGCTGCTAGGGCTGCTGTTAGGGCTGCTGCTGCTAGGGCTGCTGCTAGGGCTGCTGCTGCTCATCGTCTGTGCTAAGGACGCTGCCGCCGCCTCCGCCTCCGCCCCCTGCACCGGCCCCGCCACTGCCGCCTCCGCCTCCAGCTCGCTCCGCACCTGGAACAGCTCGTACGCCGTACAACCCACCGCCTGCGCCAGGTTGAGTACGGGGTAGTCCGGGTGCGCGGGCAGTGTGAGCAGCTTGGTGGCGCGGGCCACCTCGGCGTTGGTGAGGCCGCTGCTCTCGCGACCGAACAGCAGACCAGCGCGGGGTGGGGGAGGAGGAGGAGGAGGAGGAGGAGGAGGAGGAGGAGGAGGAGGGATGGATGCATGAGGCGCATGAGGGAGAGATGCATGGGGAGGGGCTGCATGGAGTAGCGGTGGGAGGGAGGATGGGGATGGGGAAGGTGGTGAAGGAGGCGGGGGTGGGTGGTGGGGATGAGGGAGAGAGGAGGGTGGAGATGAGGGCGGCGGTGGTGGGGTTGCTGAGGAGGCTGGCTGGGGGCGGGCGGGGGGTTCCGGGTGGAGCAGGTGTGAAAGAGGCGGTGGAGGAGGTGGAGGCGGGGTAGCAGGCTGGAGTGGCGGCTGTGAGGTTGTGGGCAGCAGAGGAGCTGCTGCGGGCGGCTGTTGCAGTTGCCTTGGCAGCAGTGGCGGCGGGTGAAGTTGCGGGGGTTGCGGGCGATGAGGTGATGGAGCGACGGCAGCAGGGGATTGGGAGCCGCCGTACGGTGGTGACGTCCATGAGTCCTGCGGTGTTGCTTCTTCGGTTAACGGGGCTGCTGCTGCTGATGCCGAGGCTGCTGTCGGGGCTGCCGCTGTCGGTGCTGCCGCCGCTGCTGCTGCTACGGTGGCCGCGAGGTGCAGCAGGTCTCCGGGCAGCTGGCGGCTGGTGACGAAGGGCTTCGTCATGAACCTGCATGGGAGCGGGGTGCATGGGCAGGTGGGAGGCGGTCGGTGGGTGGGTAGAAGGGGCGGGAGAGGCTTAGGGCTAGGAGAGTCTTTTACCAGAAGCTAACAGGGGGATGACTTGTCCAATTCACATCTTGGAACCAGGATACCACACCGAGACTACCCTACCTTGTGCGCGCCGTGGCAGCGTAGACTCTGTCCAGGTCTGCCACAGCGTCCTCAACGTTGTCGTACACCCGAGCCGACCGCAGCACGTCAACGGCATGAGAGGCGGTGACGTCGGCTAAGGGATTGGGCCAGCCATCGCGTGGGCTGACAAGCCGGAGGTCCGTAAGACCGAAGTTCTTCATGGCGCGAGCAGCGGAACCGATGTTCTCGCCGAAATGTGGTTCCACAAGGATAATGGCAGGCTGCACGGCGAGCAATAGGAAGGGTTGGTTGTTAAGTATGCCGAACTAGTTAATATATATTTTAAGGTAAAATTCGCCAACATTAAGGCCGTATATGGTGTTGCCGTTGGCCAACATGCCCAACAGCTAGTGCCGACCTTGAGAGACTCAAGCCCAAGCTCCAGCTCCAAGCCATGTAACGCGGCACGAGAGCTATGGAGTTTGCAATTGTTGAAGCCATTTGATTGAAATGGGCGCACCCGTCTTCTCGAGCAGGCCGGATGCAATAAGTTTCGTGGCAAGGCGGGGCTTTCGCGTAATGATTTCATCCTAGTGCAGCCGCTATGGCGTGGTTGTATGCACGATAGTTCCTTACACGGTTGCATTTCCGCAGCTGGCGCAGTGGCGCTTTTGCTTGCAAGCCCCGGAACCGGGTTCCGGGGCGGTGGCACCGGCTCTCCGGCTGTTCACGGCTTCGCGCAGTTAAACTTGGAGCATAGATATCCAAAATATGGGACCTACATAGCGAAGACAGGTTCTGTTTCGTGCATCAGACAATATCATAAGGGGTTGACCATGGATAGCACAGTGCATGATGACGACGACGCTACTTGCCAGCCGCTCCTGCACCGCTTGCTCCAGGCAGCTGGTCAACCGTATGCCAGGGGCGGAGGTAGCAGTGCCGCAGCCAGCAAGGTACGCTGAGCATTGGCAACCATGGCTGGCATTGGCTCGCCTGCGTGCGAGTGATACCCCTGCGGGTGAAGTGACCCCTCGGCGGCAGTTAAGCAAGCAAGGCTCGGGGTGATGAGTGTAGGCGACTCTATATGAAGCCCTCCGTCCATCCGCCCACTTTTGTTGTTCTGTCCCTCTAATCCTTCACCCGCTCGCTTACCCTCTACCCCGCCCGACGCTCCCGCTTGTGGGTTCCCCCCCATCCTCCCTCGCCTCACCCCTCTGCCATCCAGGGTATTGGGGGTGCGTGGATTCCCCTGCTGGAGACCAGCCAAGTGGGAGGAGTGAGGAACATGCGGAGGGCAGGGGATTGAAGCAAGGCGCGGAGGGAACTCGCGCCCCCTGCCATGCTCACCTCCCCTCTCCTTTCGTCTCACCTCGCTCACGCCGCCTCCCCTCCCGCTCCCCTACAGCTGCCCTCCCTCCCTGCAGCCCTGCGCCAGCTGGCAGCCACCGGCACCTACCCGCGACCCCCACACCGCAGGAGCGGACTGGACCAGGTGGGGGCGGGAGGGTCCGGGGGTAAGGGGTCCGGGGTGAAGGGGGCCGGGTGGGGGCGGGTGGGTCCGGGGGTAAGGGGGCCGGGGATACAGTAGGTTACAGTGGACGCGGGGAGAAGGGGTACAGTGAATTATAGCTCTGTGTGTGTTGTGTGAAGGTACACATTTCCGACCCGCTGACGGGCAGGGGTCCCTGAAGGGCAGGAGGGCAGGGAGGTGGGCTGCTGCCGCCTCCTCCCTCCTAACCCCTCGCCCCCAACCCGGCCCCTGCGCCTTCCCCCGGTTCGTTAGTCGTTTCCTCTTCACCTCCCCTCCCCCGTCCCCCGTCCCCCCGTCCGTCCATCCGAAGGCCCTGCAGCTGTTGCTCGCCCGCCACCCCGCCCTCACCCCCCACCTGCTGCTGCCGCTGCTGGGGCGGATGATGGGGGCGCATGGGGCCGCTGCTGCTGGTGCTGGGGCTGCTGCTGGGGCTGGTGCTGGTGTCGTACCGTCGCCGGGGGCAGCAGAAGCTGCCGTACAGGTATCGGTGCATGGAGCAGCAGCAGGAGGGACAGGATTGGAAGGAGGGGGGAAGGGATGCGACGCAGCGTACGAAGCGGCAGGAGGAGAGGCGGCGATGGAGGTGGCGGTGGCGGTGGTTGCGGGACCAGGCAGTGCAGGTGTGGGGACTGATGCGATGCTGCCGGAGGAAAAGGAGGAGGCGGAGGAGGAGGAGGAGGGACAGACGGAGCAGCAGCAAGAAGAGGAGGAGCAGCCGCAGCAGCAGCGATGTGAGATAGCAGCAGCAGCGGAGGAGGAGGAGGAGGAGACGGAAGCGGCGGGACTGCAGCAGCAACAGAGACCGCCGAAGCCCATAGCAACAGCCCCAATGGCAGCTGTACGGCACCCTCCTTCTGCGGGGTCTTCTTCCTCGTCCAAGATAACATCCTTGTCGTACGACAAACGTCATCTGCCGGTTTCCTGGCTGCTGCAGTGCTTCGGTCCGGTGTGTGATGCGTTGGGATGGCTGTGGCCGCAGCGGCAGCTGCTGCGGGCGCATGTGCTGGCGGCGGCGGTAGGAGGAGGAGGGGGGGAGTGGGAAGAAACTGGGGGAGGGAGAGAGTAGCGGGTAAGGGGCTGGGTTGAAGCAGTGTGTATGAGAGTATGACGTGGGTGGGATGCTGCTGACATGGGCCCTGCTGACGTGGCGGATGAGCGGTCCACGTGGGGCCTCACCTGGCCCCTCCGATGCATCCCCCATGTCGCACCGCCCAGCACATCTAAACAGCTCGCCGCCATCCACATGCCACATCGCAACCATTGAACCGTAGCCACCGAGCTTCCCCATCCACTCCCTTTACTCACCTCGCAGGCCCAGGCCTTCGCCACCCACCATGTTACGAGGTACCAACAGCCCCCACCCGCGCAGTGCAGACGTGCGGCAGACGTCAGCAACAACAACAGCAGCGGCAGCACTCACGCCCCCCCGCTGCTGCTGCTGTCGTACATCCCGGGGAGTCCTGTCGTACGATTCGTACATGACTGCCTGGCTGCCACTCCGCCGCATGAGCGGCTCCAGCTGCTGGAGGCGGCCATGCGCCTCAACAGTGCTGCTGGTACTGCTGTTTCTGCTGCTGCGTCGGCAGGCAGTCCCGGCTGCATGGCCGAGGAGGAGCAGGCAGGGACTGGAAAGGAGCAGGCTGGGAGGCAGGAGGTGGCGGACGAGGGAGTTGGGGAGCTGGAGGAGGAGGAGGAGGGAGTGGAGGAGGGAGCCGGAGGAGCTGCGGATGGGCGGTCGAGGAAACGAAGACGCGTGGATGCAGCAGCAGCAGCAAAGGAGGGAGCAGCAACGGAGAGAGCAGCGGCAGCAGCAACGGAGAAAGCAGCAGCCCCGGCGGAGGCAGCAGCTGCGGTTCCCTGGGCGGCTCTACTGGCGCATGTGTGCGAGGAGGAGGAGGCGGTGAAGGGTCGGCGACCCACCGAACCATGGGTCATCCATCCTCTTGCCCTGGCGGAGTTAGTGCTGGCTCGAGGTGGGGGCAGAGGGGTACATGTGGGTTGAGGGGTGCGGGCAGGGGGAGGGCGGGTGTTGGAGCTGAGGTAGGAGGGAGGCGGGTTGCACGGAGTGAAGAGCGGACATGAGGAGGCTGCGTGACACGAGTGGAGACGCACCGGGTGGTACCTATACGCAGGACAAGGATGACCCCTGGCTTATCCTCCCCTCTCCTCTATCCAGCTTAACTATCCAGCCTAATCCCCTCTCCTCCTTCCCCTCGCCCCCGCCCCCCAAGGCGACCTGTTCCCGCCCCCCGCGGTGTCTTGCATCGCCCCCACCCTGCTGCGCTGCCTGGCCCCTCTGCAGCCGCCCGCCTCCGCGGCCCTCATCAACCGCGCCCTCCTCACGGCAGGCAGCCGCACGTATCCGATAACGGCGACAGCTGCAGCACCAACAGCAAGAGCAGCGGCAACAACTGATTATGATGCTTATCGTGTAATGGCAGCACCAGCAGCAGCAGCAGCTTCGTCTGCCTCCGCCGCTTCTCCCCGAATACCTGCCGACGTGGCAGCAGCAGCAGCGGCTGCCGCAGTGGCGGTCAGCAACGTGTGCCCCACGTCGCAGCCAGCAGCTGGCCAGCTGAGTGTTGTTGAAGGAGGTGGTGGAGGTGGTGGAGGTGGAGGCGGGCGGGGTAGAGGTGGGCTGCTGGCTGCGCTAGCGGTGCTGCGGCGGCCTCTGGAGGTGGTTGGGGTGGCGGGGGAGGTGTCTGGTCTGCCGGCTGGTCTGCAGGCGGGGGGAGCAGGGGGAGGCGGTGCAGCATCAGCGGGTGCAGCAGCGGGTGCGACAGTGCTGCTGCGGCTGCGGCGCGTTGAGACTGCAAAGCAGCAGCAGCAAAAGGTGGGGGACAGGATGGGAAGGGGGGGCTACGGAGGTGTGGGGGGTGAAGTGCCACCTGGACGCTTTGCTTTGCTTTGCTTTATGTTTCAGCAGTAGAAGGCTAACGTATGATGTTGGGTATCCGATGACGTGGCAGCACGCATCAGACCTCTCATGACGTCATCATGAAGCATGGCTCCCCTGCACCCCCTGCACGTAACCCAACCCACCAACCAACCATCCGCCCACTCCAGCGCGCAGTCCGTGCTTGTCTCCGCATTGTTGCCCACCCCCGACGCCGCTGTTATCCCCGTGTTTGCATGCTCCTGCTCGTGCTCCTGCTCCTGCTCCTGCTCATGCTCATGCTCATGCTCATGCTCATGCTCATGCTCATGCTCATGCTCATGCTCATGCTCGTGCTCATATGCAGGGCGGCGGCGGTAAGAAGCGCAAGCAGGGGGCCCAGCATGGGGCTGCTGCTGCTGCTGCTGCTGCTGCATCCGCTGCTGCTGCTCCCCCGGAGGCGCCCCAGTACGCGGCTGATCCGCCGCCCCCGCCGCTGTCGGCGTTGTGGCTGCTGTCGCACCTGCTGCCGGTGCTGCTGAGACCGCTGGGGCGGCCGGGGTGGCTGGGGGTCGGGGGCGGCAGCGGTAGCGGCGGCAGCAGCGGAGGAGGGGAAGGTGCAGCTGGTGGAGGGGCGACGATGGCTGCGGAGGAGGAAGAGGAGCAGGCAGAGGAGGCGGGGCTTCAGCAGCAGGAACAGAAGGAGGAGGAGCAGCAGGTGTTTGAAATGCGAGCTCTGGGTGAGCTGATTGGGCTGCTGGGGTATATACTGGATTGTGCGAGTTTGTGGGCGTCGCATCCTCTGTAAAGTCCCTCTCGGGGCGCATCACCATCTCACCAAGCATCTCCACCCCCGCCGCCTCCTCCTTCCTACCCCATACCCCGGTGAACCCGTTGTCCTTCCCCCCCGGTGTCCCCCCCCCCCTTCCCCCTAGCCTTGCTAGCTTCCCTGCTACGCGCCCCCGCGCTGCTGCTGCCCGAGAGCCCACCGAGCTGCACACACATCCCTGCCACTAGAGAAGCCGCATCTGCAGCAGGGGGAGGAGGAGCAGAAACAGCAGGAGGCGGCAGGCGCGGAGGAGAGGCCCGGGCAGGCGCATGGGGCGTGGCTGCAGCAGGGGCCGTCGGACCAGGTGTGGTGGAGAACACCAATAACAGCAGCAGCAGCAGCAGCCTGCAGCAGCAGGATGGTCCGCAAGGCGGCAGCAGCCCCCAGCAGCAAACTGACACCGAGTTGCGGGTGGCGGCTCAGGTAATGGCGCTGCAGCTGACCAGCCTGGGGGGGCCTGGGGCGGCAGGAGGCGGGGTGGCAGGAACAGCAGCAGGAGGGGGGGAAGCTGTGGTGCTGCAGGAGGCGGGGCAGCGGCGGTTGGCAGCTGTCATGTGTGGCGCGTGGGGACTGGTGCCGCCGCCGCCACCGCCGTCACCGCTGCCACCGCTGCCAGCACTGTTCCTCCAGGAGCAAGGGGGTTCACATGGCGAGCGCGCAGCTGCTGCTGGTGGTGGTAGTGGTGGTGGTGGTGCCGGCGGTGGCGGAGGCGGTGCGGTTGGGGGCTGCTGCGAGGCAGCTCCAGGCTTGGGGGAGTGCCGGTGGGATGCGGGTCTGGCGCTCTTGGAAGCGCTGACGAGCGCAACTGCTGGTGCTGGTGCTGCTGGTGCTGGTGTCGGTGGAGGAGGAGGAGGTGGCAGCGGCGAGGCCGACAGTGACGCAGTTGAGGTGAGTGGGTGGCAATGGGTGGGTGTACGGGGCGGGTTCAAGTCGGTCCGGATCAATTCGGATTCGCATGCGTACGAAGCCGGTGTGGGGTTTGCTTTGGTGAGCTTGGAAGCCCCGAATTACGGTAAAGAGCCCCCCTGGATTGCAGTCGGTACCTCGTACCTGGCGCCCCCCAACCGCATGCACCCTCAGCCGTGCGCCACTGCTGCTCCTCGTGCTCTTCTTCTCTCCACTGTCGCACACTCTCTCTTTGTCGTACACCCCTTGCAAACTGAAAAGAAAGGCCATGCTGTATTCCCTCGCTCGCGCAGCTCTTGGGACGTTTGGCTCTGGCAACCGTAAAGGCAACAACAGAGTGTGCTTCCGCAGCCTCAGCCGCTGCGGCGGGGCCGTTGGACAATCGCATCCATGACCGCCACCCCCACCGCCACCCCCGCTTGCTCCGCTACCCGGGTCTGCTCCCCTGGCCCTGCCTGCGGCCGCTGCTGGCACTGCTGAACCACCTGCCGGCGGGCAGCCCCCCGGCGGCTGCCGTACAAGCGCTGCTGCTGACGCTGCTGCTGCAACCTAACCGCGCCGGCTGTGGAGGTGGTGGTGGCAGCAGCGAGGTGTCAACGGGGAGCGGTGGGGGTAGCCAGAAGTCGGCGGCGGTAGAGGAGGAGAAAGAGGATGGGACAGAGCTGGGAGCAGCGACGACGAGCATGGCAGCGGCAGCAGCGCGGGAGGTGCTCCAGCAGATTGTCCTGGCGGACGCTGCGGTAACCGTCGGCGGCGCCGCTGGCGGAGGCGGCGGAGGCAGGACGGGGTCGTCATCATCAGCGGCATCAGCAGCAGTGCTACAGGCGCCAAAGGATGGTACTTCCGTACAGCTTACCGCCGCCGCAAGATTGGACGTGTTTCGCCTGCTGGTGGTGGCGGCGGAGGTAGCGGCGGAATTTGGGAATCGCGAAGCACCACATGACGAAACAGGAGCCACACCTGCGCCCGGCCCTTTGGCTGCAAGCGACGCCTCAGCCGGCGCTGCTCTTCCTCAAACCAGTGATCAAGGGAGCCCGCTCCCAGGTGGATGTAGCGGCAGTTGCCGTACGGATTACCTCCGGGTAGCGGTGGCGGATCTGGTCTCAGAGCGGCTGGCCGGCGGCGTGGCGGCGGTGGCGGAGGCGCTGCTGAGCGGGACAGAGGCTGGGCGTACGACAGGTGCGACAGCCGCGCTGGCGGGTACGGCACCGGCAGCAGCGGCGGCGTTGTCGGGACGAGCTGAAGATGTACTGCTGGTACGGCTGGCGGCTGCCGTACTGCTGACGGCACCGCCGGCAACGCTACAGCAGCAACCCCAGCAACCACAGCAGCAACAAAGGCAAATGGTGGCCTTGAGGCAAGACGCACAAAGCAGCATCCAAACGATAGCAGGTGCTACTGCGGCGGCGGCAACGGTCGGGAAAGGGAGGAACCATGTGCTAGCTGTAGCCGCTCGAAGCTGCCTCGTACGGATGCTGCGACGCAATGCTGTTGCGTGTACGGCATTAGGGAGGCTCGGAGGTGCCGTACAGCCGCAACCGACTCATCACGCTGCTGCTGCCCCCGCCTCGTTGACAGTGGAGTCGCTGCTGCGTCCCGCGGCATCCGCCTCGCAGCTGGCGGCTCAGATGCGGGGGTCGCTGCTGCTGCTGGCGGCGGCGGTGGCGGCGAAAGTGGAGGAGCAGCAGCAGGGGTAGTGAGGGTGAGCGAGAAGGCCACAAGGGGCAGCTTCGTGGAAGGGGGCCATGTAACATGCACTGGGCGGGCGGGAAGCAGCCAACCCACAAGCCGGCCTGCATTTGCTGGCAGAGGGCCCACTGGGGGTGTTGTGGGGGTGATGAGAGCGAGGAAGTGCCCATGCATGCTGCCAACAGGGACCTCGACCCTTGAGCCGTAATAAGGTGCAGCTCGACCGCGAGCTAGCTTCCCCCACGTGGCTTCGCTGCAAGTGTACGATACGGGCCGCGAGTAGGAACGTATGTATGTTTCATGCGTGCCGCTACATGTGCGTGCCATGCTTCTTTCGTGGACAGCAGGGGCATTGTCGCATTTGTCGGGCATACTTACGGAGGGCTCCGGGTCGCTCGGAGGCTTGGGTCTGGGAAGCAGGAGGTTGAGTCAGCGGAGGAGCGAACTGCTGTGTTGCTGAGGGGCAAACAGTGTATAGCAGTAGCAGGACGCACGGAGGACATACAGGCGGGCAGCCGTCCTGCAACTAACAGGGCCTTACAAGGGTGTTACAAGGCTGCACACATACTGCTGCGGGAGAGAGATACGAGATACTGATACGAGGCGGATTGGCCGATCGAAAGGTAAGCATGCATGCGTGTCTAAGACAGATACAGATTAGAGTAGTTTAGAACTTCGGACACGGTTACATGGCCATAGTTCGTCGTACACTAACTCCACCGATAGCGGCAGATCATAGATAGCCGGAGGCCAGCAATACACAATAAGCATTTTCTCAAATACCGTACGCAATCTGTCCAATTTTTCAATATAGCGCAGCTTTCAACATCCACACCTCAACTCAACAGACGACATTGCTATTCAATCGCCAATGTACAGTCTATAAGCAAGTGCAGGCCAACACGCACTTTTCAGTGGGGGGGGTGCTACGCCTCCATTCAGTAAAATTATAGGTTGCATAGGAAAGCAAACGCGAAGTGATACCGTAAGCTAGTTAGCTGCTTCAAGTTCCCTCATTGTCCGCCGGCTAACAGCATCACCCCACAACGTCAAGTCCTAATAAGGATCCTTAGGTTCCGAAAGCTAAGCGGCGGAGACGTCACCCTGTCTCAAGAGCAACCAAAGGCACGCACGTGAAAGAGTTCCCTCATCAGCCGGAATGCATGCTCCCTTCCTCGCGGACAAAACCTTGACAACACATCACTTAGACGCTGTTATCAACACGCATGACGCTTTTGAGCATTAGCTGTCCTATTGAACCACGGGTCGTCATCACCCAGCACGCGAGACCCTCTATAAAGATATACATGTATGTAGATTATAAGGTTCAGTTCAGAGTTGTATGTAACAGGCACGCAGGCGCATGTGGCAACAGGACGAACAGAACAACTCAAGATAGGGGCGGCTCTATCTCCGTATATGTACGTACATGCATGCGGCATCACAGTACATACATGGTTAGCACGAAGTTGGCGCACACAGAGCATCCATACCCAGGTACGAAACATTTGGCCGTTTCTGTGCCAGCCACCAGTGATGACATCTCAAGCAAAAACCATTCTATGTAGCTGTGACAAATGTTTTAATCTGGAAATTACTAGTAGACAATAAGTGCAGCCTCAGCAGCAGGCCGTTTGGATCCATCTCCCGCCTTTACGAGACATTCGTACAACATGCACAAAACGCAAAAGCAGATGCCAACAGTAACTATTTTCTTCTTGCTTAGTAGCCATAAATAACAGTAGCAGGCATAGCTAGCCTTCTAACCCCAAGCGCTTCCAAAACCAGGCAAGGGTGGTAGGTTATTGTAAACCGCAGGCAGGGTACAGAGAATTTCAAGTAAGCTATACTGACGAGAACCCTCCTCCTGCAACCCAAATCGTGCCAACCTCCATCCACCAACCATTCCGTCCAGGCACCCATTTCATGACAGTTGCCTTCTTGTTACATATCGCTGCCAGCGCTGAGCAGTTCTTGCTCCAACTGTCTGACAATATCTCCGAAACCAAGGCGGCTGTGCGGGTCAACAGCCAAGCATGCCGCCACCAACTCAGCGTATGACTGGTGGCCTGAGGTGAGCATATCCTGCACATGGTTTTCATGGAAACGTACGGGGAAGAACAAGGTTTGCGGTACGGCAACAAGAAATAGGGATAGATGACCATACATTTAGCAAGGGCAGCAGGAAAGGTATCCAGGTGAAGGTGAACGATCCTGCTGTACGCCTCATGTATCCAGGTGTTGATTAAACAAGTAACTCGGGCTACCCTGGCATATATACATGTGGACAGCGGTCCACGAGCATGAATACGTGCGGCTAGCGTGCGTGCTTGCTTCGCAAGGCTGGCCAGGAACTAACCAGGCCATTAAAGAGGTCGCATGCATGGGTGATGAATCCACGGCTACCGGTAGGGTGCATGCTGTATCTGTACGTATCAAGTGCTGCCCCACCACACACAAACGCACACACACTGCAGTACGTTCCTACTAGCGGCCAGTTTTCTTATCACGCACACAGGCCGGTTTCCTAAACAGACAAGGCACGCATGCAAGGGGCCTTTGAGCATTGAGTTTGTGGTCGACTTCTTTACCTAAATATTCAGCAACAGAAAAGAAATGTGTCTCACACACAGCGCCTGGCTCACCTTGATCAAGACCTGGTGCAAAGGTTGCTGCTCCTGTTTAGGACAGCTGCAGCTGCTGCTGGCATGTCCGTCACTTTGGAGCACCGCCTCTCCTGCTCCTCCACCCGCGGCTGCTGTGGCTGCTGCCGCCATCTGAACAGTGCTCAGATCCAACAGCATGCAGCCGTAGTAGAGCTCCAACAGCAGCAACCCAAACGACCACACATCCGCACGAGGGGACACCTGGCCGTCGGTCGCGACCTGCAGCATGACATACCTTATGTGTTTGCCCGTCATCACGAATTTTCTTTCACCACTTACATGTGTTCTATAGCAAGGGCTAGCATGATGCGGGGTACGCTCTTTGTCTCCTCCAGCAGCCAGCAGCCAGCTCACCTCTGGAGCCATGTAGGCGGGAGTTCCCTGGAAGCGTTGTGAGGCGTGCGTGGCTCCCTCGGGCAGCGGCAGGCTGAGCCCGAAATCCGCCACCTTGGCTGTGAGCTGCAGCTGCTGCAGTTGCTGCTGCTGCTGCATCACTGCTGCCATGCCCGACTTGCCAACGGAATGGCCCCTGCTGCTGTTGTTGGTGTGGGGTGCATCCTCAGCACCCGCTGCTACTGCTGCTGCTGCTGTGCCACCAGCAGAAGAAGGAGCAGTGTTATCGGCATCATCGACATCGCTTGAAACACGTGGGCCGCTCACTAGCAGCACGTTGTCTGGAAGCGCCCAGGGAAGCGGGGAGGGAGGAATGCAGTCGTTGTCACGTTGAAAGTGCATGGCTAACAGTGAATTCGCATGATGGAGGACCAGGGCTGCCTCTCAGCAAACGGTCCCAAGGCATGAGCAGCCCCCCCCGTACATGCACACAGCAAATCCCGCCGATGCGTATATTGCTTGATGCTGCTTACCCGGTTTCAGGTCTCCATGCACGACGCGGCAGCCGTGTATGTGCCGCATGCCCTGTGCCACATCCAAAGCCAGCCGCAGTGCAAGTAGCCGGAGCAGCCCACCGGCACGGACGCTGCCAGCCATGCCGTACTCTTTAAGGGAAAAACATGAAAAGGGTGGGACCAGGATTGTTTGTTTACAGGGACTTCGAGGCTTATAGTCCTTTGCTAGACGCCGTCAATGGGTGCACCATGAATCAATCAGGTAGGTGAACCTACTTGGCATACGTCCCTTCAAGCAAGGCTGCTGTCACCCAGCCCTCCCTAATGCGCCCACCTAGCGCGCGGCGCAGAGTACCGGCGTTGCAGAACTCCTGTACGATGTAGAGCTTGAACACATCCGCTGTACCCTCCGCGTCAGATCCAGTTCCAGAGGTAGCTGCGGATGGTGCCATGCTGGATCCAGATGATGTGCTGGGGCTTGTGGTAGCGGGTGTTGGCTTTTGGACCAGCGGCTTTATGTCGTATTTGTAAGTAGCTGCAGGCGGGACATACCACCACGTCGGGCAGGTTTGGAAGGCAGTAGAAGGGGCTTGCTAAAGGTAAGCGGGTAAAGTCGAGGTGCGGGACATGACATGCATGCGTACCGTGCATGCATGCATTGAATTTACTGCACACCTTTACTTTACTTTACCATGCGTGCATGCATGCCTGTCATGCCCGGTGCCCAGGCATGCATCCCTAGTAATTTATTGTAAAGGAATACAAGGTAGGACCTACCAACTATGTTGGGATGATACAAGCTCATTGAAATGGCCGACTCCAGGATTGCGCACTGTTTTGTGAAGCCTCTTGGGCCTGCTATTGTGGCAACCGACGTCACCAATGTCTTGATTGCCACTCGCAGACCCCTCCATAGGCCGCGGTATACCACACCGGACGTGCCCCTCCCTATCACTCCGCAGAATGTTAGGTCTGGGTCCCACAAATCGGCCTGCAGGGATCAACAACATGAATGGGGGTGGTGATAGCCACATACACAGCGAACAACAGTTATTAGTTGCGGTGTGAGCTGGTGAACATGTCAGGAACTAGGGTTCAGTTAGTTCCTTGTCCAACAACCAACTGACCTTCACGGCACGAACCTCCTCACGGACCTCCAGTGGTACATCAGCAGGAGGCAAGTCGGTCATGCTCACAGACACATGCGATGACGTTGTCCTGCTGCTGTCATCGTGAACATCCTGGCTACCCGCTGAGGCTGGCTGAGGATACCGTTGTCGATGAGCGCACTCCTCCTCATCCAGTTGAGTACCGCTGAGGGTTGCAGGGACTTGAAGGCAACTGTAGTACGCCTGTTGGGTCGCACAACATGCGTGCGGCAGTCAATGCAGGTAGAGGTCATGGGAATGCCGGTACCACAGTTATATTAACACCATTTAACAATGCACAACCCTGCTGACCCATGGGTCATGAATCTCTGCCTCAATCACCATCCACAGGCACTGCTAGCTGTGTCTCGTAACCCCAACCGCCCGTAAGCTTTGTACTTCACAGAAAGGTGGTAGCAGCCTGTGGCGTTCTGTATCCTGCCAACTAACCTGCATGCTTTGTAAGAGGCTCTTGACGCCCTGCTGCCCGTTTCCTTGTGCCCCAGCAACAGAAAGCTCGCATGTCTTGCTGCCATCATTGCAGTCACCAAGCAGCTCCTTTCCCTGCTGCTGCTGCTGCTGTAACCGCATTGACTGCTCACCAACTGAAGTGGAGGCGGTGGTTGTTGCCGTTGTTGCCACCAGAGTGCAGTACGATGCTACGTGGTAGGGCTGTGGGTTGTCAAGCATGAGGAACCAGAGGGTACCGGGGCATACGGGGGAGTGGTCCTTTGTACAGCTCTCCAAGGCCTACCTTGAACAGTGCAACAAGGATTAGCTCTTGACACTCGAACCTACGCAACCACTTCTAACACTTCATGACTTCTAAGGTCAGTTGTGCATTTAGAGCAAGGAAAGCATACCCTTAGGCAAGGCAAGAATGCGAATAATGCAATCCATACCAGTACAAGCCAGGTGGGGGACATACCTTCAAAGAAACAACACAGTGGCGCTTCTGCTTCAGCAGCAGCTCATCAGTAGCTGATGGACGTCTGCCCAAACCTCTCCCAGCAGCAGGCGTTCCGTAGGCCACGGCGGGTACACTTCTGGTGACCAGTTCATGCTCGGTTGTCGCGGATACCGTGGGTAGGAAGCTGCTGCTGTCACTCGTGTCTAGGGTAGTAGTCCTCCGGGAGCTGCTGCCAGTGACTCCACCCTTGCAATCCGCGTCGCTCCTCAGGGCCTTGCAGCCAAGGACGTCTGATTCTTCACTGTTGCAAACCACTCGGACCAGAGGGATGTCGTCTGTACCACCCGGGCTGACAGCGGGGCGCTGGTGTTGTTGCTTGGTGGCAGTGAGAGCAAGCCCCTTTCTTGCCAGGATGAGTAGAAGCAGGAGTGATAGGAGGGCCACTAGGGAGCCTACAACAGGGGCTAACCAGTATGGGCGGTGGCGGTGACCCTCATTGTCAACAGGGCCTGATGAGGAGGTTGGCACGACTTGGAATGGTGATGGTGAGATTGGTGGCTCCCTGCTGCCAACAGCAGCTGAGCTGGGATCGGAAGATCCTCTTGTTAATTGTAACAGAGGTGGTACTGGTATGGGAGGTGGCGGTGGGTTGGCCAGGAGTTCATCCACGGCCTTGTTGGCTGGCGGAGGTGTGGGCATGCTTACATTGATGTCCATATCTGTGGGAAGAACAGCAGGGACAAGGGACACGGTCAATTCATTAGTGAACTGCAGTAAGGGTTGTGGCATCTGGGCAACTTCGGCATGCAGGCATTTTCTTGACTATAACAGTTTAAGCAGGTACACCTCTTCACAATGTAAGTGAAACACAGCAACCCCAAGAGCCATGAGGGTGGTGGTCCGTCCGTACCTGCAAGCACCTGGTACGGCAAGCTGATGGGAGACGGGTACGACAGAAGCTTAGCACCGCTCGGTGCATCCACCGGCATCTCGTATGTCACCGTCACGTTGGTCCCAATCCATCCATAGTGCCTTGCGACTGCCAAGACCAACACGCCAGCACTGTAGTTGTACGAAGCGACCTTTTGCATAAGAAGGGAAGTGTACGGGCAGGTGTACGGGCGGGTAGTACAAAACAACAAAGGTGCGTGGTTAAGGAGTTAGGGGTTTTAAACATAAACTGGTACACACGGAAAGCTGCGTGTGGCAATGGGCTGCAATTTATTAGGTCACAGACAACGCAGCTAGCGGACAAGCATCCTGTAACCGGTTCAAGTTGTTAGTGGTGATACAAGCCGTGTAGCTTTACCAATAGGGGAGCAAAGACATGTCAGTTGCTCAACGCGCATTGGCACAGTAGTAAGCCACACGAGAGCTATCCGCTGCACACCCATCCACACGGCATTGTTCTTCACCTGTGAGGCAGCTGCGAAGTCTAGGAGTGCTGCATAGGTGGTATCCGTGTAAAAAGGCGAGGGCGGCGGATAGGATGGTATCGGTGGTGAGGGGGACGTGGAGGGGCGTGCTGGTGGTGAGGATGGTGGAAAGGGCCGCCTTGGTGGTGGTGGCTGGGGTGGCCGGGGTAGCTGGGGTAGCTGGGGTGGGCGCGGTGGGGGTGGTGATGAGGGTTGGGGTGGCCATGGCAGCGGTGGTGGCAATGGTGCACTTTGCAGAACTACACCACCATCAGCTGCTGGTTGCAATAAGACACCGTTGCTGACATAGCCCGGTGGGCCCAACTGCTCGTCTGCTGCCAGCCGCCTCAACGAGGGTGCTGGGATTTGTGGGCGCCTTCCATATGGTGGAGGCCCGGGTAGTGGTGAACCTTGCTCTTCCAGCGTCATTGCGGACAGACGCCGTCCATGCTGCTCTGTGGCCGCACCCAAGCCACCATGCTGCAGAAGTAATGCTGCAACCAACGCTCGCCACTCCAACTCAGGAACCACCAGGATAACATTTTCAAGGAACAGCATATCCGCCTGCGCCTGCTGCTGTGAGGCCTGCGCTTGTGCACTGCTCGGATTCCTGGTGAATGAAAAGAACCACAGTGGCAAGGAGCTGTTGGTCCATGCCGCATCGGGTCCATTCAGCTGTGGCGCAACCAAAGGGGCTCCCTGGCTGTTGTTGCTGCCTCCACTTGTCCCATAATTTGTAGCATTAGGAGCAGCGCTGGCAACGAAGGGATACATGCCACCGGGAGCCAGGTTGTAGAGAACCAAGCCTCGGAGGGTGATGGGCTGGAGAAGCTCAACGTGGCCGATGGCGCCCTGTCCAACGGACATCAGAAGCAAGCAAGCCAGGAAAGTCCGGATAGGAGAGGGTTAGTAGTGTATCATGTGACAAAGTACCTAGAACTAGAACCCAAATGAGCGCCCTGAGAGGCCCACTGTGCCCACATTTACGGTATGGCTACCAATGTCACACACCTGAAGGTTAGAGAAGATACGGTTGCCCTCGAGCTCATGCAGGTAGCCCTCAACAATGCACCTGCCAGCAAACGCTGGCATGTCACCACTCGTGATGCGGATTGTGCTTGCTTTAGCTGGTGGCGGCAACAACTGAGGAACACTTTGATCATCAGGTCTGTGGATTGGATAGTTTAGGTGTAGTTCATCATTAGCCAATCATCAATGAGCAGCAGCCGCAGCAGAACGTCGCCCAAGCATAAGGCATTAAGAATACCAGCATGGCCGTATCGTTGGGGCTGGAGTGGGATCTGCAACCATACAATAACAGGACCGAGCAGCCTGTTCCCTACCGTCTGTTACCCCAGCATACCGTGTAATGAAGGTAACAGGTGACCTGCTTGGCAATGGCCCACATGCCATTGAAAGGTTGGACAGGGCATCCTGCAAGCCCTCAGCAAAACCGAGCCCTAGGGGACCCTGCAACCAGCAACCAGCAACCAGGGCAAACCAAAACCCAAGACCATATATAGAACTAGGCCTTGTTATGTTTCTACAGTGTTACTTACAAAGCAGTGGTGTATGCGCACTTGCAGGCAAGCATGCATGGCACCAAGTCACAATGCATGTCACAAAGCTCAGGCAAGTATGCATGACAGAAGCAGCGCAGATCACAAGCCATGCCTTTGGTGCAAGCTGTAGTCTTAACTATGGGAAGCCGTGCCACGCCTGGCACTCCCTTCAGGAGCTCTGTAGTCGGGAGAGGTACCGCCTTTCCACATCCTGATGAGAAGACTTCAACCGGTAGGCACGGGTAGCTTGCATGCTTGAGACTGTATGTCTGGCTGCTGCACACCACCTATCTACCACCGGCACATGCCCAACCGCACCCACCCACTGCGCTGCTGTCGCCGCATCCCCATGCAGCACCTCAGGAAGCCACAGCAGCGACTGTGGCAGCAGCGGCCGGGCACCTGGCAGCGCCGAGTAGTAGCTGGCAGACAGCAGCGTGCAGTTGAGCAGGGAAACCTGTGCAGGCCAAAAGGGAGTTAGACACTAGCGCTAATAACCAAGTAGCATGCATATACAGCATTCGCTCCCGTTCTGATGACTGGTGAGCCACATCACCCTGCCGGTAGGTGCTCATAGGATTGATCACGCACATGCACGTGCACATGCGTGCTAGGCTGCCCCACCTGAGTTCCCAATCGTAGCTCCGACACGAACAGTGAGGCCCCAGGGATGTCACTCGGTGTGCCCTGCAAGACAGGTTCATGCAGGGTGGGACAAAACACATGACCCAATAGTGGGCATGTCTGCTGAGCATTTGAATTGACACATCCAGTTAGGGTCTGCTGGAGCTAGCTGTGTAAGGGGAATCTTGCTTTGCTGCAAGCCCAACAGTGAGGCTTCAAGGCTTTCGACTACACATGATACCACGAAAGGCAAGGCATGCAAAAACCCTGGCGGGCAGTAACACACAGCCAGCGGCCCAGCACTCGTAATAACCTGGTGAAGCAGGCATGCTACTTGCCCCAGGCGCATGGACGCGTGTCCTGAGGGTTACCTTTGCATTTAGCACAGCAAAAAGTGTTGCTAGTTTTTCCACTGAAGGGGAAGCCCCGGCGGAGGTTCTTTTACTCAGCAACACTCGCTCCAGGAAGGCAATTTCTTGGTCAGGTATGACGATTGTACAGCGCTTGAGGACCAGCTGCGCCACGGACGAACTAGAATTGAATCTGCAAAAGGAGTACGTTTACATACAATGGAAGCAATGGTTAGCACTCATCGTGTATGAGTGTGCGGTATCGTTGAGGATGTGCATGCATGTGCTGACGACCATAACCTGGTTCATTCATGCACAGCAGCCCCACACCTACCCATCCATGCGCCTTGCCTCCCCTGACACACCTGGCGATCCCAAAGCTCTGCAAGCTCAATGCTAGCAGGCTGGTCATCTTGGTAGGCGACGTCGTGTACGGCAAGTTGATGAGTGTAAGGTCAGACATCTGCACCGCCTCAGCTATACTGCTGCTGCTGTTGTGCTCGCTGGATGTGTACCATGCGCGTTCAACTCCGGCTAGGTCGATCGTTGTGTTTCGTTCCGGCTTCCCAAGCAGCACTGTCAGCACTTTCGCAGGTAGCAGCACCTGCATGTAAGAGTGGTGATGACCACAGCAGGACGTGCGAGGAGCGGAAGCAGGTAAAACAATCCAGAGGAGCAGGACTTCAAAGTACGGCACCTTCTGGAAGCTTAGGTCCCAGCTTTCCAACCCATTACTGCTGGGCCCTATCCAGCCAGCAGGCACCTTCATCCTACAAGCCGTGCAGACTGCACCACCTATCATCAACACCCACTCCACCCCAACCCCACGTACCGGCTGCCAGCTCCCATCCGTGGGCAGTGCTACATCTGCAGCCACAGACAGGAACAGGGCTCCGGACGTCATGCTGCCAATCATTGCTGCCAGCCCAGATTGGCGCAACTGTCGGCCGCCATCCGTGACCACGGCCGCAGCCGCAGCAGCGAAAGTTCCTTGCAGGCCGTAACCTGGACATGTGAGCGTCACATCAGACCAGTGCACCAAGCCGCCAGCGGATACCCTGCTGGGCGAAGAGCTGTTGGATGGTCCGCTAGTTACACGAGCTGTTGTGGTGAGCTGTCCAATCTGGATGACTCCCTCACGAATGGTTACTGTCTCGGTGTACGGCCATGCGCTTGTGGAGGTGGCCAGGTACCTCAGGAAGTGGTACAACTCCAGCCGATTGAGGAGGAAGGTGACGTTTTGTAGTGTGAGGGTCGCCTCCGTGGGGACGTTGAAGAGGAGGATGGGAAAGAGGTCAATTAACGCCGCACCCGTGTAATATATGTACGATCCCATGGGGCTGTCGACCTCTGTTGCGTCTAGCCCCAAATACGCCACGGTAAGGTGTTGGCCTGTGGAGGCGGGAAGCAGGGACGGCGGATGTTAGGTATGCATGCGCCTAAACTGGCTGCCTACTGCTCCCATGACTAAGAAGGGGCATGCGAGGCCACCTTGACGGCAAGTACAAACCAGGGCGCGGCAAGTCGGTGTGGCTACCCAGTCGTACCATCTAGTGGTAGGGTGTGCAGCGTAAGCCAGTGCTTTAGTCCCATACATCTGGACTTTTAGATTTGGTTCCATGCATGGACAAGTAAAGCCATGATTCCCTTGACTGCTATGCTTACCTGGTGCCAAGCCGATAACAGGGACACCAAGGGAGAAGGAACTAATCAATGCTGCAAAGTCCAGCGCCGTGTAAGGATTTTCACTAGGGGGCAGGGGCGGGCTTGGCCCCATTGGAATCGGCGGAGGTGGCATTCGGCGAGCAAAGGTTGGCAGCTTAATAGCCATGAGACTCTCAGGTAAGGAGTTTCCCCGACCGTGCATGGCCAGGGGCGATATGGGCAGCGCTGTGGTAACAGGTCCTGTACTGAGTTGCTTCAAGTCCACCACCCCTTGCGGTAAGATACCCTGGGTTGCTAGCAAATCAGCAACCGTGATGCCGCCATCTGTGGGAATGATAAGGGCATCCACTCGCGATCGCAGCAGTGCCAATCCCAAAATAAACAGCGCTGGAAACCTGAAGTGGGATGGAAGGAGCAGAATGCTCAAGGCTCCACCTGATGGCCATACGGTTGTAAGCAGGACATTGTTCGTAGAAACAAGTCATCCCATGTTGCCCGACGTAATACGCGCCGGTACATTCAAGTATAACTAGTCCACCACTAACCGCAATTGCACCCCGGCTGGGTGAAAAAGCTGTCAGGACAAAACCAACGAGGGGTTCATTTGCAACATATACTTTAAGAGGGGTTCCTCCTCTTCACTTAGATTTATCCAGAATAGCTATCCAGAATAGCTACCTACATCCATCTTGCCACAGCTCCATTGCCGTCGAGAAAGCAGGGTGTACGTGGCATTTATCCTATCTTGCAGGCCAGAGGAAAAGGCTACGCTGCGATCTTCATTTGCCTTTCAAATTAATTTCGAAATCACTTATAAATTAGCTATTAGCAGAAGATGGCAAGTACAAATCCAAGTAGCCATAGCCGGACGTAATTTCCAAAGCGTCAAGACATCGCATCGTGCCGTGATGGTAGAAGAAAACTAATGTTATGTTACATGACAGAGCGTTGGGGCTGACCTGTAATTCCCGAGCTGCTCGGTTATGCGTACGAAAGCAATGCATGCGACCTGTAACCGTTTTTAACCCACCGCGGCTCCACGCCCATGTACTAAGGCGCCATGTTCAATGAAAATGCAGTATGTATGTCCGTGAAGCCGTGCTATGTAGCCAGGGCCTAGTCGCACTGCCCGCGATCACAGCAACACAAGTGCAAAGCCGGTTCATCCTAATACCGTGCTAATGTGGGAAATAATGAAAGCTCTAAAGAGGAAGGGCGGCAAATTGAGTTAATTTGCAAATTATAGTTCACGCCTGCCGGTTGACATTTAGCCCCGCACATGTGCGTGCAGGCTTCCCCAATAAACCGGTGGCATCCTATGTCGCATCCTATCTCTTTCAACCCTCTGTAAATAAAAGGAAAACATGGTACAACCCTCTGTAAATAAAAGGAAAAGTTGTACCGCCATGGCTTGCAGTCACCGGGCCCACGTGCTGGCATCCAAGCTGCTTGCCTACCAAACATCTCGCTTAACCACACTCTCTTGATGTCTCTCATTGCAAAATTGCTACCGTGTTGTGGCGGCCGCAGCCATTGTTCACATACGTGCCCTGCCTGCAACAGCAGCAGCTGCTGCTTCTGCTGCTGCAGCTGTGCTCTTGCTGTGCTGTGTTGCTGTCATCGTGTGAGACTGTATGGGGAGGCCGGTACTAAGTTGGATGTATGGCAGGAGTAGCCTACAGCCATTCACACAGCAGAGCCGGCGTGGCGTTGTAGGGCAGGTGAAAGATTTGGTGGTTGCGAGGGTTGTGTGGGTGGAGGGGCAGGCAGCCAGCTCCTAGCTGGGGGCAGTAAAAGTACTGGCTGTGATACCAGTAGTGTGTTTGTGCTGACCATGTGGGGCTCGATTGACTGGAAGACGCCGGGAAAGGCCGCCCTTGAACGACTGAACGGCCTTGTCTTGAAGGGCTGTTCCGAGGGTGAAGTTCTGTGCTTGCGCCACCAAGATGTGATGTTGGGCAGTAGAGCCGTGACATCCATCCATGGTCCTGGAGATAGTCTACAGCGAAAGACAGGAGGCCCTCGTGCGGTGGTTGGTGGTAGCTGCGACGCAGCCACGCAGCTGCAAGGGATCCGTGTTTGGATGCCCTGGTGGTGGAGCCCATGGAGGCAAGAATGTGTGGCAATGTGTATGTACGCTGGTGGTAGCTGCTGTGGCGTGGATGTGAGGATTATAGGCCGCTTACCGGCATATAGCTGGTGATGGGTGTGGCGTGGCACTTAGGACGTTTATTCGCAGGCTGCGCGTAACAATAGCATGGTATCAAGATGGCATGCCTGGGGGGTACTCGGAGGCCTGGAAGTCGTGGCTTGGGATGCCCGAAGAAATGCTGTACGGCAAACATCCTGCCTCATTAAACCCTGAACCTAATATGCCTCCGGCGTGCAGGCTGTCCGTGCATACAGAGTTAACACACTTGCACGCGCGACCACTAGCTATGCGAGGCTACTTCGCGACCCACGATTCACCTATGGGGAATTAGGCATTGAGCGTGCAGTCTGAGGAAAGCATCGCGCGCGCCATGTTGCAGCTTCTGGAATCACAGGGCTGGAGCATCAAGCCTGATGTAAGCCGCTAGACCTGCAACTGAGGAGAAAGCAACTTGTCGCTGACACTCTTGCCTCAATGCTCGGCATTCGCGCGTGTTGCCCGCCAGGCCTACCAGGAACTTGTTGAAGAAGCCGAAGGCAATGTGCCGTCAGTGCTGCAAAACATTTTTCATCAGGACCTAAAGAAAATTGGAAAAGCGGCCCTTCCTGACGACGTCAACCGCACGACTACCACCATCAAAGGCCCAGTCGTGCTGCAGATCAGCTCCGTAGCTGATATCTCACGTCCCAGTTTACGTGAAAGCTCTGCTGGCGGAGGCAATGACCGCTTGCTATGCGTGAGGCTAACCGATGGCAAAGTAACATGTAAAGCAATCGAGTATCAGCGCGTTGAATTGCTCAGCGAGGAGCTGGCTCCAGGTACCAAGGTGCTATTAACCAACGCAACCGTGAAAAATGGCATTGTGTTGCTCAACCCAAAGTGCATCAAGGTCTTGGGCGGTCGCGTGGAGCACCTGGCAGCTGCCTGGGAGACGCAACGGCGCTACGGAGGTGTAGAACGTCCCCGCGCGGCTGGGGGCCCGGCGGGGTCGGAGGGGGAGATGGCGCCGCCCTTCCGCCACTTCGTGCCAGGTGCGTGACGGTGGTGACAGGGCACCCGCGATAGGACACCCGCGTCTGGACGGGCCGGGGGTGTGGAGGATGGGGGCAGGCAGGAGGGATTGTACGTGGGCAGCACAACGTGTGGATGTTGCCACCCGCCTGCCGTCTTGAGGGCACGACAGCCGCAGCCCCCTGTGTTCCCATGTGCTCCCCTTTACCGTGTTCCTGCTCCCCTCACTGCTCGCCACACCCACACACGCAATCCCCCACGCGCACGCAGGCCGCGACGATAAGGCTGCCAAACTCAGCGGCCACACCACCACCCCAACCACTATCCCAACCACCACCAGATCCGCACCACCAGCAACCAGCGCCGCCGCAGCAGCCGCCACAGTAGCGGCGGCAGTGGCGACCGCAACCGCGGCAGCAGCTGCAACGACAACGGCAGCAGCAGCAGCGGCTGCCAAGGGGACTGCAGCAGCAGCAGCCGCACCCCCAGCAACCGCGGCCCCCCCGCCTGCTGCCGCCGCTTTGACGTTCTCGGGGGGTGCGGCGGGTGAGGCGGCGCGGCGGCGGCTGCAGGAGCAGCTGGAGGCCAGGGAGGAGGCACGGGGTGAGGCGGGTGTGTGTGTGTATGACGGGACTTAACCAAGGGGAGTGGGTAAGGGGGAGGAAACGAGCCATGTGGCAAGGCTTCACCGGGGGTGGTGGTGGTGGGTATGGAGATCAGGGGATGACCATGACAGGAGCCACACGCGTTGGCTGTTTGGATGGGCTGATGCGCAGCTCACTGGTTTACCTCCCTGTAACACCGCACCTCCCTTATTTCCCATTTCTCGGCTCTCCCACCTCCTTCCAACCCTCCCCCCCCTTACCTCCTACCCCCTACCTCCTCAGGCCGCTTCGGGCGGTTCGGCGGCGGGCGGGGCGGCGGGCGGGGCTTCCGTCGCGGCCGGCGGGGCGATGATGACGAGGATGATGGGGGCGGCGGTGTAATGACGTTGGAGGAGTACGAGGCGGCGCAGAAGGCCAAGGCGGCAGCGGCGGCAGCAGGTGGGGGACGGGAGGGAGGGGCGAGGTTGGGAGGGGTACGGGTTGCTGGCACTCGCGAACTCCCAAGTGCACCCAGCCCGCAGCGGCATGCGGTGTCCTCTGATGCAGGCCGCATGGGCTCCTGGCACTGCTGACCCGCCCAGCAGTCGCCAGCTAGCTGTGTGTGTTTTTCCTTCTGCTTAGCCCCCCTTCCCGCCTGCTCTCTTTCCCCTCTTCCCGCCCCCCTGCTGTGGTATCCTACGGCTCGGTACGGTCTCTGACCTCCCCCACCTGCTATCCCTTCCCCTCCCCCCTCCCCCCACAGGTCCCCGCGGAGTGGCCCAGCTGGAGGAGGATGAGGCGCTGGCTCGCAGGCTGCAGGTGCGGGTGAAGGGGGATTCAGAATCTAGAACTTACCTGACTAGTTCTGGCTTATTCCATATGCACATTGACTGATGAAGTCAAACCCGACAAACCCACCGACCCTTTGGCCACCCGTCCTCTTATCCCCGTGCCTCACTCATTCGTCGTGAGGGGGACTGCCCTCGCCTTTTATGACTCCCAAGAGCCCCCCGCACCCGCCCCCGCCCGCACTCCATATATTGAACCCCCCTCCCCCCCCCGCCACCCCACCCTACCCCACCCCACCCCACCCCAGGCGGAACTGGATTTGGAGGCGTCGTACTACTCTCGGCCGGAGGGCGGGACATCACAGCAGGCAGCATCTGGATCCGGGTACGGCGGGTACGGCAATCGGAACACAGGATACGGCGGAGGCGGAGGCAGAGGCGGAGGAGGAGGCGGCAGAGGTGGGCCTACCGGCTACGGTAGCTACGGCGGCGGTGTGGGTGGTCCCGGAAGAGGGGGTGCAGGAGGGGACTGGGAGGGCGGTCGGGGCGGCCGGGGGGGAGGCAGGGGGGGAGCGGATGCGACTGGGGGAGGGGCGGGTGGCGGGTATGTGGGCGGGAGGGGCGGCCGACCAGCCTCCGCGGCCCCGACGATGGCTGTGTCGTACGGCGGGGGTGGCGGAGCAGCTGCTGCTGGTGCTGCTGCCGGTGGAAGGCCGGGGACTGTTGGCATGGGGGGTGGGGATGGTGGTGGTGGCTACAGTCGGGGGATTGTATCCCAGTATCAGCAGCCGCCACCGCCGCTGCAGTCCCAGCAACCTCGGCCGCTGCAGCCCCAGCAGCCACCGCCGCCGCCGCCACCGCAGCAGCAGCCCCAGCGACCTGCATCCGCGGTGCCTCTCACCTCGGCGGGTGCCGGCAGTAGTAGCAGTAATGCCGCGGCTGCTTCCGACAGGTACAAGACAGGACGAGTCGCAGCAGTAGCAGCAGCGGAGGCTATCGGAGGGGGAGGCAGCGGTGCTGCTGCAGCTAATGGGGGTGGGGGTGGAGGTGGGCGTGGCGGGGGTCAGGAGAGGCAGCAGCGGGGGGGTGTTGCTCGCGGGGAGGGAGGCAGCAACCCTGCCGCTGCGGCGACTACTGCCACTATTTCCACGGCACCGCTGGCGGGTGCGGCGGAGGACCGTGGGGCGGTACGGCAGGCACGTGGCGAGCGTACGGCAGCAGCGGCGGCGGCGCTGCCCGTGGGCGCAGCGGCGGCGGTGGCGGCGGCCCTAGCGGCGGCGACCCGAGGCGCTGCGACGGCGCCGTCGTCAGCAAGACCTGGGGCCGCGGCGGCGGCACCTCCGCCACCACCCCAGCGGCAACCCCCGCCTCCGCCACCTTCTTCGCTGCCGTCGCCGCCGCCGGCGGCGGCATCATACGGCACCATGCGCCATGCAGCGGCTCCTCCGGCGGCGGCGGCACCCCCGTTTAAACCACCCCCTGCGGCGCCCTCTCAGCCTGTGGCAATGAGCGGTCGTGAGCTGGCTGCTAGCCTGTTCAACTTTGGGGGCCGGGCGGGAGGGGGGGAGTACGACAGCGGTTACGGGGATGAGGATGGAGGCGAGGATGGGGATGGTGACGGCGGCGGGGGGAGGGGGCGGAGGGGTCGTGGTGGTGGGGGGCGGGGGCGGGGAGGAGGAGGCGGACGAGGACGGTACTGAGGCTGTGGCAGGTGGTGGCTCTGGGGGGCGGTGATCGTATCGCGGGAACCCCTGCGTTTTAGGCTTTAGTTAAGTATGTTAGTGTTTGTGGGGTATCCTGTGTGCCCGGTAAGAGGCTGGCTTTGATGCAGGGACTTGGACGTGTCTAGCCAGGCCCTTTTAGTGCTGACGTACGGCGGTTTTTGCCCATTTTTCCTGCGCTCGCCGTGAATGGGGCAACTGCAAGGAGTGCGCCCCCGTAATATAGGTTTCTAGCTGAGGCCGCTGCATTTTTACCTGCGTGAAACGGTTACGGATTAGCAGAGATAAGAAATTGTGAAGTGATGTGGATTTTCAGCCCTAACGAGGGCCAATGCTTCCGAGCGGAATCATGCGTGTGTGAACCCCTGCGTTTTAGGCTTTAGTTCGTGAGGTTATAATCGTGTTGCGTGGAGCTGGAGGGGGCAGGGACCCCCACGGCACCTGCCGTGTGATGGTGTCCTCAACGGAGACAGTTGTGTGTGGGGGGGCCCAGGCTGTGTTGTGATACCGGGTGGGGTTTTGGGTTTGCGCTTTCAATGAGCCCGCAATGCAGCGCAGGGTGGGCCTGGGGTAAAGAGGATACAACTGACTGACCGTGTGATAAGGCGTCGTCAATCTCATCATGGTTTGCAACATGTGAGCCGCATGTGGGGTGGTAGACCTGGTAGTTGGATCTTGATTGCACGCTGGGTGCATCAAGGCATTACCTGGCAACCAGGAGGGAGGCTTCGCTGATGGACAAACACTATGTAACATTCCACAACGGATATGAACACTAAATCCATGTTTCCACGAGGGTGGGTTGCCTGGGAGAGGTGTGCACTTGCTGCCCTACAGGATTTCTGCTGGCTACGCCTGGCCACCTGTGTACACGTGTTGGGGGCGCGAGAAGAGTGTCTGGTGTGCCACATGGCGAATTTTAGCCCCTTGTTTGCAGTCCTAAGTATAGTTACTCGCAGGAATACTTTTGTGTAAAGCAGGGTTTGCCACTGCTTCAATCATTTGGCAACAACATTCCAGAATTAAAGGTGTTTATTTCAAGAAACGATAAAGAACAATCAACTACGTTGCGAGCCAATGGCGCTGCCCTACAGCTGCACGGTGCGCGTGACATGCGTGCCGTGCGATGAAGGACGAGCGACGTGGAGGCGGGAACTTCAGCATGGTCGTAACTATCGCGCTGTGAGGGCATGCTGCAAAGAAAGCTAAGTTTAACGAAAAGTATAATCCTCACTGCATAAGTTGTGCTCCGCTGCGCGACGGTTGTTCCCAGGGCCGGACCCGACAGCTGAACAACTTATCAGGGAAAGTAAACGGTGTGGCCAGCGAGTTTACCATTATTTTGGACCTGCAAATCTAGGTTCAACTTTTTGGTTAGGGCGCCCACCAGGACCGAATCCCGGAAATGAAGGATGTCCATTTAAAGCTCACAACTGGCCACGGGCCCGGCCAATCTTCAGTAGGCTACGCTAATACTGCCAAGGAGCTCTACCTTACCACAGCAGGCGCAGATGGCAAAGTCTACCTGCGTGACGCGCTAATCCTTGAGCCGCAGCATGCCTGCAAGGTGGATGCGCCTCCCGCCACCATCCTTGCCGTCGATCCGAAGGGCAGATATGTAGCCGTCGGCGACGATCAATACGTCAAGGTGATAAGTATCACGGCCCCTAAACCGCTTTCAGCCGTGCAACATTGTTGAGCATCGAAACCCAGCACCTCCTGGGGGCTGCATGTTTTGGCGCATAAGTTCATGCCCTAGGACTTTAAACACTAAATAATTGTCCGCGCTGCGAACCTCGTGTCACTTCCTGCAATACCGGTACCCCAAGCTTCTCTCTTAACAGCACTTCCTTTCAAATTTCCAATCCACCCATCCCTTACCCCACAGCTCCTCCCAACCCTCTTCCCTCGCTCCTCACCGTGTCCCTCCCTCTCCCCCGCTCCCCCTTCCCTCCAAACAGCTGCACAAGCTCCCCTCCCTCGCTGCCGAGAAGACGCTGTGCCGCTTCTCCCTCACCCTCCGCGCGCTGTCCTTCAGCCCGGACGGCAGCAAGCTGGCTGCGGCGGGGGACGACTCGCTGATCAAACTGGTGGAGGTCAAGGAGGGGGCGGTGAGTCTGTCTCGGGAGGGGTTGGGTGCGGTAAAGAAGGAGGAGAAGAAGAAGAGGTATTGAGGGGAAATGTGTATGGTGCCACTCACAACGTGTCATTCGAGATGTGCCCTTCCATGTGTTCGCGCTCCCCTCATCCCTCACCCCTCACCCCTCCCCCTCCTCCTCCTCCCCGCCCCAGGTTTACCGCAGCCTCTCCTGCGACGACTACGTGCTCTCGCTCGCCTGGGACCCCGAGGGCGCCTACCTGGCTGCCGTACTGCGAAGTGGCGGACTGGTGCTGTACGACACGGCCACGGGGCGGGTGGAGAAGCGGGTGGAGGGGCTGTGCGACAGGGTGGGTGGGGGGTGGGGATGAGGGGCGGTGAAGTTTGGGAACGTTGTGGGGATTGGGCTGGGGCGTGTGGAGGGACGCGTGTGGTTTTTAAGGAAGCAGGTTGCGCGCGCTGCCGTACAACGCGTATTGCGCGGGGGGGGAGAAGCCACCCTCCCACTATCATCATCAGCATTGCCTTGTCCTTCCCCCCTTCCTCCCCCTCCCCTTCCCCTCGCCCCTCCTCTAGGTCGACTACTCCTCCCCCCGGCGCCACACCCCCTCCTGGCACCCCGACGGCGGCACGGTGCTTGCCGTACCGGTGGGCGCGGAGGGTGACGTGGCGCTGCACGAGCGGCTGAGCTGGGAGGTGACGGGCTACCTGAGCGGGGGGCACACGGGGGCGGTGAATGTGGTGGCGTTCTCGCCGAATGGTGAGGAGGGAGGGAGGAGGGGGTGGGAGTGGAGAGGGGGTGGGGACTTACGGTGGGAGTGGGGTACTGGAAGCCCCAAACCCATGGGCCCGACTCATGCAGTCGGAGAGGCGGGAGAGGAGGGGGTGCAGGGAGGTGGGTGAGAGTCAGCGAGGGGGGGGACTGGCGGGTTGGGGCGTATGCCTCCTGCACTTTATCATGCACGTATGCCCAGTCCGCCTTCCCCTCCTCCCTTCTCAATCTCCCTCCCCTCCTTCCCTTCCCTTGCCTGGCTTGTCAGTTGCCACCTAGTTTGCCATTATCGCTACCAACACATGGGGTATTCTTCTCCCTCCCCTCCCCCCCCTTGTCCAGGCCTGTATGCCGCCACCGCGGGTACCGACCGGCGTGTGGTGGTGTGGGATGTGGCCGCGGGCTCCCCCCTGGCGGCGGCGGTGGCGGAGGAGGTGATGAGCGGACTGGCGTGGAGGCCCGAGGGGAATGAGCTGGCCATGGTAGGAGGGGGGGAAAAGCGAGGGAGGGGGGTTTGACAGGGGTGGCCGTGTTCCCGTGCGCGTCAGTGGCGCACTGTCGACCCTTTCTGTGTCCGTACATATCTCCGTCTGCCCGCTCACCCCCTTGCCTCCCCCTCCCCCTGAGTAACCCGTATGGTCTCCTCCTGCTTTCCCCCAACTGCCTTCCCTTCCCTGCCCCCCCTCACCTCCCCCACCTGCGCACCCCCCCCCCTTGCTGTCAGGTTGGCGAGGCGGGCGGTGTGGGCATCTGGACTGCCCCGGTGCCCACCCACCTGCCCGGACCCTGCCTCTCAGCGGAGCAGCTGGAGGCGCAGCAGCGGGAGCAGGAGAGGCTGGGTGAGGGGGGCGAGGGGGTGGGGGAAGACCATACCATACCGTACGAAGCCACAGCTGGGGGTGGAGGGTGGGGGGTGATGCCTGACGAGAAGGGAGGAGCCTACTGGCGTTGAGGCCTCCTTGATCCGCTCCTCCATCACTGCAATCGGTCGTGGATTGGGCAGCATTGGGCTGCAACGGGATTCGGGTGGTTCCCCCGTGCCCACCTTGTTTAACCCCACTCCACTGCGCTTCACTTCTCCCCCTTCTTTACCCCGTCCTCCCCTCACCCCTCCTATTACCACTCCTCACCTCTCCCCCCAGCCGATCTGAAGCGCCGGGCTGAGAAGCGCGGGGGCGCTGCTGGCATCTCCTCCCTTGTCGGCCCTGCCGGGGAGCTGACGCCGCCGCCGGGAGGGGAGATCCGCGAGGAGGAGATTATCGAGGAGGTTGTGCTGCAGGGGCCGGCAGGAGGGGGAGGGTCAGCAGGGGGAGGAGCAGCCTCGCCGTCTGGGAGGGAGTTGTCCCCCTCCACCTCAGCAGGAGGAGGGGGAGGGGCGGATGCGCACATGCGGGATGCGGCGGATGAGGAGACGGCTGCTGGGGGCACCGCCACTGCCACCACTAGCTCTGATGGCGGTGGTGGCGAGGGGGAGGGGGGAGCAGGCTCGGGAGGTCTCGGCGGGAGGGGCAGGCTGGCGGCCGGGGCGGGCGGCAGGGGAGGGGTGGGCAGGGGGGGAGCGGCGGGGCGGGTGCAGACGGTACGGACCATTGTCAGGTGGGTGCAGGGGGGAGGGAGGGAGGGGTTAAGATGACCAGGCAAGTGCCAAAGGTGGGGAGGAAGGGTGGGCGGTAGTTGGAAAGGGGGATGAGAAGGGAGCGTCCCTCACCCACCTCGACCCACATCTATGCCAACACCTTCTACCCACTTCTACACCTTCCAACCGACCTTCTACGCTTCTACCCCACCCCGCCTCCCCCCTTCCAGGACGGTGGTAGCTCCCCCCGCCGGCCCCGCCCCGCAGCCCCCCATCCAGCCCGGCGCCACCCCCCCCGAGCCGGGTCGCCCGCGCTTCCTGTGCTTCAACATGATTGGCAGTGTGGCCAGCAGGCCGGTGGAGGACCACCACGCGGTGGAGGTACGGACGTACGGCAGGGGGGGAGGACCATACTAAACCATATGTTGGGTTGGGTTGGGGTTGGGGTTGGGGATGAGGGGTGAGGTGGTGAGTACTGCAGGGGGTGAGGAGGATGGGGCTGAGTGGGTGGGTATGCCAGTGGGGGAGGAGGAGGATGGAGGCGTGAGGGGTGAGTGCGGATGTCGTTCAACACGGTTAGTGGCCATGTCCCGCCCCTGGGACCCCCAACCTGAACCGCGGCTCACCGCGACCGTGTTTCCGCGGCTCAGCTGACCTAGCCTGACCTCACCTGAACCTCCTATACTAGCTGGGGTGTACCGTACAGTGTTGTCACACGGCGACACAGACTCACAATACCCTCCCTACTCCTTGCTTGCCGGTCTGGGTAGCCTGCTTTTTGACTGCCCATTATGCAGTGTACATCACCCCATGCTAATTGCTACCCCCTCCCCTCCCATCCCCTCCGCCCCCCCTCCAGGTGTTGTTCCACGACTCCTCCCGCTTCACCTCCCGCGTGCCCCTGCTCACGGACTACTACGGGTTCGACAAGGCCAGCCTGGGTGGGTGGGTGGGCTGGGTGGGGGCAGCATGGCATGGGGGGGAACGGCATGAGCATAGGGGGGGGTTAGGGACAGGGGGTTGGGTGTTTTGCAGTGTATGCATAGGGTTATTTACCGCCCCTAAAGGTCAAATTGGACTCTAGTTGTGCCCAATCCTCACCTCCACTCCCCCCTCTCCCGTCCCCCCAGGTGAGAAGGGTGTGGTGTACTCGAGCCCCCCCAGCAAGTCCGCCTCCCCTCCCTCCCCCTCTGACGGCGGTGAGGGCGGCGGCGAGGGCTCCGACGCCATCCCCTGCATGGTAATGTTCCGCCCCTTCGACTCCTGGGCCCCCAACAGCGACTGGAGCGCCGCGCTGCCGCCCGGGGAGGAGGCGCTGTGTCTGGCGGCGGGTGAGGGGAGGGAGGGGAGGGTAGTAGAGGAAGAGGGCGAGGGACATCATACGCCTGGTATGTAGCGTACTTGCTGGTGAATAAGACCTCACCGACACCACGTCCCCCTCTTCCCCGTATTCATCCCCCTCATCACCCCTCCTCCACCCCGCCCCCTTAGGTCACTCCTTTGTCGCGGTGGCCACCTCCCGCCAGCTGCTGCGGCTGTTCAGCCTGGCGGGCTGCCAGAGCGGCATCACGCGGCTGGAGGGGCAGCCGGTGGCGCTGGTGGCGGCGGGGGGGAGTCTGGCGGTGGTGTGGCATGCAGGTAGGGGGATTGAAAGTATAAACCCACAATGCCCTTTGTCAGATCTTTTTCTACGTGACATGTGCTAAGTCCCGCTCATGTCACCCTTATGTTGGCTCCCGGCACCCCCCTCCCCCCACCCACCCCCCAGGTCCCCCCAACCCGCACACCAAGTCTCAGCAGCTGGCCATGTCGCTGTACGACACCACCAGCATGACGTGTGTGTTTTCCCAGCCGCTGCCGCTGACCCCTGGGTCGGTGCTCACCTGGGTGGGCTTCACGGAGGACCACGGACTGCCCGCGGTGGCGGACTCGGAGGGGGTGGTGGCGGTCAGGTGGGGGGGAGGAGGGGTGGGGGGGAGGAGGGGTGGGGGGGGAGGAGGGGTGGGGGGGGAGGAGGGGGGGTCAGGTGGGGGGGGGGCGCACGGGGGAGAAGGGGGGGATCAGGTGGGGGTTCAAAGACCATACCAAACCATAGAAAACCACGGGTTGGGGTAAAGCAATGGGGATAGGAGGGAGAAGGGAAGTGATGTTCGAGTGTTGGGCAGGGATGGTGCCAGATCACCCTCGTGCTCCTCTTTCCACCCTTCCATCTTGCACATTCCTTGCGGCCCAACCCTAACCGCATTTCCAATTCTTCTCGTTCCCCTCCCTCCTCCTTCCCCCTCCCTCTCCCTCCCCCCAGGACCCCCGACCTGGGCGGTCGCTGGGTGCCGGTGTTCGAGCCGCCCGCCTCCAAGCGCCAGTCGGAGGTGCTGTGGCCCGTGGGTCTGTCCGCCTCGCAGCTCTTCGCGGTGGTGTGCACACCCGCGCAACCCAGACCGCAGGTGGGGGAATGCGTGTTTCGAGTGGGGTGGGGGGTTGGAGGGCGAAAACACGCACGGTGCTGAACTTGATACGATGACGAAGGGCGCCCCTGACTCCACCCCAACCCTACCCGGCCACATACAGGTAGCTGTAGCTGTAGCTCCATGTGAGCCACGTGACCCGACTTGACCTCCCCCCTTCCATATCCCTCTCCTTCTCCTTTACCCCACTTGTTCCTCGCTCCTCCCTCACCTCTTCCCCCCCCCTCCCCCTTGGGATCCCCCCCCCAGGTGTCCCCCCGCCCCTTCTACACCCCCCTGCCGCTGGGCCCCCCGGTGGTGTCGCTGGACGGCGGCTCGGCTCCCGAGCTGGAGGGGCAGGCGCTGCTGCTGGGGCTGGGGAATGCGGCGCTGAGGGCACGGTAGGGGGGAAGGGGGTAGGGAGGGTGGTGTGGCAGGGGGAGGGTAACGACACAATACGATCCCTTACGGCAGCTTTCTGTTGCGGAATACCACATCTTACATTTGAATTTCCCCCCCCCACCGATTTGGACTCCGTTGGTGCATTTATCTATAATTTCCCCACCTCCCCCCCCCCCAGCCTGGATGCCGCGGAGGCCTCGGGCCAGGTGGAGGCCTCCTCCGACCTGTCGCACCTGCTGCTGCGGGGGCAGGCGGAGCAGGACCGCGCACTGCTGCGGGCGCTGCAGCGGCTCATCCGGGGCGAGCGGGCGGGCAGGGCGCTGGAGCTGGCGGCGCAGCTGAACCTGTACAAGAGCGTGGAGGGTGAGGGGAGGGGGGAGGGACAGGGGGGGTTAGGGGGATGGGGGAGAAGGCAAGGTGGAGGAGGGGGGAAATGAAGAGTCCCAATGTGTTGAATGAGAAGCGCAAACAAGATGCCTAGCCTAGCAAGGACTCGGCTCTATTATGCGACCTCCGCTTCCACCCCCCTCGTGTCCCTTTGTCCCTGACCTCCCTCGCTTCCTCTCCCCCTTCCCTCTCCCCCCCCCTCCTCCGTGCCTTGTTTTGCCCTAACTTGTGGCTTCCTATGGTTTGGTATGGTCTTTGACCTCCCTCCTCCGTGTGCAGGAGCCCTCACGCTGGCAAACCACCACCAGGTGAGCAGCAGCTGCGGGAGGAGGGGGAGATGGAGTGGAGAAGAGGGCGGAGAACCAAACTAGGGGGGAGGGAAAGGAGGACTACCCAATGTGGAGGAGGGGGAGGGGGTCATCTGGGCCATGTGTGGGATCAACCACGGCAGGGGAACCATCTGCTGCTGCTATGGGGGTGGTGCACGGGGACAGTATGCGCGATGGCGCGAGACCGCATACGGTGCAGGGAGCCGTGCCTCTTCCTCTCCCCTTCCCTCACCCCTCTTTGCTTCCCACCTTGGCCCCTCTTACATATGGCCCCTCTCCGTCACCTCCCCCTGCCTCATCTTCCGTCTTCTATTATTTGCTCTGCTCTAACCTGTGGTTTCCTATGGTATGGTATGGTCTTTGACCCCCGCCCCCATCTGCAGGCTCGCGGCCTAGCCGAGCGCATCAGCGCACTGCTCGCCTCGCGTCAGGCCCTCATGGAGGCCGCCGCACCACCCGCCTCGCAAGCAGCAGCAGCAGACGCCTATCCGCAACAGCAGCAGCCCCAGCAGCAACCCCGCCAACACCGCTCCTGCACACCCATCCCCTTTGGCAAGCGCGCCGCTGCCGCTGCAGTGCTGGACGAGGCTGGCGGCGGCGGCGGGGAGGGGGGGCAGGAGGCGGCGGGGGCAGCAGCCAGGCAGCAGCAGCCGCTGGGCCCGGCGGATCTGAATGCGGGGGCCGCTGGTGCTGCTGCAGGTGCTCCCACTCCCTCTGCTGGAGGAGGAGGTGGGGTCAGCAGTGCGGGCGGCCTGACGCCGTTTGCGCAGCTGGTGGCTGCTGCAGCTGAGCCGGGGTCGGCGGGGGGCACTGCGGGGGGGCTGCTGTCCACGGGGCCCAAGGGCGGGCGGGGCGGGGCGCTGCCCACTCCCAACACGCTGCTGCAGGTGGGGGAAGAGGGACGGTGGTGGGGTGGAGTGGGCGGGATGGGGTGGCAGGAGGGGATCAGGGGGCTACCGGCACCTCTGCCCGCCCGGCTCACTGCCCCTTGTATAGCTTGTGGGACCTGGGCTGTTATGCTCCTCTCCACTTACCTTCCCGAGCCACCTGGTCCTGCTAGCTGATGCTCCTACTCGCTACCTTTCTCGTGTTGCCTCCTTCCAAACCTGCCCTCCCCTCCCCTCCCCTGCACCCCCTCCCGCCTCCTCTGTCAGGCCGCCACCGCCAAGCCCGACCCGGGCAGTGAGTCTCACAAGCGCAAGCCCGCTCCCACCTACAACAACCCCTTTGCACGCAAGGCGCCCAAGCTGGGCAAGTGAGCACACACCCTGGCGCACAACTGCAAAGCAGCTTGAAGGCACAGGGATATGTAGATGCATGGAGAGGAGGAGGCCTGTGCGGCTGAGGTTGGATTGTTAAGTGCAGTTGGTTATGAATGAGCGGGTCGCGGGTTTAGGCCAGATGGCGTGATGCGCTGTGCGTGGCGCTCCTCGCTATGGGGGCAATGATGCTAGCAGATGGTGCAACTTGGGGAGGTGCGACTGACCCCTCCTCCTTTGCGGTAAAAACAACGTCATGTTTGCTTTTTGCAAATTGCTCCCAGGTGAAGTGGTTGGGGGCTTGGTGCTACCGGTGACCCGGCCAGGCTGCTGTAAGGTTGTACGCAAGGTTGCAGCGAGGGGTTAATGAGAACTACACATGTACACGTACAGGGACAGGGCTCAGGAAAGCTGCTTGCAGTACTGCAGAGTCGCATTCTGGTCACTAAAGATAAAATGCATGGCTACGAGCAAACCGTTTGTGCATATTGCTTGTTTCGCTGATTATGGCGTCAGCAGTATGAAACCATGCTGTACTAACCGTCGTCCAGGACAGTGCTCAGCGCGACGAGGCACTATTCCGCAACTGAAGTCAAGCATCATGAACAAATAAGACCTAGCGGCTTGGCCGCAATGTTACGCGTTATGGAAGCAGCTTGACGAGTTTACCGGCTGCTTCTGCATTGCAATGGCAGCGTTAGACTCCAGCAGACCACAGCACCCAATACTTATCGTAGGGGCGGGCGTTGCTGGGCTGCAGACAGCCAGGGCACTCCTGAAGCGTGGTTTTCAGGTCCGTCGTCACGGAAGTCGGTACATGCTGGACACTTTTTTTAATGCTTTCGTTTGCCTGATTACAACCAGCACGGCTTTCTGATATGCATCTGACTGTAAGCGGTACATAACGTTCAGCGTTCGGCCTTGCTCGAGCCACAGGTTGTCGTTATAGAGCAATCGGAGGATGTCGGTGGCGTTTGGGTGCGGAACTATCAAGGCTACGGCCTACAAGGTAACGATGTTGTCCTTAGCGACGCTCTTGCCTGAGCATATCATTGTGAAAATTTAAAATGGTAGCTAGGCCAGCCAACTGAGTGCAACGCCGAGCTTTATTACATGACTGTGTTTCACCTTTGTCTCTGTTAAGTGCAAGAGGAACGGAACTCCAGTTGTGTTCTTAGGGCTGAACGCCGTCGATTCATCTGCCGAGGTCCCCTCACGCTTTCGGGGCTTTAGTCCTTTTGTTCTGCTTTTCATGCCTCCAAACACCTTTTCCTTGCCTCCCTGCCCCTGCGCAGCCCCCTGGGAGCTGTACCAATTTCCCGAGTTCCCCTTCCCTCGCAAAGCCCAGCTGCTCGAGTATCCCAGCGGCGAGGCGGTGCGCGAGTACGTGCAGGCCTACGCGCGCCACTTCGGCCTCTACCGCCACATCCTCTTCAGCTGCCGCCTTGTGAGGCTCAGCAAAAAGCAGCAGCAGCCGCAACCCCAGCAACAGCCTCAACAACAACCGCAGCAGGGGCTGGGCCCCAGCAGGGCAGCCGGCAGCGGCGGTGGCAGCTGCAGAGGCGGAGGAGGTGCAGCACCCGCACCAGCAGCAGCAACTAGCGGCGGCACCGGGGCTCCCCCGCACCCAAAGCCGGCCGCACCTCCTCCTCCCACAACCCTACCTGGCGGCGGCCCGGTCAGCCAAGGCAGCAGCAGCTGTGGTGGTGGTGGTGGTGGTGCTGCGGCGGCGGCGGCAGGCTATGCGCAGCAGGGACCTGACAAGTTGCAGCAGCAGCAGCAGCGGCTGGAGGGGCGGCAGGGCGGCTGGGCGCGGAGGCTCCTGGGAGCGGCTGGCGCGGGGCTGTGCGGGGTGTTGCGCAGACGGAGAGGGGCGACAGCAGGGGAGGCGGGGGCAGGAGCTGCAGCAGCTGCTGCAGCAGCAGCAGCCACCCGCCCCGCTGGTGCGGCAGTCGCGGAGAGCGCCGTTGAGGGCGGTGCGATGGACGCTGCGGGGAGCGCTGCGGCTGCTGGCGCTGCGGACGGAGGAGGTGGCGGCAGCGGCGGTGCGGGCGGCGGAGGAGGAGACGGCGGGGGCGGGTGTAGGGTGCAGGGCTGCCCTCAGGGCGACCGGAGCTGCTGGGCCGCCCCGGAGGGTGGTGGGGCTGGGGGCTCCCCGGGCCCCAGCAGCGGGGCAGGCAGTGGTACGGCAGCTGCGGGCTCACCGCCGCTATCTCAGCCCGTGTCGTACGACACATGTGGTGGAGGCGGTGTGGCGGCGGCGGGTGGTGTGGCGGTGGGGGCTGCAGTGGGGGCAGCAGGGGCGATGGGGGCAGCGCCGCCCCCGCCTCCGGTCCCGCATGAGACGGGGCCAAACGGGGGCGTGACGTTCGGGAGGGGGGCGGCACTGGAGGCGGCAAGAGGAGGGGTGGCGGCAGGGGCGGCTGCATCCACGGCACTGCCTGCCGCCTCCGCAACAGCAGGCGCAGCAGCAGCACCAGCGGGCGCAGGCGTGGCAGCGGCAGCTGCAGCGGCAGCAGCACGTTTAGGAGCCACAGGAGGAGGGGGGGCGCCAGGGGCTGCGGGCAGGAGCGTAGCGGCGGCAACAGGGGTTGGGGTAGGAGGAGGAGGAGGGAGAGGGAGGGAGGGCGAGCCGGGGTCAGGGTCCCGTAGGATGACCCCTGCTGCTGCTGGTGCTGCTGGCGGCGGCGGTGGTGGGGCCTCTGGCGGGGCCAGCAGCAGTGGCATGCGGCCGCAGCAGCTGCCCCTCAACAGCTCGCTGTACGGCGGCACGTGGGAGGCTCTGTACGAGGACTCCTCCACGGGGCGGCAGTACACCCTGGATGTGTCGTACGTCGTACTGTGTACGGGACTGTTCGCCACGCCCTTCATTCCCTCCATTCCGGTGGGTCCGGAGGCAGGCCCCTTTACTTCCCCGCAAGAGATGTCCAGCCTCTGTTAACCCCTTACCCTATTATTCCCTCCCCCCCATCCAGCCTAATCCGGAATGCGTATATCCCTATTAACCCCATCCCTCCCTTCCCCCCTCCTGCGCAGGGTCAGGAGCTGTACCGCGGCCTGCAGGTGCACTCGCGCGACTTCACTGACGCGGGGGTGGCGGCGGGCAAGCGGGTGTTGGTGGTGGGGGCGGGCAAGACGGCGGCGGACGTGGTGACGGAGCTGACGGCCACCTGCAGGGCGGCGGAGGTGACGCTGCTGTACAGGAGGGTGAGGGGGGAGGGGAGAGGGAGGAGGGAGGTAAAGAGGAAATAACTAACTGACCGTGTGATAAGGCGTCATCATGAGATCGGGAGGGGAGGAGGAGACAGGGAAGCGAGGGGAAGGGAGGGTTACAGCCCCGCGTCCCTACTACCCTACTAGGCTAGTGTTCGTGGCATCGCGTTACTGCCGGTGTGTATAGTTGTTTCGTAGCAACACCGCGAGCAGCACACAAGTAAGTCTCGTTTTTCGAAAATAGTGCTCACTACGTGAGCCGGGATACGGGATTGGGACTCCATTTCCTTCTCTTCTCACTTACGCTTTCTCCCCCTCCCCCCCCCCAGCCCCACTGGCCGCTCCCCCGCTTCGTGGGCCCCGTGTCCCTCAAGTCGCTCGCCTACTGCCGCCTCACCTCGGCGGCACTGCTGCCCGCCTACTACAGCTGCGGACCCACGGGTCGCTGCGCCGCCGCCTGCCTGACCCCCCTGCGCAAGGCCTTCTGGGTGCGCTTCATGTCGCGGGTGAACGCGGAGTTGAGGGTCAAGAAGACGTTGGGGGCGCCCGACCGGCCCATTTGCCAGGTGGGAGCACATGGCAGGGGAGGAGGGGGGGCGCGGGTTTGGGTGGTGGGTACAAGGCGGGGGCTATGGGTTGGGGTGGGGGGCGGGCCCAGTGCCTCGGATAAGGGGAAGGGGAAGGAAGGTATGGGGTGTCCTCCTGCCTTGTGGTAGTTTGTCTCGGTGCTACCCATCAACCCTAAGCCGGCCCCCTCCGCGGCCTCCCCTTCCTCCCCCCTCCTCCTCGGAATCCCCTGTTCAGCCAAGTGTATTGTTCGTTTCCATCCCCAATTCATCCCGCTCCTCCCTCCCCTCCTCCCCCCTCCCAACTTGTTTCATTATCACACCACACTTTGGAATTTCTTTTTTTTTCCCTCCCCCCCTCCCCCCGCCTCCCAGGACATTTGGTACTCGGGCCAGGTGCTGGACGCCGCCAAGTGGCCCCGCGTGATTCACAACCCCAAGGTCACCGCAAAGCAGGGTGAGGGTGTGTGGGGGCGGGAGGTATGTCGCAGCAGCAGCAGCAGCAGCAGTTCCCAGCCCCTAAACGTCCCCTGCCATCACAATCCCCTGCCCTCCCCTCCCTGGCCCCTCCCTCCCCTCCCCCCCAGGCGAGGTGGCCTACTTCACGCCCGTGTCGGCGGTGCTGCGGGACGGCAGCGTGCTGCAGCCGGACGTGGTGCTGGTGAGAGGCAGCCGGGGGGGGGGGGTAAAGAGAAAACAACTAACTGACCGTGGGAAAAGGGGCAGGGGGGGTGGGAGGTGGGGAGGGGGGTGGGGGATGTGGAGGGGCAGGTTCAGGGGGGGCGCTGAGTTGTAGGACCTATTCCTCGTCTCCCATGGCGTTTCTGTTCCCTTTCATCTTCTGGCAATCACAGTACGCCAGCTTCCTTGTAACACAGGTGAACTGCGTGTGTGCGCTGACCTCCTCCACCCCCTTCCTCCCTCCCCCCTCCCTCTTCCCCCCTCCCCCCCTATTGCAGTACGCCACCGGCTACAGCAACCACTACACCTTCCTGCCCCCCGACCTGCGGGCCACCCTGGACGTGCAGCGGGACGGCCTCTACCTCTACCGCCACTGCCTGGCACCCGGGCTGTCCGGGCTGGCGTTCGTGGGGGCGGAGGTGCGGGGGGGGGGGAGGCGTGAGGGGCGAGGGGAGGGGGTTTAATAGGGATACATATCCCGCTTTAGGCTGGATTGGGGGGGGTGTGGGGGTGGGGATGGAGGAGGGGGTTTTGCCGTGATTGGTGGTTGCATGAGTGAGGGTACAATATGTTGGGGGGGGGGCAACATCGAATGGTGTACGGAGCTGTCACTGTGTGTTTCGTCGTACGAAGGGTTCGCAGGTGGCAGGTCGCAATGCGTAACGGCGCTTGCCCTCCCTCGACACAGGGGCTCGCCCACCCCTTCTTACCCTCCCCTGGTAGTGTCTGCCAATGCGCTCACTGCTCTCACAATGCATGAGTCGGGACATGGGACTGTGGTCCACTTCTCATTCTCTCCCCCCCCTCACCCCCCCTCACCCCCCCCTCCCCCCCTTCCCCCCCAGGTGACCACCTTCAACAACATCCTCACCGCGGGGCTGCAGGCCGAGTGGCTGGCGGCGGCGCTGGCGGGTGCCGTACACCTGCCGCCGCCGCCCGCCATGGCTGCTGACGTGGCGGCGCAGGTGGCGTGGCGGCGGCGCATCATGCCGCCGCACAAGCTGAGGGGCAGCAGCGTGATGCTGTTCATGCAGGTGCGTGCATGCAGGGGGGGTGCGGGGGGTGGGGTGGGTTGCGGGTGCGGGGGGGAGGGGGCGTTGCTTCGGTGCAAACATGGTAGCCGACCCAGGAGCCAGGAGGGAGGAGAGGAGTGGGAGAGGAGTGGGGGCAATGCAGGGTAGATGCGTGATGTGCACTCAACCTGCCCCTCCTCCTCCCCTCATATATGTAATCCTGATAATCCCCTCACCCCCCCTCCCCCTCCACTACCTCCCCTCCCTCCCCTCCCCCCCCCAGGCCTACCACGACCAGCTCCTCCGAGACATGCGGCTGCCCCACCTGCGCAAGCGCCCCTCCTGGCGCCACCCGCTGGCCGAGTGCTTCGCGCCCTACACCGCACTCGACTACCGGGACGTATTCGAGCAGCAGCACCTGCAGCACCACCAGCAGCACAAGCACCAGCACAAGCACCAGCAGCAGCACCAGCAGCAGCACCAGCCGCGGCCAACACCCCCTGCTGGTGGTGGTGTTGCTGCTGGTGTTGCCGGCAGCGCAGGCGGAAGAGCAGCACTGCCGCTACCGTGCAAGGCAGCGGCAGCAGCAGCAGGAGCTGCGGCGGCTGCAGTGGCGGCTGCAGGAGCCGTGCAATCGGCTGCGAGGATTGGGGATGCGCGGGAGGCGGGGGAGGCTGGTTGGAAGAGGGAGGGAGAGCGAGGAGGCGGGATGTGCGGCAGCAATGCACCGCAAGGAGAGCAGCGGCAGCAGCAGGAGCAGCAGCAGCAGCAGGAGCAGCGGCGGCAGCGGCCAGATGCCGAGGCGGTGGTGGCAGGAGGCACCGCGGGTTGCAGCACGGCCGGGGCAGCCACCGCCAATGGCACGTCCGCACTGCCAGCAGCGCCAGCGGTGGTGGGCGTACCGGACAGCGGCAGCGGCAGGGAGGAGGTGGCAGGGGGGAGGAACGCAAGCACGGCGGCGGGGGCAGCGGCGGCGGCGGCAGCCGCCGTCACCACGGCAACCTCTTCGTTCGGCGGCTTCGGCGGTGCTGGCGGTGGCGGCGGCGAGCGGGGCCCCCTGCTGGTGTCCAGTTTGCTGCTGACGTCAGCGCGGATGTCGCCGTTAGGTACGGCAGAGGCGCCGGCGGCGGTGGCGGTGGCGGCGGCGGAGGGTACGACGACGCTGATGTCGTCCCTGCTGAACTTGTCCTCTGGCGGAGGTGGCGGAGGCGTGGCGCCCCTGACGGCGCTGGCGACGCTGTCCACCGCCGCTGCGACGGTGGGCGGCCGCCACGGCTCCTTTGACGACGGCAAGCAGCAGCAGCTCAGGAGCCCCTTTGCGAGCATGAGGAGAATGGTGGTGCCGCCGCCACTTGCGCCGCCGCCAGGCGCCGCGGGGCCGCCGCCGGCGCCGTCAGCAATGGCCGTACACGGCGTCGATGGCGGCGCCGTCGTGCCGGGCGCTGCCGCCGCCACGGCGGACAATCCCTCGGCATTTCCCTTTGAACGTGGTTCCGGCGGTGTTCGGGCTCCGGCGCCCAGCGTGCCGCCGGGAGTACCACTGCGGGGGCCGGCCGCGACGGCCGCGGCGGCGGCATCCCCCGATGCCGTTCCGCGGGCGTCGGAGGTAGCCGCCCTGCCGGCAGCGCTGACGGATGGGCTGCGGACGGCGTCCTGGCGGGCGATACAGCAGCAGCAGCGGCGGAGCAATACCAACCCTAGGGTGTACGGCAGGGTTTCGGAGCTGACATGCAGCTTCGAAGACGGCCCCTCCGCCCGATCCGGACAGCACCATCACCCTTCCCACCACCACCACCAGCCTCCCCAGCCCCACCACCTGCTCATGAGTACCTCTCTTGGCGGCGGAGGTGGCGGAGGCGGCGGCAGAGGCACTGGTACCGGCGGAGGCGGCGGAGGCGAAAGCGGCGCTGACGGCGGCGGCGGCAGCGGCCCCTTCGATGAGCAAGACACGTTATACTCCCTAGATGCGCTGCCGCCAGCGCTGCAAGCTTACCGTCGTACAAGGGTGCGCGCGCCGGCGGCGGCGGCGGCTTCCTGGTCAGACGACGAGGAATCTTGGGGTGGCGGCGGCAACAGCAGCCGGGGTTTCGGGGCGGCCCTCAGCGCCGTCAAGCCGCCGACGTCAGTCCCGCTGTTCAAGCTCCCCGCTGCGTCGGCGCTGGCGGCGCCGCCGCCGCCATCGCTGCCGCCGGCTGGTGACGTGGCGGCGGCGACGGCAGCACCGGCGGCACCTCGAACCAGCAGTCCGGCGGCTAGCGGCACGGGCAGCCGACGCCTCTCCCTGCTGCCCACCTCTCTATCGCTACCCGGCCGCGGCCTGGTGTCACTGCTGCCTCGCTTCGGAAGCAGCAACCCCGGTGTCGCGGTCGGACCCGGGTCGGCGTGCGGCGACGGCGGCAGCAACAGCAGCGTCGCCGCGGGCGCCGCCACCGCCACCGGCGCTACTGTTGCCGCCGCCGCCGCTGCTGCTGCTGCTCCGCCGGCGCGGAAGGTGCATAGCTCCGCTGGTAGGTTCCCCTTCTGGCTGAGGGCCGCCGGCTCCAGCGGCGCTCCGGGCAACAGCCGCAACCCGTCCTCCTCGCCTCAGGATTACCTCCCTGGCGCCGGCAGCAGCGACTCGGTCCCCGCCCCAGCCGGCGGCAGCTCCACACCAGCCACCGGCACTGCCGGCGGCGGCGCCGCCCCCGCCGCGCCCGTCTCCTGCGCGAGCGGCAGCGCGGCCAGCTGCGCCAGCGGCGTGGCTGCCATTAGCGGTGCCGTACACGCCCCTCATTCCGCCGCCGCTGGCGGCAACGGCGGCAGTGGTGGTGTCGTCAGGAGGATGACGCCGGGGCTCTCTTTCGCCACATTGCTGCTGCGGCGGCGCCACGCCGGGCTGCCGTACAACGAAGAGGAGGAGATCCTGAGCAGTCGCATGGAGCCCTCCTCGCCCGCAGTGGCGGCGCTGGCTTACAAGGTACTGCCGCCAAAGCATGTAGAGGAGGAAATGGCGGCAGCCGCCGCGGCAGCCGCCGCGGCAACTGTTACCGTTAGCAGACGACCGTTGGTTGATCATGACCGTTGGTTTGCGCCTGCTGCTGCTGCTGCTGCTGCGGCTACTGAGGCACCTCCGCCACGTTCCTCTCAGCAGTCCTGCCGGCGTCTCCGTGCACGGGTGCAGCAGCGGCAGCGCAGGGCGTCAGTGGGGTCTCCGCAGCAGTCCTACGAGCCGGACCTGCTAGCCGAGCCTCCGCCGGAGTCCCCGCTGGGTCCCCAAGCAGCTGCAGCAGCCGGGGCGGCAGCGAGGGGGCGGTCTTGTGTCGTTGAGGCTGCATCCGCAGCCGGGTTTGTCGGCAAGGGTGCTGCTGCCAGAATCGCTGTTGCTCCTGCTGCCGCTGCTGCTGGCCGTGCTGGCAATCAGGTTGAGGGATGCCACGCAGTTGGTGGTGGTGGCGGAGGCGGAGAGGCCAGCTGGGAGGCTGAGGCTGAGGCAGCGGCAGCAGCAGCCGGCGGGTACGGAATGCGTGGAGGAGAGGTGTCCTTCAGCGCCTCCTCCGGCCTCAGCTTCGTCCCCTCCTGCAGCACCATTTCGCTGCAACACCAGCTGCACCTGCAGCAGCAGCAACACCAACCCCCACAGCATCCGCAGCACCTGCTGCACATTGGGGGCGGCAGCGGGGTTCCCGCCAGCCGAGGAGTTCCCGACATGACAGACGCCTCGCTTGCCTCGCCCTTCCATGCCGCCGCTGCAGCCGCCGCTGTTGCAGCAGCGGCAGCGGGCACGGAGATGCAACACTGTCGTACACGCGGTGGTGGTGGTGGTTATGGCGCCATCGTCAATTGCGACGGTGTTGGAGGTGGCATGCCGGCTTGGGGCCAAGCGGGACTCCGTCCCCACCACCATCATCGTCCTCATCATCATACCCACCAACACCCTTCTTACCAGGACTGCATGGGGGTCCCCTACACACGCAGCAGTAGCGGAGGTGGAGACGGCAGGAGCAGGGGCAGCAGCGGTGGCGACCACAGCGGCGGTGGCAGTAGCAGCAGCGGGGTGAGCTACGTGCCCTCCTGTTCCACTCTAGCTCCACTCTAGTTTCTGGCAGGGGATGCCTATCACCACCACCACCACGACCAACACCACCAGCAGCATTACTATTAGGAACAGCAGCAGCAGCAACAACAACGGCATGGGGTTTAGGACAGCGGCAGCAGCAGCGGCAGCCTCGGTCAGTCCTGGATTCCCGGTGCGGTTGTGGGCTTTGGTTGGCAACTGGCTGGCTCGAGGGTTAGAATGGGGCGGCGGCAGGGTGATGGGATCGATGAAGTGTGCGGGGGCTGGGACGGCAGTTGCGGGTAGTTGCTTTAGGCCTCCCTGCGGTGTGGCCGGATGGACGGACCCGGATGGAGATGGGATGGGTTGCAACTTGGAGGCGTGGGCATTTACGAGCTACAGAAGTTCCTGTGACGCTATATGTTTTGAACGATTGAATGAGTGAATTGTTTGACAATGGGACAATGGCGAATGTCCGGAGCAGAATCTTCGGAATAGCAAGTACCGTACTGTCTAGAAAGATGGCGGCAGCAGCAGCTGCAGTATCGCAGCCGGCATAGGATAGAATTGTCCACTTCCCGAGCCGATATGCATGTCAAATGCCGACAGTGTTGTTTTATCGCAATTAATCTGGCCGAGTCGCGCAATAATGTCTCCACACACAGGTCTGGTGAAGGAAGGGGCCATGTGTGTGTGTTTGTGTGTGGTAAAGTGCAGGTCTTTGGGAACACCCCGCGCGCGTTGTCAATTAAGCCAACGCAATAAAGCTCGGCTGGCTATCTACCAAAAATTGTGTCAATACTGAAGCAATACTGTAGAAGCGCAAAGACGGGTGCACAGGTAGCTATGTCGTCACAACGTGGGGCGCGTCTGTGCGTGCGTCCGAACAGCGGAGGACGCAGGAGGAGGAGGAGGAGCCATGGGCGAATGATTACAGTGGAAGATGTGGCCGGTTGTTGAGGATTTTGGGATGGAAGCAGGCTCTTCTCATGCCCGCATGTTGGGGCCCGCATGTCTGATCCGTTAGTCGGTCACGTAAGGGTACGTGGCGCCTTAACCCCGTGTTGTTGCGCGTTGCTGGCAGCTACCTCTGATGCTGCCGGCTGCCTCAGCGGTTAGGCGGCAGTTGGGTCTCTTCATCCAATGGGTCCAATGGGACTCCCAAGAGCAACTACTGTGACTGTAAGGTGCCCGCAGGGGCGGTGCGTACGTATGAAGGCACCATTCTTTTACCAGCTGGTAGGACGCAATGATGGCACTGAGTGATATGCAGGTAGGGGTCGGTTGGTTGGTTGGCTTGTTCACTTGTCATGTTGCGGTGTCCTGTTATCCGTTGGGCTGCAGGGGGAGGCTGGCGGTTGGTGGTGAGGTTCTGCGGTCGGATGCGGGCGCGTCTTGAAATGAAAATGTTTGCGGAGAGGTCTCGGATGCTCAAGGATAAGTAGAGGGGCTCATGGAAAAGTAGGGCGGGAAATATGGCTTGTTGTTCTGGAGGCAGAAAGGTGGGTTCTCTTGCCATTCCTTTGGTTGCCAGGGGTATGACTTGGTTTTGGGCTACGTGAGTGGGCGGGCGGCTATATTGTCCAAACCTTAAATTGCTGTTCGTCCAAGTCTATATGCTGGTGTTTATCGTGATGTTTACGTTGCTAACACGTTGATCTCTGTGTTTTCCACAGCTGCTCACCTCGCGACAGATGCGTGTAGTTGAGTGTTCATGATGTGGCAGAAAAAGAAGCACCGGCATGTCGTCAGATTTTAATGTAGAGAAAGATGTTACCGTATGTGCTGCTGCTAATGTGTGTCAAGTGTTGTGCTTTAACGGAAACTGGCCGCGAGTCAGAACGTACTGTCATGCGTGTGTCTATGTGTGGTTGTCCAGAATGCCTCAACACGTACGTCAACGTGAGTGGCATATACCGATAGTATGCGTTGGTTACGGGCATTGGTTACGGGCGTTGGTTACGTTGGTTGGGCGTCTCCCAAGCTGCCTCAAGAAAACCCTGCTTGAATGGCTACGGTGGTTTAATGGCTTCATGCGGTTACATGGCTGCTACATGCAATGTGTTCATGCCTTTCTGGCGGCGCGCCTCTCCCGGCGATTGCATGGGGGTCGTGCTGGCGTGCGTTGTGGCACGATGTGGGTGCAATGCGTTGTTGGTTGTGCAGGCGCATGCAAGCCTCGGGCTCTCTATTACGTGCCCCAGGCCGGCTTGTGCTTGCTGGTTGTTACATACCCTTGTGCGCATGTGCCTTTAATGCCTGTTTTGGGTATGTTTGCCTTTCGTGCTCGCAGTCGCGCTTACGCTGCACCATCCCTACTGCATGCTTGTCGTTAGCGCACTTCGTCTGAGTGGCTTTTTTATTGTGTGCCGGTAAGCGGCGTCGTGCGCTAAGCCTTGCAAAAGATGAAGGACCTATGCGTTTGTGACGCCGTGTTCCGTCGCGTTGTGTCCATCGTGTTGCAACACCCGTGCTCAGATCGCATGTGTGCTGTTAGGGTTGTGATGCGGAGATGGGCCTTGTCAGCAGCTGCTCAGATGGTTGAAACGTGGATGATGTACACGATGATAATAATGGAGATGACGACTGACGATGTTGGGATGCATGTTGCGGACGAACGAGTAAGGAAAGAACGTCGAAACCCGAACTACCGTTGTGGCAACGACCGACTTGTTTGAGTGGAAGTATCGCCAGCTAGGCTTGCTGATCCTAGGGGTGCAGCCCCCCCTGCTGGGATTGTTGGGAAATCGTATGGACAGTAAAGGACCTCCGCTGTTCGCGAACACACACATGCCAAGCTCGGCTCAGCTCGGCACACACACGCAGGCAGTGAAGAGGTATGAGCAGGTAGGATGACTGCTCGGTGGAGAAAGGGCGTTCCACTCTTTAGGTCGTGACACGGGGTACGGTAGGTACCGGTTGTGCTGTGCAGGCGGTCTACCGGTGAACTTGGTGGTAGAGGGAGAAAAACAAAACACAGAAACCCGTATCTTTGGCGAAGGGCACTATGCTGCTGCTGCGGGGCACACGCATGCCACATACAACGAGGCGGCGGCGGGGCGCCGGGCCCCGGGCTGTTGCTGCCCTTTAAACCGTGCGGGTATGAAGGACCCTGGTAGTCAGTATGAAGGACCCTACAAAGGAGAGGGAGAACCTTGACGCCTTCTCTGGGTGGCAGGTCTGCTGCTGCTGCTGCTTGTGCGAGGGAGTACGGTAAACAGAGGAAGGGAGGGGGCTGTGGCGGCGGCAGGTCTGCAGCAAACGGGCTGCATGAGGCCGCACAACTGCGGCACATCTCACGTTAGGGAGGAGAGGAGGGGGAGGACACATGGGGGCCATAGCAGTGGTGTTCTTCCTCTTACAAACAGCGTGTAGGAGGTAAGCAAGGCGCCAAAACAAGAAGCGGCCAAAAGGCTGTTGTACTTTTGTGGGGTCCGGATGAAAACACTGCTGCATGCTTGTGCGCCCTCCGCGATGTACGGTGACCCGGTACGACATAAACCAACTGCGTCCGCCATGACACGGCACATCGCAGACTCCTCTACATATCACCTGCGCCGCCCCCGCACACTCTTGTCTAGTGCATCTCGGCTATCGCTCGCCAACCCAACCCCGTCCTTTGCCATGTACACTTATTTTGGGCCTGCCTCTTTGCACTACCGAGCGCACGTCTCCATCTCAAAACACTAGCAATAGCAGTAGGCAGCTACGAAGCCAACCCTCCTCAGCACGCTGGGCGGTCCGCCCTTTATCATCATCGCCACTGCGGCCTCGGACCGCGGTAGGGACCGCTAACCCTCACTTCGTATCGTGGCACCCTGCCCATTGCTTTGCCCTAACCTGTGGATTCCTGTGGTTTGGTACCTGGTCTGTGACGTCCCGGTCCCGCGCCACACGGCCCGTCGACCGGCCTCGCTGTTGCAGTCGACAGAAACAGGGAGGCCTAAGGGAACCTCATAGGGCCCCAATGAAGCTGCAATCCGTTTGTAGCAGCATGCATGCAGGCAGGCAGGCAGACAGGGCGGCGGGTGCTGCCTCAAGCCGCGGCGGCCGACCCTGCACTGCGGCTGCTGCTGCTGCCGGTGTCCGTGCCAGCGGGGTTGAGGGGGGAGGAGGAGGCGGTGCCGGTGGTGGTGGAGTGGGAGGTGGTTTGCTGGGATGCGGTCGCCAGCAGGGTGCAAATGCTGGTCAGCGGACACCTGGGGGGGTGGGAGGGGGGGCAGGGGGGTGGGAGGGGGGGCAGGGGGGTGGGAGGGGGGGCAAGGGGGGTGGGAGGGGGCAGGGAGTGGGAGCGGTGGGAGCTGGGGGTGGGAGCTGGGAGGTTGGGGTCCATTTGAGTAAGGTGAAGCAGGATGGGTGAGGCAGGAGGGTGGCAGCGGGGCGGCGTCTCGAGCGTGCCGGACTCGGCTCCAGGGTTCTCGGCGAGTTGTTACCCACCCCCCTGCTCGCCCCCTGCACCCTCTTCACCCCCTGCATACCCCACCTGGGTTTGCAGTCGGGGGGCAGTTCGAAGACCGCGGGCGGCGGCGGACCCTCTAGGAAGGTCTCCGGAAGGAAGGTGGTTAGGTCGTTGGGCATTTGGTCCAACTGTAACGGAATCTGTGCCTCATCAGCTGTGGTGTACCTGCAAGGAACCGGGAGGAAGAGAAAGAGAGGGGAGGAGGAATGCGGTGGCGGCGGTCGCGGTGGTGTTGACGGTTAGAGACGGCGGAAGAGACTCAAAAAAGGGAGAAATTGTTTTGCAAAGCCCTCGGTTTCGGGGGGAGGCGGCAACGTCAATTTGACCGGCATTTGACCCGCATTTGGCCTGACAGGTATGTAGCTACATACAAGAGGAAAACCCTCACGCGGACGTACGACACTAGCCCTCCCCCCCCCTCCCTATGGTTTGGTATGGTCTTTGACCCCCCCAGGTGTGTGGCGAGCACTCAGGCGACAGGAGGGGGGGGGAGCAGTGCGGGTGGCCCCCCCGGGTGGTGCGAGCGTACCAGTAGTTGGGTTGGAGGCCGTCGCGGCGCCACTTGAAGGCGGGCAGGCCCTTTGGAAGGCCGGGAGGGAGGGGGTGCCCGGGAAGGGAGGGGGAATGGGACAGGGGGAAAGGAAGGGGTGTGTGGGTGGACAGACAGGGTGGAGGCCCCCCCCCCCGATTCTTCTCCCCCACCAACCCACCTGCGAAACGACGGTTCCCTCGAAAGAAGCGCCCTGCAGCCAACTAGCGGCGGGGCGGCGGAGAGGCACGGCAGGCGGGGAGGGTGTCAGGAGGAAGGGAGAGAACAGGGACACAGGATACCTACTCATACCCGCACCCCAACCACCACCCCCACCCCCACTCCACCTGGTCGCCAGCACTCCGCAGCCCTGCGCTGCCGTACAGCACATGCAGCACTCGGCCAGCTCCGGAAACACCAGGTACCTGGGGGGGGGGTAATGGAGTGGGGGGAGGGGCCGGAGAGGTGTGTGGAGAGGCGTACGGTGGGGAGGGGGACTAGGTAAACTAAGGAGGGGGAAAGAGAAGCGGCGAAGCGCTCAGAGGGCTGCTGCGGTTGTCGTACAGTAGTGGGTTCAGAAACCTGGCCGCGGGTAGGGACGTACTGGGATGTCGGAGGCTGATGTCCCCACCGCAGGGTGTGTGGGTGTGTGGGTGGGGGGGGAGATGCAATGCGGGCGTGTCGTGGTGCCGTTACGGTGGCGGGGTGGTGGGGGTGGGAGCGGGCAGGTAGGAGGCTCAGGACCCCTCAGGGGTTCCCAGCTATGGTACGCCCCAGTTGCCTCCAGCAATCCCAACTGCACCACCTCGGCAGTGGTATCCGTGTGCACATGGGTGCTTGGGGTCCAGCCCCGGCGGCCCTCCCATGTCTTGTACGCCCCTCCCCTCCCTTCCCACCTCCCCCCTCCCCGCTCTTCCCTCGCACCTCTGCCCTTCCGTCACGATGTGTGCGCAGGGTGTCTGAGTCAGCGGGTGTACGCTGCCGCAGTAACGGTCGCCGTTACCGTTACTGCGGTACAGCGCCTCCCGACCCCCCTCCGCATCGTAGTACCAGGCTCCCTCCGTGTGGCGGGTTAGCAGGATGCGGGTGGTCTCGTTGAAGCGAACCGTGAACTGCGATCGCCATTTGGGCTGAGGCTGAGGCTGAGGTGGAGGGTCGGAGCTTGCGGCAGCAGCTGCTGCTGCTGTTGCCGTACTGAGAGCCGTGGATGTGGATGCGATAATGTCGTAGCCGTGCTCGTTGCGTGGGTCCTGGTGGGGCAGTTGCTGTTGATGGTAGGGGTGCTGTCGTTGCGTGAGGTGTTGGTGTTGCGCTTGGGCTTGTTGTGTGAGAAGAAGCAATGAGCTAGCTGGTTGTCGAGCGGAAGCGTGGGTTACAGAAGCTATGAAAGCAGCTGCGGCGACAAACGCGACGAAGAAGCAGCGTGTGCCTGCGAATTCATAGCGGGAAGACCTCATACTGTCCAGATCCCGACTATAAGCGCAAGTAAACTGCAACGAGTACGTCTATTGAAGGATATATATTTTAAAAAACGTCCGTCATGTGTCCGATAAGTTCAGGACTTACTGGTAGCTATCCTGGTCGAGTCAGCAGACAGTTGCAGCTGGCCGTTGAAGTACGGAAATCTACGGTTGAAGAAATCAATTGTGCTGTACTGACAGCACTCTGCATGGTAACCCTTGCAGCGCTCAGTCGTAGCCTTGATACGCACATTCACCCCTGCCCTCGTCCCTATCCTGCGTCTCCTTTGCACCTCCCCAGGTTAGTAGCTGCTTCAAGGGCACCCCCGATGACGCTCCGCGCATGACTAAGGATGCCTTCTTTTCGCCGAACGATATTTATGGGGCGAAGTGAACATTCGCGTCAGCAGTGTCTTACGTGTATCAATATGGGCTGGGCACTTCGGTTGCTGGGTACATGGCTTGTTGGCATCCATGAACATCGGAGCCATCCCTAGGCCGGAAAGCTTCAGGTGAACCTCAAAACCCTGCACACAGCCGCTGCACTATAGAGCGGCATCTATAAAGGCGAACTACATATGCTTTACATATAAACTAAGATCGCCATGCAGTACGGCTTGTCGTACATGCCAGTTACTACTCCTTGTCACGTCAACTGCCGTACCATGACAGTTAGTACCCGCCATCCGCCCTTGCAAACCCGCATGGCTCCTAGCTCTTAGCCTATCTGTCCTCGCTTTCACCGTACCGGTACAGAACACTCTCTCAAGATACACTACCGCATCTAACGTAACCTAACCCAACCCTCAGTTACGCAAGGCACACCCTCAACTGGGTCTTAAACGTCTCTATCACCCAACACGCCTTGACAGCGGCACAACACGTTTGCATTGGGGGCACGGATACCGTCGCCAACAGACGGCTTGAACACCCATGGTGTTACTGCACCAAACCAAAGGCCTCAAGGGTAACTCCAAAAGCCATCTGCTCAGCCCATCGCCAGTCAAACATGTGCATCGGACGCAGCTGCACCAGCTGCACCTTTCCCGCGACCGTGCTCCTCTGAAGCCCCCGCCAAGGCATGGTGGCTGCCCGGCTGCATACCGCAGCTGCGCGATAAACCCGGGCTCGACCAGGGAAAACTGAGCCTGGTTGCGCACCGACTATATGCAGCCAACAAGCCTTCCCCCAAAAAGACCGCTCCGCGTCTACAAAACTCCAAAAATGCCTGCATGGCTCACGCGGTGAACTCCGCGGGCGCAGCTCCAGCGAATTGCCTCCGAGTGATGAACCGCTGCTGCAATTAGTCGATAATCTCGCCCGTCTTGATGAGGAAGCGGACCTTCTTGCCATCCTCAAGCACCTTGTGGCCTACCCGGCTGCGCACGCTCTTCTCCTTTGAGTAGAGCATGACATTCGAATGGTGAATTGGAAACTCCATCGTCTTGATTTGACCCGTCTCCTCCTTGCTGCGGGGCGTAATGTGCTTCTGTCCCTCGTTCACTCCCTCCACAACGACCTTGCCCTTCTTGGCAAGCACCTTGATGATAGTGCCCACTTTCCCCTTATCCTTGCCAGCAATAACCTGGACGTAGTCTCCCTTCCTGACGTGCATAGGCACGCGCACAGCCTTGCCGCCCGGCCCAATCTCCAAGTGCTCCCATTTCCTACCGCCGCCGACCTTAGGAAGGTCGCCGTAAGCTGCTACTACATGTGTTGTGGTTGCGGTTGAGCGACGAGGCGCAACAGGTCGACTAGAGGTCAGGCGTGAACCAAAGAATGCGGGCGCCCTAGTGCCAAGAAGTGTCGCCATCGTGTTGTTCCCTACAAATTGATAGGATACCTGGAAACACAGCTGCCGAAAAGCAAACAGGCTCCATTGTCATGGTTGTGGTCGGCGGCATCTGGGCCGTACGTTCTGCGCAATTCTTCCTCCTGCTTCAGCCTCGCCCCGCAAAATTATTTCTGCTTGTTTGCAGACGTTAGGATTCAATTATGCGGCAGGCTGTATGTTTGCAATTGCCAAAAGCAAGCGGGAGAGGCCTAGCCATGCTGACGAGCCCCTCCACTATACCTGAGCGCCATTACGTGGAAGTCGTGCCGCTTAGTCGCGTGCTGCGTAGCACAGCCAAGGATACTTGGCAGGAAGCTGGCGGTTAACGTTCGCCATGCACCGGTACCTTTGTTATAGTCTGCCCCTTATTACCCTTGTGCCCCACGGAACACCCGCCCGCTCATTTGCGCCTGGCGTGAGGCCCAGCCACCGAACTCTGCCCTGATTTTGGCGCATAACCTTTGAGGCTTGCACATGCACGGTTGTTTAATGCCGGTAGCTTGCTGCCTACGGGCAAAGCAGTGACTAGGATGATACCGGCCCTTGCCGGACAGGCGTCGGCCTCTGGTGGCGGCTTGGTTGGGCAGGCCGCACGATGGAAGATGCAGGAAGCGTACTTACATACCCACCACACAATTGACCACCCGCCGCGCCGCTCAGTTAGTTCAACACCCATCCGTACAGCTCCTCGGTCCACCACTTTGGTGTGTACAGTTGCCGGTAATTGACAGTTGCCGGTAATCAAAACCCACTGGCACCTACGGTAATCACGGCCATGTTGTTTCCGCGTGGTATACGGATGTCGCAGGCCCGGTTCCTGGGCGGCCCTAGTGCTGCCTGGGCGGGCGCATTCCAACTCTGGTAAAGTACCGGTAGGCACCCGTGCAGCGGTAACAGGAATAGCTCCCCAGCCAAGAAGCATGTGCCGTCCCGCACGGGCATGCTGCCAAGAAGCGCCCTGCTGGGGTGTACAGTCACAGGTATACAGTCAGCGCAATCGGCATGCATCTCTGAGCTCCCTGCAGCCCGGGTTTGGGAAGAGCGTTCTGTCAGGGTGCTGCAATACCGGTCAGGAGCTCGCACACGGTATTCACCGTGCCTGAGTGCCTTTCGGTTGCCCCGTTTGACAGCACGTGCTGGGAGGCGGGCTTGTCCCTTTGGTGACGTATGTTACAGATTGTAGCCGGCCGTGAGGGCCGTCCTTGAGGTGCAGACAGTGCAACACACCGACCAACAGTGCCGCAGCAGTGCCTGGCAAGGCAAACCTCCTTATGTAAAGCATTAGCATTGGCTTGCCCTGAACGCCCCAATCGGGATTAATGAAGCCAATGAAAAACTGTGAATCCCCGCATGCCTTCTCGCACAACGTCTGAACAAATGCGTGGATAGTACACACGTTGCGTCTCCCAGAGCTGGCATTTGTTCATACTACATACTACTATAATAGGAGCAAGGTAATTCACAACCCCCTATATGTGTCAGCAAATGTAACTACCCGTACAGTAATAGCGCTGGCAATGCAATAACAGTAACCTAAATCCATCGGACGCAGCCGGCAGATTATGGGGAAAGGAAAGGCTCAAAACGAGCACCCACGGCTAGGTGCACCCACCACTCGCAAGCCCAAAGTGCCGGGAAAAGAGCCAGAGGACAACCTTCATGGCAGCAGCTAAGATCGCAGGCAGCCAAACGGCTATAGACACATAACCACGCTGTCAAACACCAGCACCCAATGCCCAACAAACCTTGGGACGTACAAAGCCCCTCACCCCATGCGTGCACGGCAACCCCCACAACCACCTCAAAAAACGTCAGAAGGTCACCACAAAACCGCAAACAGCCCACTTACCCGCGTGCCGCGCTGGCTACGACGTCTCCGCAGCATCACAGGGTGGATGAGGACAGCACAGCAGCTGCAGCCGCAGACGACCCAGAGAGCTGGCTCTATCCAACACATGCCCCCATCGTCGTACTCGGATGACACCCATGTCGACCACCTTTTACCTTCTGTTTTATGCAACAAAGCCAAGGCGCCTGGGGTGCATGCGCACATAGGCCAAGCCGCCGACCCAGCGGCAACAAGCTGGGGAGCACATGCACCGCGATGCGAGGGAAGCGGACACGCACCAGGGCAGCACCGCCAACGTTATGCGCCGTACGCCAGAAGACATGCGCATTTGGAAAGTGCACTCGCCGCCGGCTTTTTTAACACACCACCAGCAGCAGGTCCTCCTTCGCCAAGGGCACCTCAAGCAAGCTGTACTCACCTTCACACACGTAAACGACACCCTTCAAAGCTTCTGTGCCCCTGTGCCGCACAATGAGATTTTAATGCAACCCAGCGCATGCCGTACAAAATTCTGTAACGAGTTGGGAGCTGCCAACCGGGTTTACACCCACTCCAGCCCATCGCCAACGCACCGACACGGCCCTACTGACCCGCATTCGGCAGTGCAGCGACCCCTCCTGTTGTCCTTGACACAAAACGATTGGCGGCAACCCGCGGTGCGGAGGTTTCACCTCTACACCTACAACAAAGCAAGTAAGCAACGCCCCCCAAATCCGACACGCCTCCCCATCTCGCTAACCCTGCCTCCTCCTGCCCTCCTACGCCTCCAAAACCAACCCACCGACGCCCAAGTTTGCAATCTCTTCATACTTCTTCTACGAACGATGCTCAGACGTCGTAAGCGCAGCGCAAAAGCGCGGACGTAATGACGCCGCGACCCCTGCCGCCGCGCGTGCCTTGGCCCCTTACGGAGCCCTTCTTATGGAGATGCACTACCGAGAGAAGTCGACACACAACTCAACACAGACACCCCGCATGACATGCGCCGCTTGGGGTGCATGTATCCATCAAGCGTCTGCACTCAGACTCCCAGGGCCAGGGTGGACACAAGTGATATGACCAAAGTCAAAGACAGGGACAGAGCAACCAACTACGGAGGATCCCTGTACCCTAGCGCACCGATATACACACAGACTAAAGGAAACGCCACTTGCGGTTGAATCTAGCCTCCTGCGGCGCCCAATAATCCACGCATTGATGTCGACGCATAGACCGGGCGAGAGTGCCGGCCCCGTTTGTTCAGCTACGACACACGACTAATGGATAATGATGATCCGTGAGCATTACGGATGAGGCAAGAGTGACGTTCCCGCCTTGTTGCTGGGTTTTGGCAAACTGGCAAACTCGCTTCCACATAAGCAGCACTGAAACAACATTTGTGCAGCGCGCCGCTCAGTTGTGTTGTAATTTGTAAAAGAGTACAGAGCATGACAGTTAGACATGTCATAACTGGAAAGATGAACAGCGTCAACCAACAACGACAGCAACAACTCCAACCGAAAAACCACAACGGAACCAACGCTGTACAACACGCGCACATGTCCCTCGCAGGCATGCCTCCCTCATTGTTTTTCCTCTCAGTAGCTCACAGATGTACAATGGCAGCATATGTTTCGGAGCTCTCTCTCATAATGGCCCCCATTCATAGCGTCGTCAACATACTGACACACACAAAAAGAACAAAAACACCGCAACAACCCCCATGAAATACATTCCCGCGCGTGCCCAACATGCCATAACACGCAGACAACAAAGCCTGCTGCAGACACATCTCGACAAGCAGGTGACAGGAACGTTCATGGAAACCCGGCAACGGCAGAGCGCCCAACCCTGGACAACCCATGCCAGCACTCCCCAGCCCCACTAATTACCACCCAGCTCCGCACCCTTGGGACGGCTGGGCCCACCCTCCTCCTGTTCCTCCTCCTGTCCTCCTCGTGTTCTCTGCTGCTGGTGCTGCTTTTTCTGCTGCTGCAGTGCAGCCTCCAGGCGGCCGCACACCAGTCCAGGCGGGTGCACGCCTGAGAGCAGACCGCGCACCCGCACCCAGCCCCTCCCAGCCACACCAGGAGAGGTGGAGAGCCGGGCACCCGCACTAGCCCCCCTCATTCCGCCCAGCCCGCGCCGGTGTCTTACTTAGAACCTGGGTGCCCGCGCCAGCATCCTGCCGTCGCTGCTGCCGGTGCCGCTGCCGCCACTGCCCAGCAGTGCCATCCCCGCCAGCTGGCTGTCCTGGCGGGATAGCGCGGTGGCCACTCCCAGGGAGTCGGGGAAGTAGGGGTACGAGTACACGGCGACCTGGGGGGAGGGTGAAACGGCGCGGTTACACCAACCACTACACCCCCTGTTTGCTGCACCACCTTCCTAAAATGGCCCTTGCCCTCCTTCCCAACACCCTCACCAACCACACAAATCCGCCTCCAGCAGCCCTTATCCCACAGCCAGTCCGTATTTTCCTCTTCTTCCTCCCCTCCCCACCTTTGCGAACTGCGTGGGCGCCAGCACCTTGCCGAAGAAGAAGCAGCACAGCAGCGTGCGCGCCGAATGCTCCTTCACCATGTTGGCCGCCAGCCGGTCAGTCAGCTCCATCTCGCTGGGCAGCTCGGGGCGCGAGCCGAAGGAGGAACGGGAGGGGTCCAGGGTGCCCACTCCGCCGCCAAGCGCCGCCATGATCAGCTTGCGCTCCTCGTACACCTGGGGGGGGGAGGAAGGGGGGGCAAAAGACCATACCAGACCATAGGAAACCACAGGTTGGGGCAAGATAATGGGGGGTAAAGAGGAAAGAGCCGTGTGCATGCTGGGTGGGGTTGTTCGTAAAGGGGGGCGGGCGGCGGTGCCATGCAAACCAAAAGTCCTTCCATCTCCACGTCCGCTCCCCCCTAACAAATCCCTGCAATCCATCCGCCTCCCTGCACCCCACCTTGGCAATCAGGTTGCGGTACATGTCGTACACCGCCAGTATGTCCGCCCGCTGCTGCGGCCCCAGCTGCAGCGAGGCCGCCACGTCGTCCCAGTGGCTCTCGGGCGCCGCGCCGGGCTGCAGCGTCTCCAGGTTGAGGCTGAGCAGCGTGCGCATGAGCGGCGAGTTGAGCAGCAGGATGTGTTTCAGCACGCGGCCCATGCGCTCCACGCAGGTAGCAACCTGTGGGGGGGGTGGATGAGGGTGGGGGTGGGGGGGGTGGATGAGGGTGGGGGAGGGTAGGGAGGATGTATACATGAGGGAAATAGTGGAGAGGGTGGATGAGGGAGAGGGTTGTGAGTTGGGTTTCTCAGCCCTCCAAACGCCGCCGTGCGCCGCTCCTACCAGCGTGCCACACGGCTCTAACAAGCGCGCAACCCCCGGGAGCGATGGTCTGCAATTCCAGCCTAGCCGTTGGCTCGCATGCGCATGCGCTCTACGACTGCGCGCCCTGGCGCCCCCATCAGAGGCCCCCAGGACGCCCAACCCCAGGACGCGCATCAGATCCGCGCCCCCCCCCCCCCCTTGCCCAACCCATTCCACCCCGCTTCTTCTACCTCCCCCCAATTGTTTTGCCCTAATTCGTGGTTTCCTATGGTTTGGTCTTTTTTGAACCTTCCCTCCGCCGTCAGGCACGCACCTGCTGCACGATGGGGCTGTTGGGGTCGGCGCAGGGGTACTGGCAGTGCAGCAGGTGGCGCGACACCTCGGCCAGGAAGGCCTTGTACTGCGGAATCACCTGCGCGCGGGGCATGCGTCGGTAAGCGGCGGGAAGGACGGGGGGGCTTCAAGGCTTCGCTTGCTTGACAGGGTGCAGGACGGGGGGTGCCGTGTGTTAAATTAACTGGCCGCGAGGCGAAACGTGTGTTAAGAAAACTGGCCGCGAGTAGGAACAAACGTGTGTTAAGAAAACTGGCCGCGAGTGTGTGCGCGTGCATAGGGCCTCTGGACATCCGGTAAAGGTACGTGCTGTACCATCAAGCGATGGATACCCACATGGCCACAGGCGTCACACCTACACAGCGGTCCTGTCCCTAACCGAAGTTCAAGCACGGGCCAGCTAGCATGCTGTGCCCCTCGCTGCCCTGCAAAGGAAACCCAGCCCTGTGCCCAGGCCCCCAACAGTGTGCGGACCTGCTCCTTCTTCAACTTGCGGTAGGCTTCCTGCGCCTCCGGCGGCTCGCTGGCCATGGTGTTCGACACGCCGTTGCCAAAGCAGGACGGCGAGTCCCCGGTGGTACGGCAGTGCGCCTCGAAGGCCTGCATCATGCTTAGCTGCTCGTCGCGGCAGTTGACCACCTGGCGGCGAGGGGAGAGGAAAGTGGGTTCCTGGTGAGGATGTGGTGGGTGCTTTCTGATAGGAATAAAGCATTAGAGGCCCAGTCCTGTGGCCCGACTCGTGCGCCGCGGGGAGGGACAGGGAATTAAGCAGGCTGTGCAAGAGGGATAAATAATGGAGCCGTGCCTGGAGCGCTGGACATAGCATGCTAGGGTACCCCATGAACGCATGGCGTAGGGTTCCACGGGGTTTCCAAGAGGCAACAAAGCCGCTTACGGGGTAGGGGTTAGGGCCGCCATGTGCGATGCGCAAAGCGTATTATACGTTACGCATGTGCATGAACATGGAAAGGGTCTACTGGTTATCCATGCAAGGATTGGGAAGCAACAGGCATGACTGCGACTGCGAACATGAGGAGGTCGCTCGAGGGCAGGACGCAGCTACGGACGGCTACTGTTTGCAAGAGCTAACCTTGGAACAGCCACTGCAAGGGACCAGAACAGCGAAGGGACCAGAACCATGGCTGTCCATGGGGATTCCTACCTTTTCCAAGATGTTCGTCCGTGCTTTCAGCAGCTCATTCTCAGCTGCCAGCTGTTCAAAGGCAGCCTTCTTCTCCGCCACCTGCAAGACATTCAGGTATGGTTTACCACCATGTATGAATTCTGGTGCGAGAATAGCCCATGGCGGGGCATCGACGTCCAAAGAGGGGCCCTCAACAACATTTAGGTCCACCTTACCTCCCGCTCTAGGTGGGTCATGCGCTCCTTTTGGCGTGCACGAAACCTTTTCTGAGCGTTCTGGCACTCCTTGGGCTGCTTTTGGCCCCGTGTTCCCGTTGGTCCGCTACCCGAGCTTGTCGGGCCCTCCACCCCTCTGTCCTCAGAGCCGCCAGAGCGAAGGTGGAGACTTCCTTTAGGGTCCATTTTTGAAGAATCCAGCTGAAGCAGTTCACCAGAAAGGTCCGCGCATGGGAGCGAAAGGAACGAGCCCTGAGCTCCCCCGAAATCTCGAAAAGATGCAAGGACGTCCATATTTCAAGTTAGTTTCCTGCTAATAGGTGCAATACGTCCAAGCTAGGGGCAACAAATCCTTGTGACAATTCTGTGGAAATGGGCTATGCCTGGTAAGACGCCTCTGCATGACAAAATGGGAACGGCGTGCATCAATGGGCAAGCGTAATGCTTGGGCCAGAATTGGGAATCTTTGGCTTAACCTTGTTACCGTACCACCTTTTTGTCGTACCACATAGGGTGCAAGCGGACTAGCGGAGGTAAGAGTGGGATGCTACTCTGGTCCTTAGCCCGCTCTTTAGCTCTGTAACGCAAAATATGCTTACAAAGTGCTGTTGGGAGTCGTGCTTGCAGGTACTTTACGTCGCCCACGTGACGGGCACGCGCTCACACGGCAGCCCAATTATTCGTATTTAAGCGGAGATGCATTGATCTATATTCATGCCCGCACTTCTTATCGGAAGCATTTAAGCGCTACAGCGCAAGCCCACCCTTAAGCCCAGCTCAGATGGGCATGTAACTCAATTGCAAGCACCCCGTGTCTCGTTCGTGCACCGCACCAACTCCCATACAATATGTGTTCGTTGGCGTGTACCATGCTATACCTTAGCCGCACGCATGACCAGCCCGTTCCCCCTACACAAGCACTCGCATTCTGCGTCGTCTCGCTTTCGAGTGTCCAATGGCACCTTGTTGCTGCCTCGCGGCACCCCATGCGATTTCGTTCGCTCACCGAACACTTGACTCGAAGTACCCTGGTGGTTCTCTTCAGAGTCATCCAGGGGTTCCCAGTCCCCCTGGCTTGGTTCCTTTGTCTTCCTGTCCCATCACTATACCATTCCACATCGGAGCAGACATCCTGTACGCCTGTTTCCGGCGAAGTCGAGAGCGTGCCACCAAAGAACTCGAGGAAACGCCACACCAAAGCAGGTTGTTAGCTTGTCACAAAAGAGGTAAAGCATTCCGCAAATCGGCCATCCGGGCTTTTTCCGGTCATACGTCTCCCGTGTACCGCCGCCAATCCCCACCACTCCCCACCGCTGCGCTTTCCAGCACCCTCTACCGTATTGCCGTACTGCCCTGCTACCCAACCAACTCCCTCACGCACACCCTACACGCACACCTTACGTGGACCAACCCCTCGCCGCACCCAACCGCTGCTTCCGCCACCTCCCGTCACGAGCCCTCCTCCACGCCATGCTACCCGCTCCCACCCGCCTCGTCATACAGCCTCGTCAGTTTCCTGTTTTTATCCCACCCCCCTCTTGCTCCACCCTCCACCGACCAACCCCCGCTGCCCGCGCCTCTCCTCCCGCAACGCCCCTGCGACCCGCCACCAGCTGCCCCGCAGCGCCCGGTCTGCGGTTCCGCAGTTTGCCGTGTGCTCTGTTTTGTGTGTATGTAGGGGTTCGCAGCTCCAGACAGAAACGCACTCCTCCTCCTCCCCCACTCACCGTGCCGACCGCCAACCCCGCAGCCGCCTGCGCCCACTCCCCCCCCCGTGTGATGATGCCTTATCACACGGTCAGTCTAGCTGTTTCCTCGTTACCCCTCCCATCCTCCGCACCCAGCGCTACACACAACCGTCAGTTGGGCACCAACACACCCCCAAACACTCGCTTACGTCCCCAGCCAGGACCACAACTCTCCCCAGCGCAACATCATCACCAGCATCACCAGCAGCAGCCCGCCCAGCCACAACTCACGGCCACCAACGCGCCCCAGGTGCAAACCGGCGGACAGCTGTGTGGCGCCTCATGCAGTGTGGTGGTGAGCAGCATGCAAGGAGCAGCAGCAGCAGCAGCAGCAGCAGCAGCAGGTGAGAGCAGGAAGTGGCGCCCCCCTCATGTCGCCTCCCTTGCCCCCCCCCTCATGTCGCCTTCTTTGCCAGCATCACCTCCGAGTGGATGGCCCACGAGCCCATCACCTGGTAGGCGATCTGCGGGGGCGGGCGGGGGGTGAAAGTGTATAAACCAAACCGTAGGAAAACACAAGTTGCCGCAAAAAATAAAAGCAATGGGGGTTGGGGGGACGGCAGGGAGGGTTGGGACCGTGGGACATGACACGGTCGAGGGTCACATGGTCGGCTTTCCTCCTTTCTTGCCGCTCCCTCCCATACTTTTTGCGCCCCCCCCAACACCACTTGCTGCTGTACGGCATGCTGCCGCCCCCTTCCACACGTGCCTTGCTCTCCCTTTTGTGGTTTCCAAAGCACCGAGCTGGTGCTCTCTAGCACCCCCCCTCCCCCCCGCCCACCTTGAGTACGGCAAGCTCCAGCGCCATGAGGATGATGGAGGTGAAGCGGATCTTGGATCCAGGGATCTCAGTCCAGTTCACAAACACCTGGGTGGGGTCGCGGGAGGGGCGTGGGGGGGGGGCAGGAGACAACTCACTAACCGGGTGATAAGGTTTGCAGTCTCAGAGCCAGCCCGAGCCCGCTGAGAGGGACGGGGAGGGATATAAACATGGACACCGGTAGGCACCCATATGCAACGTATCGTCAGGCGCCCCCGCCGTTCTTCCGCTGCGCCTACTAACGGGAACTAACGGCGAACTTCTGTCCTTCTGTTCTTCCGCCCCTCCGCGCTCGTTACCCCCGCCTCTCCCCTGTTCCCCACGTCCCTGCCTGTGCCCACCTCCGCCCCCGTGTCTGTGAGTTGGTTTCTTCCTCCTTTCCCCTCTTCCCCCCACCTCCGTTACGTATGCGCCCAACTGCTCCCCTCCCCCGTCCCCCTTCCCCCTCTCCGTATGCGCTCACTGCACGAGTCGAGATTTGGGATTGGGACTCCGTTGCTCCACTTTTCATATATTGTTTTACCCCTCCCGCCCCCACCTCCGTCACGCGTATACCCAGCTGCTCCCCTCCCCCCACCACCACCTCCGTCACGCGTATACCCAGCTGCTCCCCTCCCCCGCCCCCACCTCCGTCACGGGTATGCCCAGCTGCTCCGCCAGGTACAGCAGCTCCACGTCGAAGCACCAGCGCTGCAGCCGCTGGTTGGAGAACAGGATGGCGGCGGAGCGGCGGGTGAAGAGCTGGGGAGGGGGAGGGGGGAGGGAGGGGCGATGGGTTTAGGGGGTGGTTAACTTGAGCCGCGATGGGGTTCGGGCGGGTTGGGAGAGACGGGGGAGGTGCGGGGCCCGGGAAAAAGAACGCAGGGCTCGATGTGCTATACCACAACCCCCCCGCTTCCTTATTGCATGTCCTGTCTTGACCTCGCTCTTCACGGCTTCCGCCAGCAGCCCGAGCAGCAACTCCCCTACCTCCTCCCCTGATGAGTCGGGGGGCAGTCGGGACTGCGCTTCCCACACCCTCCCTCACACCTTCCCGCACCCCCTCATTCAACCCATATGGCGTTCCCCATTTGCCTCCCCCTCCCGTCACCCTCCCCCCCCTCCCCCCCCACACCCCCCATCCGCCCACCTTGAAGCCGCACTGCGTGTCCCGCACCCGCCCCCCCGCCACCAGGTACACCAGCACGTGGAAGCCGCGCGTCAGGAAGTTGCGCAGCCGGCTGCGCTTCACGATGGCGTCCTTGTGCAGGTGCGCGCGGCTGCCGTACGCAACACCCAGCGGGCCCTGCTGGCTGGGGCCCCCGGAGGAGGCGGAGCTGGGGGAGGTAGCAGTGGTGGGGGCGGCTGATGGGGATGGGCGAGGGGAGCGGCTGAAGCCTGGGGGTGGGGAGGGGGGTTGTTGGGGAACGCGGTTTGGCTGCATGAATGGTCGAGTTGGCAGCCGTCCGTGCCAACAGGTGAGGGGGTAGGGGGTTCCCGTCCTGCTGTTCTTTGCCTTCCCGTCTTAACTCTCTGTTTGCTCCACAATTCCACATCGTACAAACAGGAGGCGGGAGCTGCAGTCGCACCCTGTGCTGCTTGCTGCCAGTGCCCCCTGCAGCCACGGCGGCGCACCCGCCCTCCCGCCTCCCTCTCCTCCTCCCTCCCCTCACGTATCGGCTCGCCCAAACATGTGCCATGCACCCGCCGCATCTTATCACCCAGCTCGCCACCATCACCAACAACGCATGGGTCTTCTTCCTCTTCCCCCGCATCCCCTCCCCCCACCCACCCGGCTGCATCACCCGCTCCAGCCCCGCCTCCAGCTTCTCCAGGTCGGCGAACCGGGTGGCCCCGTCCGCATCCATCAGCAGGCAGTACTCCCCGCGCGACACCAGCATGCCGCGCTTCACCGCGTGCCCCTTGCCGCGGTTGGACGACACGCGCAGCAGCCGTACGGTGTCCAGCCCGTAGCGCCGTACGTAACCCTGGGCCACCCTGGGAGACACGAACACGGGGGTGGGGGTGGGGTAGAGGTTGGGTGGGGTGGGGGTGGTAAAGACGGAACGACTAGCGAACCGTGTGACAAGGGGCCATTACGGGGAATGGTGGGATGGTGGGAAGTGGTCAAGGGAATACCAGTGCGCCAGTGAGGGCAAGACAGTGGGGATTGGAGTCGGCAGGATGCTTGGACGCTCTTCTTTTTCCCCCACCCCCACTAATACGGGTGGGGTGGGATGGGCCAATTAGCAACCCATGGAGGAGCCTCGTCATCCAGTTCGTCAGTGTTTCTTTATTTTTACCCCCACTACCCCCACCCCCACAACAACGCCAACGCCTTCATCACCACCGCTCCCCTGCTAACCTGGCGGTTCCGTCCGTGCTGCCATCGTCCACTATGATGACCTCGTACGTGAACTGCGGCCCCTGCCGGTCTCTCCGGCGCTGCAGGTAGCTGTGGGAGGGAAGCACGGGGGTGGGGCGTGGTGTGGGATGGGAGCAACAACAGCCGTCATGAGCCGTGGGGAGTGTGTAAGGGCTGGGATGGAGTGAGTTCAGGTTTACAGGTGACGGATGACAGACGGCTTTCTTTTCAAAAAAGTTTGTTTGCTTTTCCGGTGCACAGGTGTAAGAGAAGGGGGTGATGCATGGAAGATGGTTGGCTATACTGCGGACATGCCGATGATGAGTTGCAGCACATCCAGCTGGGGGCCGCCCGGGCACTTACGCCAGGGCCTCGTCGAGCGTTGACGACAGGCGGTCCTCTTCATTGTACGCGGGTACAATGCACGACAGTGCCTTTGTTGGTGCATCAAAGATGGACGGACATGGGACCTGCGCAGCAAGGATGGACCGAGTCCTTAGCACAGGTCTCCGAGGGCATTTCAGCCGCTGACGTGTGGTCGGACACAAAGTGCAATTGTTTGATGTAAAGTAATTGGAGATGATGCGCTTACCGGCGCGGTGGAGTCCGGATCCTCGAGCGTACATACGATGGGCTCTGTGAATTCCTTGGTTATCAGGGTTACCAGGTTTATTACTTTTCCCAATGCATATCCAGCAACCAGCAGCTGCGATGGAAAGCCAAGGGGTGACTACACTGCGAAGCTGCTGACCTTAAACTCCGCAACGGTGAACAACCTCACCCCGATCAGCTGGAGAAAGTACAGCAACATGATGCTGGAAATGAGGGGTCAGCGTGGCTAAGTAAGGAACCAAAATGGATCGGAGCTCTCGTCAAAATGGACACATAGCTATATCGTGTCTATCCTGTCACTGCGTATCTATGCAGTCCCCTTTGCCAGTGCGTGCTCAGGTACAATACGAGCCATATGAGCCTCCAGTCCCCGCCAGTATTGGTTTGGCGACGTTGGTTAGGTTATGTACGAATGCTGCGAGGTCGATGCGCTGTAGTTGTGGAGAGACTCTTGGTATGTATTACTCATTTATAGACTACGTGTTCGCCTTAAACGCTCTTCATTCCTTACCGGTGAACGACGGACTTGAAACATGGCCGATCCTGGTGGAGACCCCTCATGTAAGCTGGGGTTACCACGGACTTATTGTGCATTATATTTAGCAAGCTTAGCCGTAACGGTTACCTATTTGGCTGCAGACTTTTCACTCTTCGTCGGTGACTTGCCGCCGGAGGTGCATGACCACTTTCTAGAGTCCTTCTTTCGACAATACTTCCCATCGGTCCGGAGTGCTAAGGTCAGTAGAGGGGCCGGAGGTTCGAAGGCGGAAGCTCCTAGGTTGGTCCCTTGGGGCCCTACCCTTCCTTCTCGATGGGCAAGATGTCCAGTCCCCTCCACCTTATCCAACAACCGGGAGGGTTGTCCGCAGCCGGACAAGCCCTCTTGCTCTCACGCTATCTTTTTAAACCCTTCAACACCCAAACCGCCCCCTTGCCAACTGCCAACTGCCTCATCCTCCACTTTCCCACCTGCTCCCACGCGGACCCCACACGCGGACCCCTGCTCAGCACTCCCATCGCGCTCACCTCGTTGGGCTCAGCACCCACCTACCTGCCCACTCATCCACCCATCCATCCTCCGACTCCACCGCCTGCATGCATGCATGCAGCTCCCCACCCCACCTCCGTCCAACCAATGTACCCCACCTCCTCCTGGTTTGGCCGCTCCCCTCCCGCGGAATATGTATCCCTATTGGTCCCCCCCCTCCTTTCCCTTTCCCTCGTCCCCTCCCTTCCCTTTCCCTCGCCCCCTCCCCTCACCCTGGCCCCCCCGCAGGTCATGACGGACCCCATGACGGGCCGCTCCAAGGGCTACGGCTTCGTGCGCTTCGGACTGGAGGCAGAGCGGGACCGAGCGGTGGGCGACATGAACGGCGTCTTCATCTCCTCACGACCCGTCCGCGTCAGCCTGGCCACCGCACGGAGAGCGGACGGCGGACCCATGGTTCCAGGCGGCGGCAGTCGCGTGCCGGGCGCACCGCCAGGCGCCGGCGGCGGCGGCGGCGGTGGGCCGCCGCTCTCGGGCGAGTTGGACCCCAACAATACCACGTTGTTCATTGGCGGGCTGGCGCCTGGGGTTTTGGAGGATCAGTTGCGGGCGGTGTTTGGGCGGTACGGCGAGATTATTTATACCAAGATCCCGCCCGGCAAGGGCTGCGGATTCGTACAGTTCATTGACCGGCAGGCGGCTGAGTACGCGATGCAGGAGGTGAACGGTCAGATCATTGGGGGCTCGGCGGTGCGGATATCCTGGGGAAAGAGCACCGGGAAAGGCGGCGGAGGAGGAGGGTACGGCGGAGGCGGAGGCGGTGGAGGGTCTGGAGCGTATGGGGGTGGAGGAGGAGGAGGGTATGGGGGTGGAGGTGCAGGCGGAGGAGGCTACGGAGGCGGGTACGGCGGCTACGATGCTGGGCCGTACGGTGGAGGGTACGGAGGTTATGATCCGTACGGCGCTGCGCAGTACGGCGGCTATGGAGCGGATCCGTACTCGGTGAGTGGTGATGCGACGGCGAGGTTGCGCGGATGTGGTTTAGCCGTATGCGAGGGTTTGCAGAGGGTCTCAGTGTTGGGTTGGTCTTGGCCTTCATTACGGTATTTCCTGTTTCCGGACGGTTTGAGAGGGACGTTAAGCCGGTGTGGGAGGCGTAGTTGTTATAGGCGTGTCTGTGTTCCTACGCACACGCTCCCGCCCGCCCGCCCTCATTCTTTCCGCTACCTTTCTTCCCCTCCCTAACCTCTCTCCCTCCTCCTTCCTTCCTCCCTCCTAAGGCCTACTACACCTCCGGCATGTACCACCCTGCCGGTGCGGGCGGTACGGCAGCGGGCGGTGCAGCAGCGGCTGGCGGCAGCGGTGCCGCAGCTGCTGCCCCCCTGGCGTTGTTCGACCCCGCTGCGCCCGTGAGTGTGGAGAAGCTGAATGCGGCGTACGTGCAGCGGCACATGCCGGGGTACACGGGGAGCTACATGGGGCTGGTCAGCAGCTAGCGGTCAGCAGCTAGCGGGGGGTCAAAGACTGTACTGAACCAGAGGAGGCCGCAGGTTAGGGCAAAGCAATAGGGGGAGTGGCAGGGCGCGGGGGGAGGACCGGGGGTAAAGAGGAAACGACCAGCGGATTGTGTGACAAGGCGTCATCATGGTTTGCAACATGTGAGCCACCCCGGGCCGAGTTTGGGGTTCGGGAGGAGGGCGCTGAGAAGCGGGTGACACTGGTGAGGTGGCATGGGGGAGGGTGCTGGAGGAGCGTTGAGTGGTTGTGAGGCGACTGTGAGGGGTGTGGTTGGTGGCCGTGCGGGCCAGCTGGACGGCAGCCTGGTGGGGTCTGGGAGCGGTGAAGCTGTGATGTGGATGGAGGTGTTGGGAAGGCTTTTGCCGGTTGCAAGGTGTGCAGGTGTGCGCTTTCCTGCCGTTCGCAGGGATCCTGAACACTAAGGCTAAGGCGCGCAGTGGACACATGGCGGTGTACATTCCGTACAGCTTACTGTAACGGCACGGATTACTGTAACTAGACACACATGCGCGACACACCGGTATTGCATGTTGGCGGGATGCGGTGCGGGCTGTGGTAGCACCTTGGGATGCCTAGGATGCTGCAGCCGGTGCCTGTCGTACTGCAGGTCATGCATCCAGGGTGGTTGTGGGGCAGCAGCTCGCCCTCTCGCGCTCCTTGCCTATCGCAATAGATCACAATACCGCTTGGATGACCTCTCTGGTTGTTCGGATGTGTGACCCACCATCGGCAGTATGTCAGATGGTGTTGGAAGCAGTTCAGTCTGGGTAGTGCAGAACGTTGGAGCAAACTAAGCGCTGAGCCGCCCACGTCTCTCATATCTCTTTCGCCTTTTACTAAAGAGATCAGCGAGTGCGGCTCACGAAGGCGCATATCTCCAATATTTGTAAGGCTTTTGCCTTCCCCAATGCAAAGGCAAGTGTGGACTTAGGTGAAAATTTACCACACAACAAGTAACTTGTTGTGTTGTTGTAACCATTGTGTGGACGACTGGCGTGTAACTTGTTGCTGGGCTGTGCTATGGGACGCTGTGAGTCCTTAGGGGCTGCATGATTTAGATTGGGCGTCTGGTGGGATCAGTTCGGCGTCGTGGTAACGTGCCGCTTGGCCGGAAATGTATGGGGGGAAGCTAAAAAGGCGAAGGGTCCGCAAGCGTAAAGAGGAGTATGGCAGCTTTGGGACGAAGCCTGGTACTGCTGAAGCTTGTGTCCCGGTATAAACGTATCAATTAACATGCGGCTGCTGATTAGATGAGTTGGGAAATCACTTTCATGCGGCACGTGCCATGCAGAGAAGACGTACGGAAGGTGCCCCCCCTCTCCTGCGCAAGGAGGGGAGGGCGGAATGCATCTTACATCTTGCAAGTATCCAGCTGATAGACAGCGGCCATGTATCTGCCATATGATCTACAGCCGCAACATCTCTGCGGTTACCTCTATCAATTATAGCACGATAGTCATCTCCTTCAATTACCGTTATAGCACGATGGCCACCCAAACGCGCCTAACGCAAACTAGCAATACCTTCAGGCACGAGCCCGCAAACCATGACCCGTGGGTCGCACACGTGTAGTACACCACCCTCAAACCCTTGATTTAGGCAGCACGACCGCATGCCTACCCCACTCAGCCCTATCATCTAGTGTCGTCGGGGACGCCAACCGCCCTCGGTGAACGCGCGCACGCCTACACACATGCAGTGCCAGCTTGCCAATACGCGGGGTAATCCACCCCTCTTATGATCACGCCTGATTTCACACCTCGCATGCAAGCTATGCGGTACCCCACAGCAGCGCACACGCACGTACGGAACAGCACCACGGCCCCCCGCATTGCTTCTCCCGCAAAAACACGCTCCTAACATACATGGTGCCGTAAGAAAGCCCTCATCCGGCCCTTCCCTCCTACCTTCAACCGCCGCACAGCTAATATACTTAATCAGGGAAACCCCCACATGTGCATGGCTGCATGCGTACAACACTTATTCGAGGCGATCGCGCGGAAGGCGAATAGCTAAAACAAAAATACGCCGACCTCAACATTGCTAACCCCAATACGATACACAGCAGCAGCCTTCGCAACCCTCGCCCCGTCATTCTGTGCTCCTCCCTCTCTCCTCTCCATACCCAATCACGGCAATCAGTACCCACCAAACCCACACGCTCGCCCTCTTCCCAGCCCCTCTCTGCCCCCATACCCACCCCCTCTCACTTGTCTACCGCACCTTACCAAGACCCGCCTTCCGAGGCGCCCGCCTCTCCGCGGATTGGGGCGTACGGCTGATACTTGCGCCGCATGGGCGTACCTTCCGTCTTGCACTTGAGATGAGACGTTGTTGTTGGTCTTGGCATGAACCTTGGTCTTAACCTCGAATGCCGCCTTGAAAGAGCTCTTGTCGTACCTGCGAAAGCCAAGACAGGGGCGGATTCAGTAACAGAGTCGTGCAAGGGGGCCGACATGACAGCAATTTCGCCATGTAAGGAAAGCAAAACACAAGACACGCACGCATTACCAACAATCATGCAATGCTCTACACGAATGGGCGTACCTTCAAAGTGCCGTCTTGCACGTGGGATGAGATGTTGTTGGTCTTGGCATGAGCCTTGGTCCTAGTCTCGGATGCCGCCTTGGAAGAGCTCTTGTCGTACCTGCGAAAGTAAAGAAAGGGCAAATTCAGTAACGGGGTCAGGTTACCAAGTAAGTGTAATAGCGACCGCCATGATGCCATGCCTAGAGATGCATGCGCAATTCCTAGCTAGGAAATACATGACCCTGTACAATGCAAGCATATCCGCACGGGACAACCAGTGTCATCTATACACGCATGCATCCAGTACTCCGCACGTCTGGACGTACCTTAACAAAGCACGGGTCAGCGACGGAAGGGAACGCGATTGGGCCGCTTGGCTGTCGGGCTCAGCCAAAGCTTCAGGTCGGAGAGGGTGGAAGAGACGTGGAGGGCGGAAGAGGCAGGGAGGGGGAGGCGGAGGAGGCAGCGAGGCGGGATAAGGTCGATGTCGCCTTAGAGGTTGTAGTCGTATGCGGGTCTTATCGTGGGCTTAGGACGGCTTGCCCCTGGAGGATGGATCCTGCAGCAAGGGTTCACCATGTTGTCACGGTTCTGCGGCAGGGGGGCGGGCGACAAACGTATCGTTAGAACTGTGATCACGTGATAACGTAGTGAGAGCAAGCAGCGTAGTGCAGCAGGCTTGGAAGTATTCTCGCCAAAAGCATTACCGGAACCGGAGGATGTCAATCGGCGGATGCCTGACGCGCCACCAACAACACGAGCTACCAAGGAACTTCGCTTATTTGTATACAATATTACATCTTGTAGAGCGATGAAGCGCTATGTTGAAGCTAAAACTTCTGACGCTAAAAGTTGCCCTACGCTTCGTGCGCACCGGTAAATATATCTTGAAGTGACCTTGTGAGTAGTCAGTGACAGCGCGCAGACCTGCGAAAGGTGAACAAAGCCCGTCAGTTAGTAGGAATGCATCAATGCGGCCAAGCTCAGCATTCCCAACCGCTATTTACAAGAGCACCTGTTGCCACCTCATCACCATTTGTTGAATTAGAGCTCTTGACAAAGGAGCTGGCTCGACAAAGATTGGACGTAAACCTGTAGACCATTGTGAAAGAGGCAAAACGGCGAGAAGGGACTAGAAGCCAAGCCTAATAGACAGTGCATGTAGGGAGCCTGCAACGGTTTGCAAAAGACTTACCTTGACACCTGGTTCCGGGTACACCTCGCAGTGTCGAGATTTTCGCAACCGTTTCCGAGGTTGCCTAAGACCTAAGCTGTATAGTTAATTGGAAAGGAGTTGTTGTGGTAATGGGGCGTGGCCTTGCGAGTATTTATTGCTGAACGTTCCATGTCGTACCCTCGCCCAGTAGCGCCGTGAGCGGCAAAACCTGGAAGCGTAATTAAAGGTTTCGCTAACGGACTGATGACACAAAATGCAAAACCGCAATGAACGCTTTCCGTATAGACCTATTGACGAAGGCCACATAGTATAGATAGTCGGCATCCTTAGCCCTGGGCTAGCTAGTCATGTAAGCCAGATAATACGATAGTGCCCCATTTCGGGTATCAATCTCCCAAGCTATCTTCGTGATACTAAAGCTAGGCACATAAGTAAGCCGATGGCATCAATTGTCAAGTTGCGAGGATGCCGAGGATGCGCACATGTGTCAAGAGCATTCCCTCAGATACCTGCTGCTATATTAGCGGATACCATGTTTAAGAGTCAGGAAGTGCCACATCGGGTTCGGACAGGTTGATTCCACTCGGCGCCATTTTAAGAGCTCCATGTATAACGCCACAAGGTATAGTGCCGCACTCAGCAAAACGCATCGTGGGAAGGTTGGTGGGTCGGCTTAAGAGTACAGTAGCGCGGGCAAGGTATGGAGAGAGGGAGCTTGGCTTTAACTGCTTGGGTGTCACGGTGGAGGAGAGGTGGAAGGCGAGGCCCTGCTCGACCACTTCCACAAAACACAAAGTTTCAAAATCACCGCTGTCCAGCACGTCTTGTCAACACACTTTAAGGTCCTAATCCTTGCGGTTCCGCTTCGTAGCCTCCTTTGCCGCCCTTGATTTGAGCCGATGAACCAGCAGCCACTCCTCCTCCTCCTACCGCACCACTTCCCTCCCTCCACACCATTGTCCCTCTCCCGCCTCCTTAGGCTGGACCACGCATGTTTCCTTGCTAATCCTTTTGCCATTGCTTATCACTTTCCTATCCGCCAGATGCAGCCTATATGAAACCTTTGCCTGCAGCGCTGTTGCACCACATCCAGACACGCTGGGCCTAACGCAACAGACTGGGCCTAAGCAGATGGCGCCGTACGATGGAACCAGAAGTACGACTACACTTTTAAAACCCATGGTCACTCGCTCGTGGTGTACCGTTGCGTGGGAAACTGTGCACTGTCAACGAACAACTGTGTTTACAGGAGTAAACAAGCCTGGCAGTCGGTACCCAGATGCATGTAGTGCTTACTTCAAATTTTGCGCACCTTTTGGCAACATTAGTACGACACTGTAGGTCACTGCCACTGCTTCACTGGATTGAGGCCGACAACATCTGGCGACTTGGCCATCAGCAGCCACTCATACACAGAGCGTGACAAGGCAGAAGGTTACCAGCTCACGAGTATCTACCCTCCCTGGAATCACAACACCCAACACAGTGGAACCCGCGCAGGAGTGACAGCCCATAAGCGACTGAGCAGTCCAGGGGGGCGCTGGGAGCAAGGGTGATGACAAGCATGCATGTAGAGAGAAAGCTACCGTCTGCACGCACCCATACGTAAACAGCATGGTGGTTGCACGGCAGATCAGGCAGCGTAGTATGCAAGAAAGTTTATAGCCCAACACACACTGTGGGTATACGATAAGTATCAACATTCGATAGGTTTCTCGCCATATCCTTCACCGAGTACAAGAATGGATCGCGCGATCACCCAACACCAGCCTTCAACATTGATATACGGCCATTTGTATGACTGAATAAGTGTGCCAAGTTAAGAGGGCCACACCTTCCATGCCACCCGTCTTACCTACCGGTAGTCAATGGGGCATCATGGTTGTCTGGCATCCAGTGCAAATGTGCCACAGCAACCAAACCAACGACCTATCACTAAACGGCAGGCGATGTGCAACGTTCAACCGCTGACGTGTCGCACCTCGCCGCCAGCATGTCGTATCAGCACTCCACGATTGAGTTCTTTGTAAAATGCTCATGCGTCGCTCCAATGCCCAACTGCCAACGGCATCAACAACATACATGGCAGGTGTTTCAGCCCATGATCGGCGCTAGACGGACGTCCATAACCTGCTGCCATGACGGGCCTGCCGACACGCCTGATGGTTGCAGGGCAAGCCGTGTCTCTCAAAGCTTCAAACCTGGTGCTACAGGCGCGGCCAGCTAGAATGGCATCCTGTAGCGGTTAGCCTTCCCGTCCGCGGATTCGCCCGGTAGTGGTTTGGACCGCTCGCGCGCAAAGTCCTGTACGGATGAAGGTCACCGGGGGTGCGGCACTGAGCTGCATTGTGGCGCAAAAGATGGGGGTGTATGACTCTTGTCGAACGTCTAAGCATGCCGTAGCAACCCGGCAACCGGCACCGTACGGTAACCATGTGATGGCAGCTTCTTCCTTCCCTGCCGGCCCCCGGCCATTACTCCATACCGGTAGAGTACAACCAACAAACAGGTTCTTCTTCCCGCAGTAAGCCGCCCCACATCCAGCTACGAAGCACCCCGCTAGCTCACCCGTAAGAAGCTCTCCAGCTGGTCACCCTCGGGCCGCCGCCCTGGCGCACCCAACGCAGGCAGGCCCTCTGCGTGGTGACACACGCACAAGGGGGGCCCACAAGTAGACACGTCAGACGTGCCATGGGGTCGACCTTCAGCCAACTCACACCCGCGACCACCGGTCTGTCTGGGTTACGGGCTACGGGGTTAGGACGCCGTGGCCTTGGTTGGGAATACCAAGGACAAACCTAACACACCGCTAACAGCCCCTCAGCCCCACGACGCGTAGTCAACTTCCTCTGTGTCCCCACTCACCCAGTGGGTCCGCAGCGATGGCCTTGCTGCTGCCGCTTCGGAACCGCAGGTCGTCCATGGGGTCGATCAGGGCGGCAGTAGCTCCCGGTGCCGAGCCGCCGCCGCCGCCGCGGAAGCCCCAGCGGCCCGCGCCGGCGCCGCGCGCCGCGGAGCCGACGCCGCCTCCGAAGCTGCGTCCCGGCGGGGGGTACACCAGTGCGCTTTCCTCGCCCAGGAAGTCGCTAGCGGTGTCCTGCAGGGGGGTGAGCAGGGGTTGGAGGGACGGGGCAGCGGGTGAGCGGGTTGTGTGGATTGCGAGAAAGATGTCATGTGGGGCGTACGTTGGAGGCGTCAGGGGCGTCAAAGACTGAGCATTGCACGGGTTGGAAAGATTCGGGTGTCATCCTGGATACACGGCCGCTTCGCTTTCTTCCCACCACAACGACCCGCCTCTGCCCACGCACCTGCGGCCGAGAGAACCCCGACAGCGCGGTCACCCGCGGCCCCCCTCGCGCAGTAACAGCACCCTGCCCGGCCAGCAGCGGCGCGGAGGGGCGCCCCAGCGGCCACCCCTGCTGCCCCCCGGCCCCCGCCCCCGACCTCCATGGGCTGCCCAGCTGCGGCTGCTGGAGCGCGTAGGGGCTCACGTGCCCCGCGGACAGCGAGCGCAGGCCCCCTACGTGGCCTGCCAGGTTCAGGGTGCGCAGCGCGCCTCCACCGCTGCTGCTGTTGCTGCTGCCGCCGCTGCTTCGAAGCGGCACAGCGGCGCCCGAACCGACGGACTCGATCCCCAGGACGGAGCCCAAGCCGGCGCCCATGGCCATACCTCCCTCGCTGTGCACCTGGGAGGAGCTGGGGAGGCCGGTTGGAGGTGGCGGCAAGAGCAGGGGCTGGTGTACACCACGACCGCCTCCTGCTGGGATGCCTGGCAGGCGGCCGAGTGCGGGTAGGACGGGCGCGGATGACGGCGGCGGCATGGGCAGGTTGACGCCTAGAGCGGCTGCTGCTGGGAGGGCGCCGCTGAGGAGGTCTGCGCGAGGCGCCTCCCCCACCACGCGGCAGAGGCTGTGGTAGGTGGAGGTGATGTCCTGGCGCAGGGCGGCGAGGCTGGCAGCAGCATCGCCCGTGTACACCAGGGGTGGCCTGAGTTGGATTGAGGAAGAGTGAAGGAGGAGGGTAAGTTGGATGCGGGGGTGGCTTTGGGTAACACAAGAGAGAGGATGGAGCAAGCGCTAGCGTATTTGGGTCGGGGAGAAGCGAGGAGCAGGTAGAGTCAAAGCCGACAAATTGGCTGCAGGAAAGCAGTAGCGGAGGCATCACGGCAATCCTACAAAGGTAAGGTAGCCGCTTTTGTACGCATGACGTTCCGCCTACCTGTTTGACGGACCTCCTAAGGCCGCTAAAGCCTCCGCAACGCCAGGTTGCAACCGTGGCGCTGCACCCTGCAGGCCTTGGCTATGGCCGAATGCCAATGGTCTCACGGGCATTCCTGGCGCGGGAACAATGGCTCCTGCTGTTTGTGCCATGCTTACACGCCTAGAGCTCGGGGCTGCTGCATTTCCATTGACGCCATTGGTCGAAGGTCGCCCCCGCAATGGCTTGTTTGCTTGGCTGTCGTGTTCTAAAGATATCATAAGGGCGTGTAATGCTGTCTAGTCTTTCCTTATCTTTGGCCGGGTGAAGAACCGTCGACGCATTGGGACGCGAACCTCCTATCTGCTCAAGTCCTAGGCCTTGAACTGCCGCGCCATATATAAACCAACGCTATACCTATATTATGCAGCTTGGCCCTTTTTGTGCGAACGTAAGTTGGTAGGAAGGCGACAAAGAACGGATTAAGACTGGCCTATTATAGGAAAGCTAGAAGATATCAGGGCACAGAAGCGAAAGGGGTTCCACATAGACTTGTGGGTTTGCTCTTACTTGGCACCATTCGCACCAACGTCCAACAAGGGCTGGATCCGTGCCGTTACGTTTTAAACATACCGATGATGCGATGAAGGCTTGCGGTCGATAGAGCTCACAGCATAAACGGGTGGCCCCAATACCCGCTTCCATATCATGCTAAGGATTTAGGTTGCGTATCTACACTGTAGGGTAGAGGCAATCCAAGCCACGCCCCCCAAAAATGGACAGCGACGCAGTGCAGCATCACCGCGAGGTTCTGAGCAGTCTCAGCCGAAGGGAACTCCAAGCGCGAGCAAAAGCGCTAGGAGTACGCGCAAATGGAAAGAGCGTGGATATGATTGAGGCCATGGCGAAAGTCTTGGCTGGTAAGGTTGAGCTGTATGCTCCCATGCTGGACCATGTTTGTTAACAGGAGCTTTACTCCCTGTAGGATTGGCCACTTCGGGTGGGACAGGCAAGGTAGGTTTCCAGCCGGCCCTGCTCGCCGATGGCATTTCCCCAAAGCTTGAGCATCTCTCGCGATTTATGTTCCGCAGGAGCAAGACGTGTTAGACGCAGTTTCGCAGCGAAAGAAAAGCTCCCTTATGACCGGTAAGGACGGCGCTGGGCAGGCGGACATGGCATGCTTATCGGTCCTGTTGTTTGTGCATTTAGAAACCACACGCCCGTGTCCCCACTGTGTGGCTGAGACTCCTGCTAATTGACGCTCTCAGAAAACGAGGACAACAGCGACGACTGCTGTACACAACCTGACAAATCCGGTGGTCGAGTAGGCGAGACAGCCATCGACACAGCAGCGCCCAACCCCGCCGCAGCTCCGGAGACTCCGCATGACGTATCCCCAGTACGCGACGATACAGCCGGCCCCGTCAGCACAGAGGCCGCGTCTGCGGCTGCAGCTGCCAGTACACCCATCCTCCTTGCGCCTGCCACCAGCGCTGCTCCTGTCGCCACCACGCCATCGCTGGCCGAGATGGCTGCACGCGCCTCAGCTGCGGCCCTTGCAGCCTCCCTGAGCAACCTGCGCTTCGAGCCAGCGCTCAAGACAAATGCGACAAAAATAACCCCGACTCCAGCGCTCCAACTCCCAGAGACCACCCAAGATACGCATCCGACGGGTTCTATGGAGGATGAGGACCAACCGGCTTCGCACTCCGCCTCTGAGCAGCAGTCCCCGTCGACGAGCAGCCGGATGGGCGTTGGTCTTCAAGCGGATGGCACCTTCCCTGGGGCCCTACAGCTGCACAGAGCAGACCACGGCGCCCTGCAGCCTCTAGACGGCCAGGGCGCCATGACGCTACCGGTTCCCAACGCCAGGCTGGCTGCAACCGTTCCGCCAGAGATAGACCACGACGCAAGCATGGAGGAGGTTGGCTGCATGGGCGGCGACGCCAGCGGCAGGACGGCTCCAGGGGCTAACGCTGAGGACGTTCCACGGACGCCGTTGACTTACAAGACGTGCGCCTCAGGCCGTGCCGCTACGCACGCAGCCGCCCAAGTGGAGGGCGGTGAACCACGCCAAGCCGAGTCGATGGCGGAAACCGAAGACGACCAGGGTGGCAGCAGCAGCTCAGAAACTGCCGCAGATACAACTCCACCTCCAAAGCCTCACGCAGCAGAGCTGTCGGAACCGTGCAGCGCAGCAGGAGCAGTGGCCGTTCCCATTGGGCTGGTACCGCCGCCTGCTACGATATCCAAGCCCATCGCCGTACTCGTAACAGACCGCACACCGCTCCGGCAGCAGCGCATAGCGGGGCTGGTGGGTGGGGTGTCGCAGGGGGAGGCTTCGGGCACTACCCCCATTGGCAGGTCGCTGTTTGGCGGGGCGCTGCTGCACCGCACGCCTGGCGCTGGGCTGCGGACGCCGGCGCGGCGGGTGGTTGTGTGCTCGGATGAGACGGCGGCGCGGGCTGTGGACGAGTGGGTGACGCAGCAGCTGGTGACACCGGCTGGTCGGCAGGTGTCTGAAGGTGAGCGGCTGTGAGCGATTGCGGAAGCTACTTCTTGGATGCAGTTTAGCCTCCACATTGCGTTACTTCAATGGATGCACGTCTGCACCCGCAGTCGGCGGTTGGGCAATTTGTCATACCAAAGACGCTCTTGCTTTCACAGGCCAGCGGTGGCGGGACCTGGAGGGTTTTGGAGACGTCAAGGAGCGCCTGCAGGTGCCTTGGGGTTTGGACTGGCTCCTGTGCGCGTCATGTCCAAATGCACCTTCCTTGCCTTCAGCCGCGCTTGTTAGCAATGCATGTCGTGGCAGTTGGGGTTGCAGGCAGTTGGGGTTGCAGCCAAAGACCACGCATGCCGCTGTACCCGATCTCCCATCCGCTACCGCTGCCCCTGTTGTCGTCATCGAGCTCGTTTATTCCTATCGCAGGCGTTATGCAAGAGGCCCATCGCACACGCTCATCGTGCAGCCACCCCATCGGACGCGGCAGCCAGCCCGCAGCAGCGCAGGAATGCCGCGGCACTGCTGTACGGGCCGCCCGGCATGGGTAAGAGCCGGCTGGCTTGCGCGCTCGCGGCCGAGCTGGGCGCCGCCTACATCCGTGTGCCGCCGGACCTGATCAGCCGCTGCAGCAGCGCCTCGCGCCGGCCTGAGGAGGTGATGCGGTCCATATTTCGGGTGAGGCTGCGCGGCTTGAGGGTCATTATCTCATAGAACAACCTGGCATTGTGCCTGATGTTGGTTGCGGCTATGACTGCCTGATTCTGCTTGCGTAGTTTGATGCTAGCTAGCTAGTTCAGGAGTGCCCTTCTGCGGCGTTATGGGTTGCTGCGACCCTCCGCCGCTGCTTCCTACCAACTTTTGTGGGCAATTGCAATTATTGTAGCCGTTATGAACGCACATGGTTGCCTGCCGTACACATGCAGGTCGTGAAGGCGATGCCAGGGCTGGTGGTGCTGCATGTGGAGGATGTGGAGTTGCTGGCGGGCACCGAGGCAACGCGTCAGGCCGCTGAGTGCCGCCGGATGAGAACAGGTATGCAGGGTGCATGACGGGGACGGCATACCGGTGCTGGTATGTTCGCATGTTTACAAGTGTGGTTATCTAGCGCTGATATGACATGGATAGGGCGATATGCTGGTACGGCAGGAGTTGCGGTCGTTGCGGTCGTGATACGTCTACTGATTTGGGTCGGTCCGACGTGGGTTGCTGATCCTCCTTCGCCCTCTCCCACCGCCATTGCAGAGCTGCTGGTGGGGGTGGAGGACCTGCTTGTTGCGCCCTTGGAAGACCCCGCTGCGACTAGCGAGGCCGGCAGTGCAGCCAGAAGCGGCGCCGACGCCACCACCACCGGAGCCCCGCAGGCCGCGGCTGCAAGCGGCAGCAGCAGCGAGGGCACCCCCTTGCGGACCCAGCAGGGCCGGGTGCTGGTGCTGTCTACCACCAGCCGGCCCACGGCGCTTGACAGCCTGCTGGTGGGCTGCCTGGGGCGCAACGAGAAGCTGCTGGTGGTGGGTTGGGGCGCGTGGGCGGGTGCGGGTGCGGGGCGGTGTGTGTACTGCGCCTACTGCCGTACAGGGGGCAGCTGAGCTCTCTAAAGCCAGTGTGGCCTGAATGACCGGGGACTATGGAGGTTTAGAAAGAGGTCCGTTTTTGGTACGAGGCAGCATGCGCGTGACGTGTGCGACAGCCGTTACACGTGCCGATATGCTTTTTGGCCTGCCCTTGATTCCAGGCGCTCCGCTAGGCCGCGGCTTGGAAGCAAGGTAACAGCCTTAGTGAAGAACCCGGCCGATTTCAGGAATTTTTTCTCCGAAACCACCGAAAGTCTAATCCGTTGCTTTCAAGGTGTGCCTTTTCAAACTATTCAATAACATAAAGTTATGAAACTAACAGAGAAATGGATAGGCTAATGGAATACAAAACAAGTCTCCTGTACTTTGGTAACCTGCCCAGAAGCAAACGTTTACGCATACTTGTAGTGCTGACTATGGACATGTCAATATGGCATTTGCACAGAGCAAGAAGCATTGAGTTAATGAGACCAATGTCGTACCTTGCCACCAGCGCACTAGAAGCCGTGTATGCTTTGATTAGTTCAAGACCTTCGTGCCTTAACAACTTGAAAGCCTTCTAGCCTTCCCTTGGTGTTTACCGGTAACCATAGCACCTTTACCTTTCAAGTACTTGTTTGCGCCGACACTTATGGCTTTAAGCATACCAAACAATGGGACGATTGAGTAGAAGTGCACAACAAATAGAGTCGTTGTGTACAGCCGCAGAGGCCATACTTGCGCGCGGCAGTAAACTCAGTGCTAAGGTCTTGTTGAACGAAGTTCGTGGTAACCCACATTGCACTGACTTGACTTATAGATCTGCCAATAACTTTCTACATAGCAACAAAGTTGGGCAGCAGTATATGCGCCCTTCTCCCAACGACAATAGTCTTCCACCAAAGAAGCGATTAAGATGGACTGCTGTTGACGAGGCGGCCTTTCAGGAAGCGGTTGTTACCATCCAGTCGACCAGCAATAAACTGACTGCTAGCAATATTGCAAAGGAGCTGAAAGGCAGTGCAGCTTCATACGACCAACTTCGTTACCGTCTTCGGAAATTGACAGTCGCTAAGCACAACATTGAAGAAACGCCTGATTTGGGTGTTGTTGGCAGCAGGAGTAGAGATGAAGAGTTTGTTAGAAATATTGGGGTACAGCTGGGTGGACTTGCAAGTGGTACCTGGTAACGTGTCGCTGGGCAACCGCAGTATTGGTCATGGTAACAAGCGAGAAACGACTGCCGCTGTTCAGCGCGCCGTCATTACACATGCAACGCAGCCCTATCTGTAACTGTACCTAACAGCATGACCGAACCGCTGCAGTCCGACCACACACACTACTATACACAACACATGGGCAGGCCATGAGATCGCTTCGGTCTGGTTCGGACTGGAAAAGCCGTGGTTGTGTGCAAGTTCTGTAATTCGGCGATCGCTCGCCTTTCATGCAGGCTTCTCCAGACGCGGACCAGCGCGAGGCTTTCCTGGTTGGGCGGCTGATTGCAGAGGGTGCCGCGCTGGGGGTGGAGCAGGTGGATCGGCTGGTCAGGTATGGCAGCCGGGGCGGCATCGGGTGGGGGCGTGTCGAGCTGCGCAGGGCCTCTGTGTAAGGCGATGATTGGATGGGATCGGGCAATCCGGTAGCCTACTCCACTTGTTTGCCACCTGCCCAGGGTTTATCTCTCGTATGTCTTGGCGAGCACCCTCCCTGGTGCGTATATCGCAGGCAGACCGAGGGCCGCAGCTTCTCGGAGCTGGCGGCGGCATGCGACCGCGCTGCGGTGCTGGCGGCCAAGCGGGTGAATACATGGTCATTAGGGTGGCGGGCCCCTGCAGGGAGTTCATACAATTCCAAACCTGCCATCGCCCCGGTGCGCCGGCGTTTCTGTGCTCTGCACGCAAGTACTGAAGCGGGCTGATGTGAACATGCGATACCTGGGCTTGGGCTATCCTTGACGACCCGTCCCATGTGTATTTGCACCCCCCCATTTGCCACCCTACCAGGCTGGCGGCAAGTCCGGTTCCGCGTCGTCGGTTAATGAGGGCGACATAGCGGCGGCGTTGCAGGGCATCAGCAGGCGGGCTACCCCCGAGGCACTGGAGGAGCTGGCGCTGTGGCACGCGTGGCTCCGATCGCGCATCTGTGTTCCCAACGTAACATCACGTGAGGCCGCGTAGGGCGACACAGGGGTGGAGCTGGTTTGAGGTGCTTGCAGTGTATATTGGGGAATCTCGCGCCTGATGGCAGGCATGAGGCAGGATGTTTGGCTAATAGGTCGTCAACCTTGAAGGTGGAAGGATCTTGATCCATGTAAGCGACAGGTGCGAGCACCAGTACGGCTTGGGGAGTTTGTACAGAGGTGTGCGCGTTATGTCGGGAGTTATGCATAGCGGTTTCAACCACAGCTCCACACGGCCTAACGCATCATGACTTCACGAGTGAGGCGCAGGTATCGGTATGCCTTAGGACGCCGTCTAGCTTAAGGTTCAATGCCATTGTGTACGGCGAAGGGCATCAGGCCCTCCAGCACGCGTGTTTTGCAATTGACGGCGTGCCGCTGACGATGGCGGTGCATCGCATCCTTCTGCCGCGGGGTGCCACACACCATTTTTCTTTCACCGTTTAACCCAACCTTGCACAGCAGGCGACAACATTTTACAGCCGCGAAGAGTTTACGTGAAGCATCCTGCAATATTTGCAACTCAAGGACAGCGTCTTCACTACGGCAATCTGCTCACAACACCCCTTCAAGCCAAGCCCGCTCCTTCCTAGCCGTCCCTGCTCCCGCTCAGGCCCGTGTATCAGCACAAATGCAAAAAGTCACAAAGAGACGCCATGTGAACCAGCGGTACTATGGAAGGCTCACAGGACAGTGTATAACTTGTTATCAACCAAACACCATCCCAAATTGTTTAAAAATATCCGTATGCTAGAGATCACAGCAATCATAAGCCCAGTGCAGCGGGGCGAGCCACAGCGGATATCTCGCCGCTAAGAAAACAAATGCATGAGCGTACGCTATGCACAATAGGAACGCTGCCAGCAGAGCACACATAAGGCCGGATAACGGCTTACTTAACAATAAGGCTCACGACACATGCAAGCAAGTCAACGCCAAAAGCACAAACCTTAACGTCACCACATCACGCAAGTCAAAGGGTTGACGTCAATTACAGATTTCGCCGAAGCCTTGTTCCGGCTTCAGCCATTTCTCCACCACCCCCCAACCCATGGTTGCCAACCGCATGCTGCAAATAAAACCATACAACGTTACCCGCCGCCCAAGCCCAAGCCCAACTCATCACAGCGACCTCGTACACCCCAACGCCAGTCCTCCCAACCTTTCCTCGGACCTTCCATGCAACCCTCCTACTCCCCCCTCTAGTAGATCTGCTGCATCTTCCGACTGGCACGGTACACCTCCACGTACCGGTCCCGCAGCGACTCCACGAACCAGGTCGAGTCCGCACCGCACAGCGACAGCAGCTCATGCGAGGCCGCCAGCAGCTCAGCAGCCACCGAGGAGGGCGGCTCGGAGGAACCAGCTGCTGCCTCCGAAACCGGCTCCGGTAGCGGAGGGTTGCGGGCCCAGCGGGAGCGCAACGGCAGGCCGCCCGCCCCTCCCGAGCTCCATGAGCCCTGACCGCCCCCCCGCAAGCGGCGGGGCACGCCTAGCATGATCCTTGGGGACTGCATGGGCGACCGAGTGGGCAGCAGCAGCGGCGCACCCTCAAACACCAGCATGCGGCCGCCGCCGCCGCTACTGCTGCTGCCACCACCGTCGGTTGCTGGCGCTGCAGCTGCAGCTGCTGATGGTGACTTGCTGCATGCAGCGCCAGGCGGCGATGCGGAGCGTATCCGCGCGGGGCGGATCATGTTGGGCGTGGACTCCTCTGTGGATGCGGCAGAGGAGAGGAGGGAGAGGTCAATGTGAGGCGGCTTAGGTCTGGTGTGGCCGCCAGAGGGGGAGCCCCTGCTGGGTGAGGCAGGAGAGGCAGCAGCAGCTCCCCCAACCGACGCACTGCTCGCTGTGTCGCAGGTGGAGGCATGAGCTGCTTGCCGCCGCTCCGCTATCGTCAGATGCAAGCCAGTACCACTGCTGCTACTGCCGCTGCTCGTCGCCCCGCTATGTCCTGCATGCCCGGTATGGCCTGTGCTCGCCCCCCGACCCTCATGCGATGTGTGGGTGTCCGTCGACGCACCCTTTACGTCCTTGCTAGCGGCTCTCGTCACAGCACCGCCGCTGCCACCGCTACCGCTGTTGCTGCCACTGCCGGCGTTTCCAGCATCGGCTTGCGTAGGCCTCTTCGCCCTTCTGCTGCTGTCTGCGCTTGTCGGGCGCGACCCGGAGCCGGGTGTGCCGCTTCTGCCGCTGCTGCCACTGCCTGTTGAAGCCCCAGCACCGCTTGTGGTTGAATGCCCGGTCGTTGGAGTCGAGGCCCGCTGTCCTGAGGCCGCATGTGAACCCGCGGGTGATGAGGAGAGCGAGGAGCGGGAGCTCAGTTGGGTTCTCTCCGGGGTTGCGCTGCTGTTGCCATGCAACGCAGCTCCCACCGGACTGCCGCCGCTTCGTCCTCCACTGCCACCTCCAGCCCTACTGCTGCTGGTGCGTTGCGTGGACTGGGGGCGCGATGACGCACCACCGGAACCGTACACCACAGCAGCAGCGTCAGCGCTTCTGCGGCTGATGCCGCCGCCGCCATCTATCGAGGCTGTGGAGGCACTCCGACTTGTCAACCCGGCTACCTCTTGCGAGGCCGCTGCGACTGGCCCGTCTGCTGCAACATCCGCGCTTGCGGCAACCCGCTCACTGCCAGTCGACGGCCGCCGCCGCAGCTGCTGCTTTCCTGCCAACAACGAAGACGACGACGATGACGATGTCCCCAGTCCAGTCCCGGCGGACGACCCAAGCCCACCGAAGCTCCCAGCCGACGCGCTCGCCGCCCCCAGACCCCGGCTGCTGCTAGCTCCTCCACTGCCGCCGAGGTGCCTCTCCGATGAAGGCACCGAATGTGACAGCCCGCGGGACCCCAGGACACCTCCGGAGCCCCCATGCGCTGCAGCTCCTGTGGGGGTTGTCCCGCTCCGCGACGGTGAGGAGGGCGGCCCCGGGGCATCCAGCATGTTCGCCAGCACACGCCCCGCCTCGATAGCCGCCTTGCTCAGCGCTGCGCCCTTAGCCGCACCCACTGAATGGACCAACGAGCTGCCGCTGCCCGAGGCGCCAGGCACCGAGCTGCGGCCCAGTGACGGCGACGCAGGCCGACCCTTACCAGCGCTGCTCCCGCTGCCCACACTCCTGCCCATTCCCACGCCCATGGCGGACAGCAGGCCACCGCCCTCGGGCCCTGACACGCTGCGCCCCAGGGAACGGTGGTGCCCACCCGAGGATGCGGCTGCGGACGTGGAGGCTGAGTGGTGCGCCCCTGGGAATGTGGCGCCTGCCAGAGTTGAAGAGGACGAGTGAGCCCTAGACGCAGCTGACAAGCTGGCGGAAGAGGGCCGGGTTGAGTGTCCCGTAGCAGCGCTGCCGCCAACGGGAGATGTTGCAGCTGCCGTGCCCGACGTCATCGGCGCGGAGATGGGGCGCTTGGAAGCGGCTTGGGAGCTGGCCTGCAGGCACGGCAAGCATGACGTGGTGTTGCGTGCATGCGCATTGTGAGCACTTGCTGCAGGGTAAGCCCTATGGAGCCGAATTGGCCCCTCTGTCATTTAGCCGTTTCAGGTCCCGGCTCTGTGTGAGCGCCCACCTGGGGAGTGAGCAGCCGCTCAAGCCGCTGGTGGGCCTCCTGCACCGCTGCTGAGGCGCCTGAGGCCGCAGCCTTGGAGCGCTCCAGAGCCCCAGCAACACCAGAGGAAGTTGCGCTGGCCGAAGCGGGCCGTCGGCCACCAACCAGTTCATAACTGTAGGCGTTGGAGGCAATGTATGGGCTGCCAGGGGTTGCCGACCTGTTAGGCGGGATGAAGGCAGGTGCCGCAGGGCATAAGAGTGCGGCAAAAGAGCAGCAAAGTTCTGAAAACAGTCCAGGGACCGGCAAGAGAAACAAACCAAGGTAAGATATAGCTTATACCGACAGGAACACGGGAAATCAAATAAGCAGCATCCCACTTCGGAATGCCATCATGTTTTCCAACGGATGCAAGCCGAGCCGTAGCATTAAACGTACGCCATCCTCTGCAATGGGAGTTCGCTTTCATAGTCCTAACCAACCTTTCAGGCCTCACTCCAGCCGCCCGTCTAGAGCTGCTGCCGCTTCCAGGTCGCATTTGCTCCTCTTTGGAAGGTAACCCCGTTCGCGATCCTGTAAAAAGTAACAATTCCACAAGGACAACATAAAAGAGAAAGAATTCCGGGATGGCCTGGCAGAACTATATGAAGCCGTCCATCGACACCTCAGGACAGGACAGCCCGGCCTAAACTAGTCATCCGGAGAAGGAGCAGTAAGATGTGTTTTTACCTTGAACTTGAAGCTCGCATGTCGACGAACTAACTCTCATAGCGACACCCAAGCCAGCGGCTATCCGAAGCAGACTTCCCGACCCAAAACTACTTTGCCCTACTAGTGATTGATGCTTCTACTAATATAATGTTGTCCTGAACCGAGGGTAACGAAGCTTAGTGGTACGCGTAGTACCTACCCACATGCCTTGGCCTAACAAGCACAAATTCGACCCCTACTGACAAGTATTCGTGTGCGATTTTGCATCTTCCCTATCAACAAAAGGGTCGGTTTGGGTTATACCGATTCATCGATAGCACACCTCCCATCTGCTGTACGATGTGGCTCATCATTGCGCTCCAAGGCTGGTTAATTTTAAGCATTGTTTGCGGGACGTAAAGCGGCAGCGTGTTCCGATGTTAGTAACGGGGGTAAATGGTAAACAAGCATTGCCAATTTGCCATTGTAGGTACGTTGCTACTGCGCGGAGCCGGAAACACCAGCATACATCATGACCGACACAAATGGATATCAGTTTTCCTTACTTACAGCTATATAATTTATTAATGCTGTCGAGTTGAAAAGGCTTTGCGCCGCAGCTGTGCAGCTGTTCCACCGACATGCCTGGGTTGCCAGGTCTACGGGTGTTACTGCTACTGCAGCTAAACACTTACGCCAGTGGGAATCTATTTCTTAACTGTTGTGCCGGTAGCACCCAACTCAGCTTGAAGCTACATTTAAGGGTCCGGTAGTGCACAATGTGTGGCCGTCACGCCTACATGCGGAGCGAAGGCCTGGAGTCCAAAATGACTCGCAGACTCTTGCGCTCGACGAGGCCAAGGTATCACAAGTTCATGACCAACGATGAACGTCGGACAAGGTGATATCATGTTTGGGGTTTCTGCCTACACGGCAGGTACCAGTACCACACATCCACAAACACCCTTGCGTAAGGACGGCATTTGCCCCTTCACGCCTAGCGTTCTCTATGTACAACTGTCGTACCTCTTGGCGACAGGTTCGCATGCGGTATAGCTAAGTGCCCAAGCCATGCAATCGAAGTTTACGCCAGCGCGCATCAGCTACCTAGTGCAAATGTCCTACCGACAACCCGCACAATGGCTTGCTACACCTGCGGTAAGCCTGGCCTCACACCAACGGCCTCACTTCTGCACGCACGCGCGACATCCTCGTAAGTTATCCGGGACAAGACAAGATGTCTCTTGTCCATGTTGTCACTAGTTCTCTAGTACGTCAAGTTGAGTCACGTTGGCTACCGTTATGTGTATCGTCACGTCTTTCACAACCCACGCGCGCTCGGTATGCACCCACACCTATGCTCCGGCTAGCTGCCTGCAGGCGGCCGCCGAGGTGAGGCTGCACTGGGTGCCTGGGGCTTCCCGCTCGCCTTCGCGGGGCCGCTTCCCTTGGCGCCGGCGGGTGCTCCCGCCTTCTTCTTGGCCGCCGCCTCCGCCTGCTGCGCCTTGGCCATGAGGGCCTTCTTCTTCGCCGCCTCCGCCGCCGCTACCTGCTCCTTGCGGAAGTTTTCCAGGTCCGTCAGCTTGCGTTGCCGTACAGCGTCCACCTCTGCAGCAATCAAGGCAGGAGAATGGAACCGGTGTTGTTCATAGAGACAAAGTTCAGGCAGGAGTCAGACTTCAGCTGGGCAAGGAGCACAACGGCAGGGCAGCTGGCTTCATACATCCTAGGATCGGGCCAGCAATAGGGCTTTCATGCTCCGCGAATAGCAGTGCGCCCCGCCGCGTTGTGTTAAGAGTAAGCCCGACGGATTAGTCCGACGAAGCGCGCGCCACGCAATCCAATTAATCATCTTTCCTGGCCTCTGCAACCTAGGCTAATGCATGGCGACTTGTACTCCTTGACCTAAATCTTACCCTCCTCCTTGTACTGGTCCGGGATGACGAACTTGGCGCCCTTGGCGGACAGCTTGGCCTCCTTCTCGCGCACACCTGCGTGTGTCAGCAGCGGCATGCATGGGTAGTGCAGCAGAGGCCTAAATGAACGCATGCAACGGGGAACGATGCGTGGTGCAGATGGCTGGGCGATCGCCTGCAGGCACACTACGTGGTCATGCGCGGACGCTGTCCTTTGTGTCGCTGCTCAGCTGTCGGCGCGGTATCTAAACCTGTACTGCTGTGTCTTAACAAGAACAATAAGATATCGGGACGTGCCGTATTATGCAGCAAGTCATTAGTGAACGGCATGCACCCACTTCTGCAACCAGGCCGCTAATGCAACCAACCGAGCATGTTACCCGCTCAGATGCACGGCCCCCGATCCCGCCCCGTGCCCGACCCCTCTCCACATGCGCAAACCTCCCTGTACCACTGTCCATCAGCAGCAATTCCACCCACAAATCTCCTCCTGGAATGCTCACCTGGAAACATTTTCTCGTACAGGTCCCGCCACTCCGCCAGGCCGCTCGCCACGCTGCTGTCGCCCGCGCCGCGCGGCCGCCCAATGGCCCGGAAGGTGTCCGCCCCCGCCGGCACCATGATGGGCCCGTTGTGGTCCACCTGGGGCTGCATCTTCAGCACACTGGGGCAGCGGAGGGGAGGGGGGGTGGGCGGCGTGCAGGGTGGGGCAGGCATCCTCAAAGAGACAGGTATGGCATCAGGAGGGGTGAGAAGAAAATTTTTTTGACAGTAAGAGCAAAAAGTCCGACGACCCACCCTTGACCACCCACCCACCCCCAAAGCAGCCAAAAATGGGAATTTCGCGTACGACACTGTGTAAACAGCTTTCTTTTTATGGAAATAGTAACCCTAACAGTCTTCATGAAGGTCGGAGGTCATCCTTGTGATGAAACCCGCCGCAAGGACAATCCGGGCACTTCCACTTAGCTACCCGATTTGGCCTGTCTGCATGCTGTTGCTGAAAGTTTCCCACATGTTTCTCATAATTGGCTTTGCTGCCCGGCGGAAAGAACTAGGAGCAGGTTGGTCAAGATTGCCCGGCTGTGCCGATATCTGCTTCTGAGACATCTTGGGTGCTTGTAGCAATGATTTAAGCATATGTATCAACGCTAGTTGCAGAAGCGGAAACAGCCTTCGACCGGGTGGTTCACAATTGCCAGGTCTGGGATGGCATCGACAACTTCGCGCTCGTATACCAAGTGTATATGGAGGATAGGTGCGTCAATCAATAGAACTATGTAAGCCAAGCGTAAATATAGCAATTTTACAAAGAAATTCGCAGTCAGAAAAAAGTTGGAAAAAAGTTGACCGGCCCCGGGACCACCCCACACCCCACACCCCAAGAGCACCCTCGAAATCGACGGGAAATAGATTAAAAGGGCTATTTCCCACATCCTCTATACGTATAGCAGTGTTTGGGATCAGTTTACCTCATACCCCCAAAAGCTGAAATTTTTCACCCCTCCTGATGGCATGGTAACTTATGTGCAGGTTGAGGCCATTACTGTGTTCCTTGAGGCTGGCTTAAGCCTCCCCTTAGCCATTTCCCTAAGCGCGCTGAAGCATGCCAGCTGCACATTCTTGTTTAGGATCAAAGGCGAATACGGCCGCGTTTCGTGCGCATCCCACGCATGCTCTTGCCATGTTGCCTGTATCCAAACTGCATCCCGAGTGCACCTGTGCCTAAGAACAATTAGTCATGCCCCCATGGAAAGTGTGAAGGTACAGCGGCGTCATTAGTGCGATATTTCCGGTGTTGTCCCAAAACGAGACAATGTACATGTCGCGAGTCGACAACCCCTTCCACAATCATCTAGTCTGAGCCCACTAGTCTACCCCTCTTCCTTCCTTCCGCCCAGCCCAGCCCACCAGGGCTACACCAACCGCACCACCCCCGTGACCAACTTACGGCTTCTTCTCCAGCCCCGTGAATATGAGGTGGTTCATGAGGCGAGTGAAGTTGTCCAGCAGCGCTGCGTCCTCACCGCCTCCGCCGTCGCTGCCGCCATGCAGCCCGCTCAGGTAGCACAGAAAGGCGCCGTGCGCATGCGCCACGAAGCGAAGAGTCCTAGGGTGGTCGGGGGTGGGGGGCGGAGGTAAGGAGGCACATGGAAAGACGCGGTGTGGCGCTGGTGTTGCAGTTGCAGAGACCAGAGATTGGACATTTGCATGCAGGACATCTCCTCAGCACCACGCATCCCCGGCTGAAGTGCATACCCCTTACCTGGACATGACCTTCTTGACCTCCGGGTCCTGCGTTTTGAACTCGTCGTACTTTGTGGCGGCAATGACCAGCGAGATGCCGCTGTGGTACACCGCGTCCTTGTCCTCATTGGAGGCATACAACTTGGACTTGGCACGCTGGCGCAGCTGCTCCGGCAGCTGCAGCCCCTTCTTCTCAAACTTGTCGTACGTTGAGCCGAGCTTCTTCTTGATCTGCTCCATCCACCACAGCAGCGTGGGCAGCACGCCGGCGGGGTCGGACAAGTCCACCACCACCACCACTACGGCCGTGGTAACCTGGAAGGAGTGCGGGAGGGGTTGCAGAGGTAGGAAGAAGGGCGAGGGGGATGGGGCTTGATGGCAAGCAGCGCTGGAGTATGGAGGTGGCTTGTGGGGAAGACATGGTTATGTGGTTGCAATGAGGGTGGCCTTGGAGGCACCAGCGCGACTAGATGCCGACAAGATACCACACCCTGAGCGTAACCTTCTAGTGCGAGCCAGACCGCCGAGTACATTATCACAATCGGCATATTTTTGCATGACATTTGCCCCACGACCATCACCCTACCCTGCCCATGTAAGCGGCAACGTCAAGCGGTCGCCCTCCTGCGGCTATGCACTAAGACCGCAAACCCGAAGGCGAGCGGGAGCCCAGCAACCCCATGCCGAGGGCCCGCTTAACCCATTGCATGCACACCTGCTTAGCCGTCAGAAAGAGCTGATCTGAGCTGACGATCTCCTCTGCAAACTCCTGGCTGCCGCCCACCTCCCAGATGTGCGCCAGGTCCTTCTTTTCATGGTCGTACGCCGCAGGCTTGCGGGCGTACGTGTACTCAATGCCTTCTGAAGGTTTCGGCACCTCCGCCTGAGGGAGGAGGGTTGGAAAGAGCTAGTACTCAATACTCGATAGGTCACATACATGGAAAGGTGCAAGCGATGGGCCAAAACACAAGGTTGTGAAGGAAAGGGGGGGTTCAAGGTGCCGCCGGTGAAGGGTAAGGGTGGGTTTGCTGGCTTTGGACAAACTGCACGACACACCCTTCACGCCCATGCTACATCAGAGTAGCTAAACAGGTAGTATCCTAGAAGAAACAGTCCAGGTACAGGGAAGTAACAGCTGCGGCTTTCGTAGAAAACAGGCACGTGTGCCGTTTCGACAGATAGATGCCTCGCTGTACCAAAGGCTACTCATAAAACAGTGCCTACAGTTGAGGTAAGCAACGTCTATTTACCCGAGTAGGATAGAGAAAGCGGTTAAGCAGCGTGCTTTTCCCCGAGGCTCTTGTCCCAACAAAGTAGCAGAACGCGTCGCCCCTGCCATCCGCTCCTGCGTGCCAAAAAGCCCAGAAATCTCTTAAAAGGATCTGGGGACAACGCAAGAAAAGGTTAGCCCATCCACGACAAGCCAGTAACCATAGCATAGCTTTGCAAGCCCGCAGAATCTGTAAGGTTGACATGCGCGCCCCAGCCGTACCAGGCTTTTTACGCTCTTCGTTTGCTTGCTCTATAGCTTTTGCCCATAAACTCCCAGGGGTCTTAATGGCTTGCCCCGGGAGCATTATTGGTGTGGCCATGTCCGCGTGAGCTTAGGTATGGCCCCTTCACACGGCCTGCTGCCACGTAGCAACAGCAGCAGGCCGCAGAAGAAAAGCTCTGCCTTGCAGCAAAAGCCCCTGACAGTTTCTCAACCACTGAAGCCGTGAAGCGGTGAAGCTCAGAAGCAGTGCGTTCTTGCAACTAAAGCTAGCTATAGATCTATTTTACACACTAGCAACAGGAAAAGGGATGGTATAATAAACGGTTATATGCTCATAAAAGAAAGAGTCTCAAGTAAAGCGCCAGCAGAATGGATGTACCAACATGATCAGTGACATTTCTGTGTAGCGTACCAGATAAGCACAATTAGCAAAACAAGCAAACGCGTTGCCTGCTGCGTTCTTTGGTGTACTACTTCGTACGGCTTCAGTCCGTGCGGCCATCCGACCACCTTCGCTTAGCACGTGCTGTGTACCTCTTAAGAGAAAACATCAGGTACACATGTAGAATTCCTTACAAGGCTTGGTGAAGTTACGTTGGGTTTTTGAGTAGACAAATCGACGCCACGGCCTGACGGTAAAATATGCCGACCAGCTTAAGAGTTGAAGTGAAGTAAAACAAGGTTTAAAAAAGCAGCTGGTCGCACTAGCCTCAATACAAAGGTGGTGGGAGGAAGTTAGGTGGACGCTCGCCTGATGGAGACCGCCGCACCAGCCAAAATGCGCTTGCCCAAAGCAGTGTCACCTAGTTTGGGGCACACAAATGAATTGAAATACATGGGAACAAAGGTATGGGATGGTGCGCAGTTTGGCTCTGCCTGTTAACATGCTTGCAATATGGAGCGGGTCTTTCTGAGTGAGAATGCGGTGCGGCGTCGTTGCGGCCGCATCTTGTGCAGTCCGTGCGGCTCCTAATGCGCCTTATGCACTTGCAAGCAGGTGAAGCAGTTCCAATGCATGGCTCATGATATGTGTTTTACACTTGGTGGCATCATGGGCAGTAATGAATTGGTAGTGCCAGTACATGCGCCTTACAACATCATGTATGGTAACCTTCATGCATGCCAGAATATTTTTACGGTATGGGTATTGTGTTGTTCCTGTTGGTGCACTCAGGTATCGTACGACATGTCAGCACCTGCTATGACCAAATCACCGTCCCCACAAATTGTGCCACCGTTTGCCAGCTCTGTACATAAGGATACCGGTGGCCTACTTGGGGGTCACAAGCCTGTCATTGCACCGGCCCCCAAACTGTATGCACCAATGCACAACAACCTGCAACAGTTCCTTCAGCACAGCACAGGTAGCCTTCAGAATGATGGCAGAAGTCCCCATTAAACCTCCTCCAGAGATGCCTTAGCGGCCGGCCCTGTCAGTTACCGTTGCCTCGTACTGGTTGTCCGGCAGCTCTATCAGGATGCTGAGTGTCGGCAGCACGCCTACCATACCCTTGCTTGCAAAATGGTGTCAGGTCGGTGCTGGGTGAGGCGGCAGACTGGTCCCGAGGCTGAGAGCATGGCCCCTCCTCTCCACCCCCACTGCAGCTGCTACCGGTGCTGTCACGGATGCTGTTGCTCACGGCGACGGAAACCATGTAAGAGACGATGGCCATGCCACCGCTGACCTAGCTTTGTCGGAGAGGATGGCTGTGGCGGTGGTGGAGGAAGTGGAGTGACTGCAAGCGAGGATGGCGGTGGTGGCGGTGACCCCACCACCGCCGCCACCGCCTTCCTCTCTGCCAGGATGTACGCGTCTGGGAAGCATACTTGGGTCGCCTGCAGTGGCTGCGCCTTGTGGTCAATAAAGGGGTACCATTTAAGGGGTATGGCAGGGGGATAAGAGGGAGGGAGCGGGCAAGATCTTGGACGGAAACAAATGACTACCCCTTAATGCAATCTACAAACCAGCAATCTGGCTACAAGCACCATGGTACTGCCTCTGCACCCGGCCGCACCTCTCACCTGCCGCCACCCCAGCAGCCTGCTGTTGCAGCACCCTGGTTCAGGCATGCAGTGCCCCTCCTCCTCGCTGCCGCCCAGGTGGCGACCACCCCAAGCAGGTTGCACACGGGGGCATCAGCCGGTGGTACAGACCGGGGCTAAATGTGTTTTCAGTAGGACTATTGTAAAACCAGCGTAGCCGTTTTATTGACAGCGGGTATCAACAGGCTAGTAGTGTCAGCAGCCGACCAGAGCAGCAAGGGAGCTATAAAGCCCGCCTTCCTGTGGGCTGCCGGAGCTCTCCGACATGTACTGGTGCAGCACGTTTAATGGTTTGTTCGCGCCTTAAAGCCAGAAGACAAAGCTGTATTGTCCCCTTCCTGCTCCTCATCAGGCCAGCAGAAGCTCCGCTTCTGCCCAGTGGGAACTCCACCGGCGTGGTCAGCTTGGTGCGGGTGCTGGGGCCGCCACTGTAGCAGGGTGACCTATGAGCAAGGGGAGCCAGCCTACGCCGGTGCTATGGCGCTGCTAAGTATTGGTGGGACGAGCATTGGACGAGCATCCCTTAGGCTGCCTTAGGATTGGGTCCAAAACCAAGCCTAAGCCCATAGAAACACCCCTATTTACATATACTTTAATGTAGGCTTTACCCTGCCTCACTTACGGATCGCGGTTACAGCAGTTCCTTCCCAGCTGTCGTCGATGGCGGGAAACACTGTAAGCACTTGTGAGGGTCCATCGTTGGACGGCATTTCTAAACAACAATGCATACAATGGACCAGATTTGACAAGTGCCGATTGTCACCGGCTATGACGAGCCAGGGTGAATGAAGCCCAAAACATTGAGCCCCGCAGACAAGGGCGCTTCTTACACAACAGCTCAAAGCGTGAAAGCAGGTAAAATTATGGAAAGTTTAGATTCAAGTGGCTTTCTTCTATGGTACCAGTCATGCCCTTCAGAGAGGCAAGGCGACCGCCACGGCGGGCTGGTCCCTGCATTGCTGCGTAGCTCACGTCTCTGGTGTAAGTCTGGCACCTATTGCTAGCATTTTATGAGCCAGGTGCGTTGCGATGAGCTTGTACTGTTGAGTATTCAGTAAGTCACGCTCAGCAAGCACGCACGGAACGTACGACTACCGGAAAAGCCACACCGAAACCATCGCGTGGCCACGTATGCCCCCCCGATGGACCCTGTAATGATTGGAAACCTAAAGGAAGTTGCCAAGATCGCGGAAACTAAGTCCTCTCACAGTCTTTCTAGTCTGTCCCCGCAACGAACTGCTGACGAGCAACATAATCCTTTCCTCCAGCCTCTTAGGGCGCGCTGCGCCGCCAGTTGAGAAAGTTGACTCCCACGCGCTGCGATACGCGCACATCCTGTATTTCTGCTAGCCGCAGTTTACTATGGCAGGCTTCCAGGCGCACTGCCCGCCTGGGTCCTTCGGTTCTGTACTTTTCATCGCACTGCTAGCTGTATTCATCACAACAGATCGTGTGTCTGCGAGCATTGGAGGCGACCCACTTACCGCTCGGACGGAGCTGTTTTCCGGCGAAGCGTACAGAGGGTGCCGACATTTTGGTGAGCGCCGTTAAAAGAAGCTGCTCACATGGGAAACACACTACGCTCAGAATTATTTAATTAGGCTTATTGTGGAGTGTTATTTGTTTGAAATGTTTGGCGTGGAAGTTGACGAAGCGCGCACGGCAGAAAACGGCGGCTTCGGACCGTCGCCATCCCATGGTTTCTTCACGTTATCCATAAACAGTAACAGTAAAACCTTATAACAGGTAACTTTACGGCAAGCCGCTCTGCGAAGAGCGTCGCCGCGACCAGCTGCGAGGAGCAGCACGCGTGCCTCGACCTGCACCTGTATGATGGTAGGTGCGGGTTGCGACAAGCACAAACGTGATGCGCGAACGCGCTTACCTCTGCGTCTTAGCACCTGCTTTGAATAATTTGTTCCGCACAAGTCCTCTCAAGCGCGCGACCTCCTGCTAGCGTCAATCCATGGGTGTCACAAGCATGAAACACGAACGAATCCGTCGAGCACGGTGACGTGCCGCTTGCCGCGATTCCGCTGACATGCTTTAGCCGTAAGCTGTGCGGCGTCGGCGAGCATGGCACCGGTCAGCGTGTGCAGTGACCACCCGCATGGGAGGCGCGTGTGGTGGTTTGCATGGGGGTGTGCGGGTACCGTCCTTGCTAGTACCCGCAGGGCACCCGCTTGCTTCCATGCCTGTGTCCTGACCCGCTGTGTCTGCCTGCGTCCTGACCCGCTATATCTGCGTCCTGACCGCCCCTCACCGGCACCATCCCACTTTCCTGCCTAAGCGGAGCCTCATGCTGCCGCCCCGCAGGGGAATGCGTCGAAGGAACTGAAGACAACAACATCGAAGTAAAATTTTGCATGGTACGCTGTGGTACGACGGGTTTAAGGCGGACTCGGCGGTCGTGGTAGGGACGCTACCATACGTCGAGCCCCAGCGTTGGCACGAGCATGTCAAGGGCAAGGGGTTCCCGCTCTGCTTGGCTGACTTTGTCGGGAGCACGCAGTGCATGCATGCAGATCACTTGACACTCGCCTCCCGCTCGGGTGTTAGGGCGCTGCCTTAGGGGCACGCGTTAGCCAGCATCCGTGAGCAGCAAGTCAGGCTCAGCAGCTGCTTGCTTTGGGTGGCGGGGCGGTGATTCCAAAGGTGCTTCTTCCGGTACGCAACAGCAACAGGTGCAGCTAGTTACCAACACGCGGCATTTGGTCAAGTGGCGGCCAGTAGACCAAACACCCGCATGCTGGTATTAACTTGTACGGCTGGTTTTGAGGACCGCCGTTGACCCCTTACCCTCTGGTTACACACCCCTACTTGTTATCTCCCCAACCCCTTGCGGCTGACTGACGTCTTGTCGTACGTACCTGCTTCCTTCAGGTTTGCATCACATGGGGTTCATGGAGGGCGGCGGAGAACCGGCAGGGCTCGCTTCGGCCCCAATGTGGAAAGCCGGGGAATTCCGTGGTTGACTACGTCTGCGCAGGTACCCTCAGCAGTTACACGTTTCCAGTTCCCACCCCACCGCATGCGTGGGGGTTGCTTCCCACGTCTACGCCTTGGTTGTTTTTCAGCATGCATCCTCGTTAACCCAACAACCCTAGTAACGCTCACAGCCGCAGCGCGCTTAATTTTTAACCATCGCCTAACGGTCGCCCGCATGGTCAGCAGGCGACCGCTTCACCAGCTGGTTCGCCGACCCATGGGTCTACATTGACAACTCCGGAGTTGCCCTGTCTGGCGGTGGGGCCCACACTGCCACCCGGAGGTCATGGCGGGCGGGGCGACAAGGTACGAATGATGGCTGCTTCTCTCATCAATAAGTACGCTCACTGCGATGAAGCTGCAGCCTATCCTCTAACGTCAGTGCGCTGCAACACT